TATGAGCCAGCTCTTCACGCAACATCTTGGGCGTATTCTTTTCGGAGCCGATCATGGAAATTCACCAAGGGCACTCACTACTCATCTCCAACTCCTCAATTTACAAAACAACTCATGTTGGAGCACAGAACAACGAGCGGAACAAACATAACTGCAAGTAATCGCACGGCGAGCAGTTCCCGCACGCCGCATCACACGCCGCATGTCGTGTCGTCTGCTACGGAAAGGAGAAAAAAAAAACGCACGGTCGGGTGTAGCCACGTGACTTCCGCCACTCGCTCTCTTCTCTCCACTTCTCCGACCTCTGTCGGGTTTCGGTTTCGGTTTCGAGCAGTTGCGTCTTTTGGCTTTATTAAAAAAATACGCTACTCTGTTGCAAAATATTAATTGGGCAGTCCTCCGACACCATAATGAAGCGCCTGGCAAAAAATAAAAAAATTTTTTTGGGGGGTGTCAGTGTCCCTTTAAAAAAGTGATCAAAGATTGCGCGGGACTGGTCGGCCGCTCGTCCATGTGGGAAGCCATCGTTTGTGAGTGGCTGACAAGCACCGTCTGTCATTAGACCATATTCAGCACGGTTCGGTAACGCCATCTGTTGTTCTGCGACAACAGTAAGTGTTGCAATCTTTTATCACTTTTTCGATAAGCAAATCGGCCCCGCACGAATGTATTTTCGGGTTTTTTAGAATGCTTAGAGCTCGTAGACTGAGATATGACAATAAAACGAGTATCTCAAAAGGCACTTTAGTGACCCTTTAAAATGCGTAAAAGTATGCACGGTATAAAATATGTTTTTCTCTTTATTACAATGCTGAATTTATCGAGCAGCAAGAGTTTCCTGGCTTTTCCCTTTTTAAAAGTTTTTGAGCATGCAGATTTGATTTTTGAAAGCTAGAACAAACTTATCTTCGCACCCACGTAAGAGCAGCAGAGGGAATAATATTAATGTTATTTATTGCAAATCGCACTCATTACTTGACATTACTTTATTTTGATCGTCTACATGCACCGGTATGTACTGACCCAGTGTTAGTGTGTAGGGGAGAGCGGGGAGGAATGGGACAGGGGGAGCGGTGGGACAGCTAACACATTTCTTCAGTGAATAATTCTAAAAAGTTGATGAAATGCTAGACTGATGATGCCGTGGAAGCGGTGCTTTCCACTGTAATGGCATACCTGCTTGGCTTGGTGTACACTACTAGAGTCAGTGGTCGCCGCTTTGGCACTCAAAAGCGTAGCACACATGTTTTAACCACCGCCGTTTTAAGCTTACCATTTCACATGTTGCCAAACTTAGCAATTTACCGTGTGCAAAGCAGTTTGGAAAGAATAGGACAGTGAGACGGTGGTGGAAATGGGACAGCACCTCAGTCCTGCCTTAACAAAAATTGCTGATCTGACTGGTAGACAAGACTAATGTTAACCTGTAATAATGATGAATCATTTAATCTTAGTGCGTATATTGCATTTAGGTCACATTTTATTTGTTCCGTTTAAAATGTTACCACGCTCTTAATCCCCGAACCAAAACCACAGACAGTCGGAGGAAAAGACCACTGCAATCCGGCTTCATGTCTGATGAAGACCCGTCTGCCTGTAATATTCACTAGTACAATTTTTGGCTCAATCTTGCATGTGTCCTATTCTTTAATGGGGAGAGTGGGATCAGACACACTTTTGCTTTCGCCATTTTTCTTTTTTTACATTTCTAGTAGAGTTTGGACAAAGTGCTGTTCAGCTGATGTGAAGGGTTTTCATGCCACATTTAAGACCACCAAACTTGTTTCTATGTGCCCATTAAAATACACATAAAAGTATAGCGTGAAAACTGTGTGCTCCATTCCTCCTCACTCTCCCCTAGCTCTTAACATCTTTCTTGATTTTTGAGATACTCTTCATTGCTCAAGCATGTCAACCTCTCTGCAGAAAAGTGCCGATGCCGTGTTCCCGCTAACAGTGTCGGACAGTGTACCTAAATACATATGCGAAGCCATTTTAGCACCGTTTTTAATGTTATAAATTTGAAAGAAAAACGCCGCAAATGTCCAATATTTTCACCTGTGAGGCTGAGAAATGTTCCAAGCTATCTAGTATGTATGAATTATTCATAATATTTGCTGCCATAATCGAGCGCAGAGAAAATGCACTCACTTTTTCCCATAGAAACGCATTACCGGAAATCACTTTTAGACTGGTTGCCCCACAGGCAGACTTAGCATATTTCCCCCCTAGGCTTATTTTTTTTTTTTTTCAGATTTAAAATAGAAGAATTTATGCATATAACAAGCAGATTTATAAATCCCCCTGATTAAATTAAAATAGCCGCAACAAATCTGTTGTTCACGTTAGCAGTTCATATAGTTAGGTATATTAAAATTAATCGAGCTTAGAAGTGGATGAGTGGAAGGTCTGAAACAAGCTTTCCAAATTCAGCTGAATTTTCGTTTATGCATGGTGCACGGTAGTGAATGACTTGGAAAAACTATTTGATAATTATTTTGAAAAAATTCGGCCGAAACCACTATTTGCTTCGAACTCAAAATCCACTATTTCAGGGGTGGAACTCATGAAATGTACTTGGGAGCAGCCGCGGGAGCAGCTGAAACAGCTGTTTTGGAGCAGGTTGGGAGCAGCTAAATCTAAATTTTGGAGCAGGCTAGGAGCAGCTCAGGTCTGTTCTCATTGCACTTCAGCTTGTGCCTTAGACGAGCACGGGAGCAATTTCAATTGTGCTTAGCAGCACAGATGAGCATGAGTTGTTAGGAACCTAGGCGGATGGGATAGCAGTGTAACAGATGCGAAAAGTTGAAATTTTGTGAGCCTTAATGAGAACCAAAAAGAAAGTACCATATGTTTCTGAAGATAGTGTCTGATATTTTCCGAGTGGCTTTCAGCTGCGCAAAGTACAAACCAGCAATGCTTATCCCACAATCCAGACATGCTTGACATAGTAATTATATGTGCGAACCACGTGACGTACGTAAGCAACGGACGTGCAGTTGCGCGGAGGAACAAGACAACAAATTTAGAGTTTATCCTATTGTACAACTGAACATCGAAGCAGCAGACTACGATTAACGGAGTTATCGTATTCGAAGCGATAAGCAGGAGCAAGGTTACAGTACGCCAAGCAGATTTACCGCTCGCGTGAGAGTTTGCTGGGCGGCAAGGTTTCGGATCGGACCGCGTTTGAGTTCTATCAAATCACGAATTATCTCGCGGGAATGTGGTTCCAATTTCTAACGATGAAGCGCTAAAAGGAATCTTTTCCTAGTGTGTTTTCAACTGGCTGACGTCCGGATCCCGGGCTGCAGAGCCTCAGGCAATTTGATGCTTAACGACTCGACCACATTTCGGCCAACTTACTTGAAGAATAACAATCCAGTCGCAGGTGGTGTAGCGCTTGGAATACAATTCCCGAGTTTTTTTCGCGCGCTTGCGACTCTGGACACACAAGGAGGATATACAGAACAAAAGATTGCAAAGCAGACCAGGCTAAACGGGCTCATTGTTGCCAATCCAGTCGATCGAAACCGAAACCAAGACAAAATACAATTTTTTTGGCTCACGTTGTGCGATTTGGTGCATAATGGCGCGAGGTATTGGCTGTGGCGCAGTTTCCGCAAAATGGCGCAGGATGGAGCAGACAAACGCGTCTGGCGCAAAATGGCGCAAATGGCGCAGCCGTTCCACCCCTGTATTTGCACGTGCCTAGTGCTTACAGATACAATGATGCCACCAGAGTCATACTGCCGATGTGCCGATGTCATTGAAAAAAATCATAACTGTAATGCATTCTCAGTTACTGTGCATTCGTATTCTAAATTGATCTCAGGTCAGCTGCAGATGATTTGGTTTTAGTATCAGCCATGCTCACTTCAATTACACCTTACTAGCTGTTAAGGATTCATGTTAAGATGCCGACATGTCCCTCGTCCTGCTTGAAACAACAGCCTGTATCTCACTAAACCCACCTCTCCTATGCAGCCAGCCAGACCTTAGCAGTACTCCTTTTTTGCCTTCTAACTCGGCCCTCTAGGTTATGACCACAAGCAACTAATGGAGGTTTTCTAAAAGTCAGTTTATCCACCCTCTCCAGAGCTAAACACAATCTTCTATAGCGGAAATCACACAGCTTTTCTCCAGCAGGAAAACATGGCATGTCTACAAGGGTATATCAACTGGTGCATGTTTGTACCAGTTCATTCGCAGACTCCAGTACATTTCCTATTTTCGTTTACTTTTGTTTAGAGTGCCTTTGTTTTACTCGACACAAGTGAGGAAACCCCAAAAAGTATCACTATCATTAGTTCCTCAAAGAAACATAATCTTTTCCAATAAAATACTTTGGTGCCCTCATACTATCAGCTCATGCCAAACACAAAGCAGGGAACTGGCTTCCACATATTGACCCATGTACATAACCTTGCATTTATAAAATTGAGATTGTGTGACTTAGGCAATCCTGTCCTCTTGCCAATACGATTAGAGTAGACTTCCCGGAGCTTCTGCAACTGCCACTACATAGCTACGACTTTTGAAAAGTATCTAATGCAACAAATTGTGCTGGGCATTTTAGAGCAGCGGTCTATATTCATCACAGAGAGATTCATACAAAGCTAGTGTTCCAACTTCACGGCGGGAAAACTACTTTTCCTCTGCCCACCCTCGACGACAAGCAGTCACCCAGGAGCCGCAACAGCGATCTTGTCGCACTCAGCGAGAAGGAAAGTCGCATGTGCATCTCCAACTGGATCGTTGCGAGGCCCGCCGATATTGATGAAGCAAATCTCGTGCATTTCAGATTGGGATGACCCAACGCGACAGGTGGAACACAATGGTGCTCGTCTCATTCGTTTGGCAAAAGATGCGCGACTCAAACCATTTGACGGAATTTGTCGACGGTCCCTCTCTTCGGCCGAAGTGGCATTGCTCCGGAGGAATGACAACGTCTGCAAGAACGGTCGGTGCAGAGACACGTCCGGTAAGCAAGCACCCACCCCTGAATTCATCCGGGGCGTCCCCATAGTCCACCTGCCGCTGGCGTGCCTCGGCCAGAGAGCGCTCAATGCGGGCAGCCAGCTGCTCAAACTGCTCCAGCTGAGGGCGGGTCTTCACGTGTGCCTTGCGCATGCGGGCTCCTGCGTCCTGCAACCAGAGCACGCCTTTTTCAGGACTGGTTCGTAGCCTTGCGTTTGAATGAGACCAAGTGCGTTGCGAACGCTAGTAACTGCTCGTGACCCTTCGCCCCCCCTCTAGCGCGTCACCTGAAAGAGGGAGGCCCTGTAGGAACGCTCGTCCCTGCCCACGGCCTGGAGGAAGGGCGGGCAGTCCAGGTGCAGGTACATGTCCGTCAGCTGGTCCAGCAGCCTCCTGGGCTCCCAGCCGTACTTCTCGGGCTGCTGCACCTTCAGGTCCTTGCAGCGGGGTCCGCACAGCTGCTGCAGGTTGAAGTTCAGCATGGCCGCCAGCCGGTCCACCAGTTCCTGCATCGACGGTAATCGCTAAGTCAAGGCGTCGGGGCAAGTGGCCAAATGAAACTCCCGCGGCAGTTTATTGCTGCCTTAGAGAAAGAAACGATTGCACGTCAAAATTTGTGGCCATCTCACCAAGCAACGGGCGTTCGGCGCCTTTGAGAGAAATGTGCCATATTTTGGAGGCCAAAAACAAACAAAGCCTCACAACCTCAAAATCTAGGCTTCGGAGTCTGTTCGTCGGAGGCAAGTCACAGTAATGCTCGAGCATTAACTTTTGCTTCGTTTGGAAAAGTATCGGCACCCTCCATAAACGTGTTGTTGGATGCGTGTCACAAGCGCAGACAGTAACGAACGATCACGGACAACTTCGGTCAACACAGTGAACTTGGTTTGGGCCCCTTTCCAGCCCATTTTACGATTTGATCGTCGGATTATTCGACCAAATTCCAACATCCCAACAAGACCGAATCAACTAAAGGGTACTGAACAATGAAATACCACGAAACGTAACTGTCGCTCTTGCGACAGGCAGCGTAGTGTCTGCTCGGGGAAACCCAAATGCCAAATGCCAGGGGCCAGTCATTCTTCTGCTCGGACCAAAATTTCCCAGACAACGCGTGGCAGACGTGGTGGGCTGTGGGCGACTCACGGGTCTTAGGAAGGGCTCGGGCACGTCTGCGGTCAGGTAGTGCAGCATGTCCACGGTTTCCCTGGCCAGGGTCAGGTAGGAGCGGCACTGCCGCTCGTCCTGGGACAGCTGCCGCTGCCGCGCCTGCTGGGCTTCCGCCCCCAGCCGCGCCCAGGCTTCCACGTCCCTCGCTTCCTCCTGCAGACCGCCACGTGCGGTGACAGACCGAGCAGGCAATGCGTCAGGCCCTGGCAATTCTTGGATGCTTCGATCACAGCGGACCGGACCGTAGCTACTCCAAGCAAGAGCCAACTACAGTCCAGCCCGGTTATATCACACCCCAGTATTTAGAATTATTGTTTATATATTGAACAGTCCAAACATCCCCTTGAAAATCACATATTATAGTATAGGAGTGTTGTTTTTTTCTATCGAACTCTTATGTCGGGGACACTCCATATAGCAAACTAAAACACATCCCCCCCCCCCCCCCCCGTATGCCAAGCACAAGCGACACCTCTATGTTTTGGTGCCCATGACATTCAACGACGTCTGCACAACCACGGTATCAGTCTGCACACATGGTGTGAATGCAACTCCGAGAGACAGTAATCACAAACAATGAAATGACGATGGCGGTTGTCACACAGGAGACAGAGGTAACGGCGGGACCATTCAAAAGAAGCATTCTGCGCAGGCACTTTACGCCAATCAAGCGGACACCGCTGAGCGCCGAGTGGAAACGTTGCTGACATCACTCCTTGCTCGAAGAAGTAAAATCAAACAAAAAGGAGCAATAGTGATGACGGTTAGCTCAATGTTGGCTACACCAATGCCGTAGCCTCGACTGCACTGTTGGTTGCGCCTCAATTTGCCCGCTAGAATTACCGTAGAATACCGCGCATTCATCCATTCCACACTAAGCGCCCATTCCCAAATTTGTAATATCTGAGAAAATACTCACAGTGCATTTCTATATAAAATTGATGACCGGACAAGCGCCCATCTCATTTGTTCGCGATTATCTCTAAATTTTGAGTGGGCGCTTGCCCAGTATTTTGCGGTAGCCGATTTCGGCAACTTCGCATGTTACAAAATTTGCCGGGCCATTTAAGAAACATTTAGACAGAACAAGGTCATAATATTTGTTGTGTGGTATTCTTGGGTGATACTGAAGTGAACATTTTTTTTTTTTTTTTTTTTTTTCAGGAAACAAAAATGAAGTGGAGTTGCTTTCTGCAAAAAAAGTTGAGCTTGAAATATGTCATATTTACATCTGCCAACATGTAGAGAGTATTCCCAGAAAGTTTAATTTGTTTACAATTCATAGTTATTTTTTCATAAATTATATTCAGTCCACCAATGCTGAAAAAAAGGTAGAGGTTTGAGCACTTTGAACGAGTTTTTCTCCATTCTACTCTTTGCCATACATTTCACTTAATAAATTTATTGTTTCAGTATGAAAATATACATAGACTGAATTTCTACAATTTATATACCGAAACTTTATAGAGCCAGTTACTATGAACTTAGATTTTGCACTTTCACGTTCTTTAATTATGAAAAATTGTGTAATTTTAGTAAATTGCAAAACCTAATATGGATAAAAAAAAAATATATATATTTTTCATTAATCTTTTCTAGCTTAAAAATGCATATTTCGTGAATTCCTTTTTATAGTAACTGGCAACAGGTATTTCAGTATGCATTCCACCAGAAAAATATGTGGTTATCAACACCATTTCTCAACGGTAGATTCAATGAGCAGATTCCATGCCAAGCTATGCTTTACTTCATTCAGGGGGTATAGCACCTCATAAAAATGGTTCACAGGGCTACACTTTGCAAGCCCTCCTTGTATATGGCTACACACTACCACGTGCAAATTTCACAGCGATTGAGTGAGTGGTTCGAAAGTTGACATCCCCAGGTTTCCTTAACATACAATTTACAGAATTCCCAAATTTGGGAAATGTTAATTGTGGGCGCTTGAAAGAAGTGGGTGCTTCTGGGGTTATTTCTGGTATTCAGGATTCGCTTCAAGATAAACTGTGATATTAATTTTTTTTTTCCCCTAAGTTCTGATTGTGGCGGGTTAGCCTCGTTGAGCGCACACACTTCTTACCAAGCACCGGTGCACTGCAGAGAAGCAATGTGCTTCTCTGCAGTGCAATGGCGCTCGCGCACTCAAAGGAGTAACCCGCAGCAATCAACACTTGGAAAAGTATGAAGATATAAGAAATTAGAAGAAAAAAATATAATAATAAATAAAGAAAAATCTTGCACAAATTACAGACCGAGTATGGTTTGTGTGGGACACATTCCGTGCACCTTGGTCTTTGTCAGTATGTTGAAGCCTCCACAACTTTTTGACAGTGTCTTTGCACTGTCCATTTTTAACAATAAACACAAACAATGTTGCAGTGAAGCAGTAAGAAGCTTAGAAACTTCATAGACAAGAAAGTCTACCTACAGTGAAAACTGATATACAACTAAGATATGAAAACAGTGAAACAAAGTTCAAGTATGCTCGCAACACTGGTACAGGCATCTGAAGTATTGATATGCCAAGCATCTGAAGTGCTGATATAGTCAAGAATTTTCTCGATGAGCTTGGCTTCACCACAGAAGAGTTTTTCAACAATGGGAGAGAGAAGAATGGGACTGTAGAATCCGTAGTCGTGCGTCGACGCAAGGCACAGCTATGCTAAAGTGTGCTCAGATTAGGGTTAGTTAGCGGCATGGCGAAATTTAGCTTATCCTAGATGCGTCACCCACATCAGGGTAAAGTTATACTAGACTGGTGCGACCGCAGTGGGCAACTGCCGAAAAATCCATGCCCACTCTCTGGTACATGACTTTGATGGGAATCCCTATACCAGCCCCGTTTGCAATCTATTCACACGTTGGTTTGGCTGCAGGTGTAAGTGCACCGCTCGAAGCGTGGGAATCCTCAGAACTGCCGCCAACGTCACTAGATTAACTCTTCTGGCCGGCTTTAAAAGAGGCACAAAAACCGCTACCTCTCAAGTGCCACCATTTTTGTTTATGCAGTGGCACGCGATTATAACAGCAGTTTGGAGGGCAGCAGCGGCACGCAAAAAACTTTGCAGTGGTACTTTGGTCATATCTGACAAAATCGTCCCACGTGGAATATGTCTCTGGGTCAGTAGATAACGGCATAATCGCTCATGCACCGAGACTCGTATCACGACTTATGACGGGAGCACCGTCGGTCGTTGTTATGGTTACACGATTGCCTATACCAGCCAACGGCAGTGAGGTGCCACCCGCGAGCAAGTCGTGCTGCAGTGCCCAAATGCCACTCCCTCCTTGTCGTAATGCTTCTGCATCCCGCTTTCACGTCTCACTTTTACGTCTGATGTTTTCGCCAACATATCTTCAACAAAAAACACATTCTACGTAAAAAGGTGGTACCTCGAACAACCGGTCACAAACGCCTGCAGGGAAAGGGGAGTTCAACCCCAGCGAGCAAGGCCTACGGGAGTTTGGCAACCGAAAGCGTCCAGTCACGCTGACCACCGTGTCGCACCTGCGTCTGGTGAATGCGCTTGAGGGACTCCAGGGACTCGTCAAGCAGGAACGTCGTGTCGTTCATGAGCATGTTGACAAAGCGCACAAACTGCCGCCCTTGGGCGGCCTCCTTCAGGATCGCCTCCTTGTGGCGTGGACTCTCCCACAGGCTCTTGAGCAGGATGCTGGGGAGGAGACAGGGCGCCCGTCAACAACGGCGCTCTCGAGAAGACGCCACCCTCCGCCACATCGAGCGGTGGCAGTGCTAAAAATAGTGGCTGCCAAGTTCGGTTCTGACAGTTTTGCTCGATTCTGGGTGGTTCAAGCTCAAGGACATACGCGAGAAATAAACCGTTGCACGAGGGTTTCTTCTCCCTTCCATCTATTTCCATCGAGAGAATTATTGGCCAGTATGTTTCCTTAGATTGTAGTTTTATGCTCTTGTTACGGATGGCTGAAAGCCATACATCAAAGAGGTTCTATCAAACTTTATCGACATGCTATCCAGCCGTGCCAGCGAGAGGTTGTGTATCTCGCGCACCTCTACTCATTCTACCGCTTCTCTGCAGGGCACAAATTTCGAGAGCTAGAAGTGCACCTCCAGATGCATTAACATGCATGCACCTGGCAGCTAATGATAAACACGAACATGCCTTCATTATAATTATGTCGTACAGAAAACATGAAGAAAAAAAAAAGGGACAGCAGCTATTTACGCGAGTCTTGCGCCATGTGCTGCACAACCGTGAGATCCTCTGTCCATAAGAAAATCGAGACATCTTTTAAGAATCCCAGAAATAATGCGATACAAATATTAGCAAGCACACATATTTCCAACTTTTGTCAATTTATAACTAGGTTTAGCTGCACCTAGTTACAGACAGTTTTAAAAATAACAAGGAGTCCCAGCAGAAAGCACAGATGGAAACAGTGGTATGGCGGGAAAAGGCGAGAAAGCCCCCAGCAGTACCAGGCATGGTTTTATTTTTTGCGACATCCAGATCACATTGAGGAGCCTAGAGCCACTAAGTAGGCTACTCTAGTCATTGAATGTTTCCAGAGTATCGCATTCAAAAGCATCTGATGCGACTGATCTATTTTAGCTTTGACCGGCCATTTTGACGGCGAAACATATACGGTGAAAGTGGTTTAAGGAATGCCAACCTCAGTCTCTCAAGCGGACGCATTACCTGAAATCACCAGTGAGACATGGTTGTATAAAAACAATAATAATTGTGCCGCAAAACCTTGTAAACTAACATTTCATGAAAACATCACGCTCCTGTTATTTTGTACTAATCTCCAATAAAAGTTCCCACAAAAAGAACTCTGAGCCGCCATCTTGGCACTATTGAGCCTGGGAGTTTCGGTACTCTGGGAAGGGTGTGGTGTCAACGAGCTCGGGCAAAATCGCTTTGTTCAGTTTGAACTGCGTCGCCAATTCTAGAAGACGGAAACGCGTTCCCCACAGTTGCAGATAAAGCTCTAGGTTAACTGTCAACAATAAGTTTAACCGACAAGTTGGCCGAAGTGTCCTTTTTCTGAAACATATCTTATTTAGAAGCTCCAGAGGAGCCATCGTCATTCTTTCCCTTGCTTGATCCCAACTGCCACAGGGGACGACGCATGCTTTCAAAAGATAGGGCCCATTCAGCGCCCCTCGCAAGAACTACAAAGACTTTATTTAGCCGTACTGAGAGAGTCCAGGAAACAAAGATGGGGGCAGACCTGATATGGTAGCGTATTGTGAACTTGTCGTAAAACTCAGAAGCGGCGCCCGTGGACTCGACGTCGGTGTAGAAGCGCATGAGGGCGGGCCCCATGGTGCTCTGGGCCAGGGGCAGGCTGAGCACAGCGGCCGAGAAGCCGCAGGCGCTGCCCGGTGGCTGCACCAGGGGGCTGGCACAGAAGAGCACCTCCACCAGCTTGGCCCCCAGGTAGGGGTTGGACAGCCACTGCGGGCAGCACAGCAGCCAGCCCAGCAGCTGTGCCAGGGGCCCCGCCTGGGACTCCATCGACGACGGCTGGTACCTGCACGGGAGGGGGACCACGCAGGGCCGTTCACTATACTCCGTTCACACCCCAGAGCAGACGGTGCGGTGGAAGCTATATGCTCGTAGTCGAGCGTCTTCCGTCGCCGACCGATGTTTTGGACTTATTGGGGACGGGAAAAAAAATAAAAATATTAGGACAGTCCGAAAAATGTGCAGATTACAAAAACTGATCTTTATTGAACTTAAACTGGCTAAAGAAAAGGCGCCTAGAGTTGCCTGCCTTCTGCTCCGCTCGCGTCCGATGGCATCCGCTTAGATTTGAATGAACGTCGTGCTCTCATCGTACCCATTGAACGCCAATGATGCAGACTTTGGTATGTCCACTGTCGATGGCAGCGGGTAGTCAACGTAATCCTCTTTTGCAACCAAAATCGTTTTCTGCAGGCTGAGCGAGCACCTGCCGCACAATTTCGTCGTCACCGAGTTCCGCACATGGTTCAAGCTCGTCGCCGACCGCGGCAAACTTAAAGCAAGAGCTTTCGAAAGTAGACAATATCTTCGACTTGTTTTTCATGCGGTTCGACAGCGTTTGCTTTGGCAACTTGAATTCCTTCACTATGTCGACTTGCATCCGTCCGCTCTCAATCAACTCGATTATGGTGGCTTTCTTCTCCTGATTCATTGTAAGATACCGTCCGTGCTTGTTCTTGACGTTTTGCGGTGGTAGAATAATGGATGGTAGCATGGTTACATACAGCGTGTCGCCGAAGAGGACATGTCCCAAAATCAAAAATCGCAGCGCACGTGACGAGAGGCGAATAAAGGAAGGGATGCAATTGAATGCAACATGAAACACTGAACCATACAAGCCACTCGGACCAGTTGGAAAACAAAAGAAAACAGACAAAGACGAAAGGCAATGATGATGATATGTGTGGCGTAAAAAATATACAGAGAAAAATAACGCCACTTAGCTGTTTGGATTAGCAGCGCTTGGATTGGTTGCCAAGCCAATCCAAGTCAAAGTAGAATTCAAAATGGCGACTCCTTTGTGGCTAGCTTCATGAACGTTCATATTCCTTTTCCTGGTCTATAAAGCCAGGAAAATAAAACTTTTAAACTGTACAGCCGAATCTCGTTAATTTAAACTCGAGGGGGACAGAGAATTTGTTTGAACAAAGCAAAGTTTTTAATTACTGGGAGTTTCCTCCTATAGAGATGCATAGGATGAGAGCTGCATGCTAGTTTGAATTATCCACGAGTTTAAATCAATTAAATCAATCAACGAGAGTCGACTATCTTCACCCGATACAACATGGTTTCTGATTAATCCGAAATAGCAAAAAAGTTTAAATTTTCGGCACCGAAATATTGGTCGGTGAATCTATCCTTAACCATGCAATCCCACTCTTGCCTACACCCATGCGCAGAGAGCAAGGTCAGGTGGTGAACGGGAGACGATTGATTAGTTTAGCGATTGCATGTTCTCACACACAAGCACGCAAGTGCTTTCGTGAGGCAGTAATTAATGTATGTGAATGATTTTGTGCTAATAAAACTATTATCATTATTATGATTATTATTATTACTATTATAGCTACCCCTGCACTGTAAGTTTAGGGGTGAACAAAGTGTACAAAACTTTGCATTTCTTCATTTAAACAAAATGCACCAGCAGATAAAACGGTGATAAAGTCGCTTGCAGCAGTTCTTGGCTCTACGTTTGCATTTATCACTATGCTGCAAGTGTGGTAAAGTGAAGCAGACTGAAAGAATGACCCAGCATTCACAACTTCCTTCAGTCATTTTGGCGTCACTTCGTCACTCGCCAAGTCCTTATCTAATGATGGCAATGATACCTGGCATGACAAATGCAGATGAAGTGAATAGACTGTCAAACCCAACATGAGTGTCGTTTGTAACCTCTCGATACCCCACACACACGACTTGTAGTACAACATTGCACCAGGTCAGGTATGCAGAGAAGAGAGTTTCGGAAAAAATATTTCAATGCCCACTACATATACCCACTAAAGCAATCCAGAGTAGTCAAGAGCTTTCACCAAAGCTGTTGCCAATGACCCCTTACCATACCCGACACACTGAAAGCAAACCCACACCCCCAAAGAAGCCTCAAACAAAATTTAATGCTCACGAATAAAGAAGACGGCATGATATTTCTGCACACCGAAAGTGACAGAGTCCCCATTTCCTTTTTCTTTTGTGCAGTTTGCTGCCACCCACTTAAGAAGATATGCCAAAGTTTGCCTCGCTACAAATACAATCGTAGAGACGAGCTCGAAAGGCCAAAGAAGAGGCTACTCACTGAATGGCAAAGAGCAGGAAGTCGGCAATGTCCTCGATGTACCACTCTGGGTAGGCAGCAAACAACTGAGGAACCTCCGTGGGAGACGTCCTGCTCGAGAAAGGAAATCCATCAGAAGAGCGGCCCGGCAATATTCTGCCAGCCCCGAGAACTAAGAAACAGCATACACAGTCACAAATCTTTCTCGTAGTAAAATAGTCACAATTTTCCTTTTCTTGGAGGGGGGGGGGGGGGGGAGGGGAACATCTTCCAAACATTAGCATCTTTGCCATAATGGTAACTTTAATGCTTACACCGACATCACGAAGGGTATACTTCAACTTTGCTTCCCCTAATGCACATCCTCGGTCTGCCGGTCTTTACAGCGGGGAGGGATTCCACCGCATTGTGGACCAAACAAGGGTCCCACCCCAAAATTAAGTGGACCGTCCAACGTCCCCACGGTTCTAGCTTTTCATCTCTGATCCCGAGAAAGTATGGACAACTCACGTTTCTAGAACCTTGAGAAGCACCGAAGCAACCTGATTGTAGAAGCCCAAGCAGCGCCCCAACAGCTGCAGATCCAAGAGGCCGGCATCTGCGCACGCCTTGCTCTTGGAGATTTTCTGCAAAGTATGTGGACGATGACAACACTGTTGCAACAAGGTAGAGCAGCAATTCTCAAATGGGGTTCCGCAGACCTGCAGGGGTCCGTGAAGTCAATTTTGGGGTCCGCGAAGTTCTCGCCTCAACCGTCAAACCCACCCTCTTTTCTTAAAAAATATTGCTTTTTTTGTTGACCCTGGCTAGGTGGCGCAAGCTACCGCCTGTTACCATCCAACCGTCTATTCATCCTTTTACTTCATGCGTCTTACCTTGCCTGTCTATAACAGTAAAGGGTGCCCTTTCCACACTGCAATTCATTCTAATTTTATACCCCTAACGCCCCTTTTCCCCTGCTGGCATAGGGTCCCCCATCACTTTCGCGGGTCCCCAAAACGTCCATGCTCGAGAACAACTGAGCTAGAGGGTGCCGCGGGAGTGCCACAGGTACTAAGGCAGACAACTGTCCCTGCGCTGGATTTTGCAGCTTGACAAGTGTGAGAAAAGGGCATTTTTTTGTTTACATCTTTCACGTTGAAGTTTAGGTAGTCAGTGAAAGTTATAGGCACAAGATTGTGGCTTCAAAACATGTTTGCATAGAAGAAGCGTTCACAGCCTAGTCACAGAAACGCAGAACATGGCGAGTCCCGAGCCAACAAGATCGTGGCATTACCTGACAAGGTTGCCAAAGAATGAATCCCAAACCGAGGCGCGTGAATATAATAAGTTACGACCTGCGTTTCTTAAGCTGCCGACAAGTGTAAAAAGAAGCGTTTCGAAGCGAGCAATTCAAGCTAGCTCACGCGCATCGCCTCCGCCGCCCACTCAACTTGAAGGTATTTGGAGCTCGGAACGCCACGACTGGCACGCACGGCCTTGCTTGACTGACAAATATGCGCTTGCTCAAGTTTAGGGTAATCTTTCGGCTGCACAAAAAATATTGTCGCAAAGAAGAAAGAGCGGACGAACATAAAACTAAAAACAAACACGTAACGAGGGAAACTCGTGCCAGCGAACAACAAGAGGAATTCACAGATTCTCCGGCAGCGGTGGAAGGGCGACTAACCCGAGGCGGTGTGCTACGGCTGCCCTTATATGCGAGCCACGTTTGGGAAGGTTCTAAACCAGGATGCATGATTACGGCGAAAGAGGAGAAGGAAGCGGAACTTTCCAGAAAAGCAACAGTTGGTAAAAAAAAGAACTGTCCCAGCGGGGTCCAAATTCCGCACCTCTGGGTAGCAACCACGTGCACCGTGAACTCAGCCATCTGTGCCGCGAACTCAGGCACATCTGCCGCAAACGTGGCAATATCCAACGGTCGTTGCCATTTACACCCCCGTGCCCATTCACCTTGGCCTGAGCCCTCCACTTGCGAATGAGCCTGCGGTTGCGCTCCGCGTTGGGCAGGTGCTCCCAGAGGGGCTGGGCGGCCGCCATCTCCTGGGCCATGCGCTGCAGGTCCCGGATGGCTCGCAGGCGCCGTCCGTAGCGCCCCAGGGCGGGGCTCAGGCCCAGGTGGGCGCACTGCAGCGCCAGGAACAGGCACTCTGTCGGAAACTTGGGCGCCTCTTCGCACCACTGCTTTCCCTCCCGCGCACCTGCAACACAAACGCCGCCAGTTGGGCCTTTGTTCTGTCGTTCTTCCCTTTAAAGGGGTACTCCAGCATTTTCTTCATAGTCCCCGATTTGCCTGAAAATTTGCTAAAGACACCAACAGACATAGCTGAAAAAGTTAAAATATTTTGCCAATATTATTTTTTAGAGCGCAGCTCTTAGGCGCCCGTTTCCGGATTGAGCGGCGTCGGCATTGGCGTCGGCCTAACTACACGGTGCATTACGGGACGCTTCCCATGATGACGTCACCTCCGACGTCAGGAGGGTCACCGCGCGTTGCATTATGGGTAAATTTGCCCGCTAAATTTAGCAGAAAAAATGTCCCCGCTAAATTTAGTGGAAAAATTCCCCCGCTAAATTTAGCAGAAAAATTTCCCCGCTAAATTTAGCCGCCGCTAAAATTAGTGGAAAAAATTCCCCACTAAATTTAGCTGAAAAATTTCCCCACTAAATTTAGCAGAAAATGTTCCCCGCTACATTTAGCGGGAAAATTTCCCCACTAAATTTAGCGAAAAAACTCCCCACTAAAGTTAGTAGAAAAATTTTCCCAATAAATTTAGGAAAAAGAATTCCCAAGTACATTAAGCGGGAAATTTAGTGAAAATTTCCCGCTAAATGGGAGGCGAGCAGGAGAGCAGGAAGGGAGGGTACGGTTGAGGAAAAGGGGCATACCCTCCTCCTCCTCAAGAGCAGCACTCTCTAATTCTGCGTTACAGAGTATTATAAATGCCTCTCATTTTTTATTTTTTTTTGCAAAGTTATTGAATTTGCAATTTTGGTCATCACCGTGTTTTTCAAAGTGAAAGTCTCCACTGGCAACAATGAAAAAGTGAGGTCAGCAGAAGGCAGGGGTTCACTTTTTGGACTGCAGACTTTTTTCCAACTGATTACTAGTGTCATGGTGCCAAATGAATGCTATGGAAGCTTGCTCCAGCACCCATGAGCCCGAAACAAATGCTCGGCATAGTCAAGTTTTAGAGTGCCCGCCCGACCTGCAAACCTGCCTTCCGCCGACGTCACGCCACTGAAAAGTGTGGGTATATTTGAATGCTGGGTTCGGCATCATTTTCAGTTGCCTATATCACAATAACTGTTCTGAATTTTGCTATACTAAATAGTATACCAGAAAGAGTAAAGGCCGGTGATTCTGAAAATACAGTTATTTGAGGTAGCTAAAAAAATCGCCGGAGTACTCCTTTCAAGAGGCATATGCATACCTGCCAACCTGTGGACTTCCAAATTTGTAAAACTCCCATGGCCGTGGAGGCGGGGGGAGGGGTGGGGGGAAGGTAAAAGAGGTAGGCATTCTGCGGGATGAATGATGCTCTATTTTGTCAGCGATTTTGCTGTTCCCAATTTCGCCTACTTTAGAAAGTTGTCTTGTTCGAAGCACGCCCCATTCTTACATCACATGTGCATGTGGTACAGAATCCAAACTTTTCTCCCTTCTTGGATGGCACGAAGCACGGGAATTCCGACGTTTAGGACTTTAAGAACACCTGAAAGTACCTCTTTCGAGGTTTGGAGTTCCCCATTGCGCCACGAAGCCACCGCGACCAGGGGAGTGCTACAACGATTACACGTGCAACAAACAGAGACGCCAGACTGCTCGCCACGAAACTGGCCGAAACAGTGAGGCCGAACCACGGCTGAACACGCCGAACCAACGTGCGCCACCGAACACATTAACAAAGGCTTTGGGGTTTGGATTTGTTTTGGATCCGTGGCCATTGGGTAGAAGAAAAGTAAAAACCATGAAGCTGCCGCAGACGGTATGTATCGCCCTCTTGTGGCAGTGCAAGGTACCGCCAGCAGCGGTCTCTTTTTAGCATTTGTTCGTAAAATTCAAAACAAGATTCGTCAAATCGTAAAATTAGTCCCAATTCATATATTTTATGATAGATTTGGAAGAGCTTGCAGGTATGCATATGAACTCCCTAAAAACCTTTTTTTTTATGTGCCAGGATAGGGCAGATGTCACAAAATAAGCTTACACCGACAACCTTAGCGACCTTGGCGTCATAAAACTGAGAAGGATAAAAAAACATTTTACTAACATTTCAAACTAAATAAAACTGGTGGCCAGCAGAGTTCGTGAATACACAAAAATAAATAGCGTCTGCTGACGCTAAACAAAAAAAAGCTTTATCTTTATATTAAAAGTTTTAGAAATCACCTTCAGCAAGGGTTGTCCAAATACTAAAAATTGTGAATAATAGCTTTGAATAATACACTAATCGATGTTTGCTTCAAGATTAACTGCGATGTTCGTAGTTTTCAAAGTGCTGATTGCGGGGGGTTAGCTTTGGTGAGTGTGCTTCTTACCGAACACAGGTGCACTGCAAAGCAACAGCTCCGAAAGCGAGCTCCGTGAGTGTTGCTTCTCTGCAGTGCAACGGTGCTCGGTAAGGAGCACACTCGACAGGATAACCCGCAGCGATCAACATTTGGGGAAAGTATGAATGTCGCAATCACATGCTTGGGAGAAAAGCACACTTTTAAAGTGGGATGGTGCACGTGCACCTGGTGTATTTCGAAAGAAATGGAAACTTTGTGAATGTTGATATCTCCATTGCTGTAAAATTTCTAACATTAAACTGTGACAGTTATGCAACAGTATACACAGCTTACACTGAGGTCACATGGTCAGACAGAATGGGGGAAGGAAAGCATGAGAGTGTAGCTTCTGCTGCGTTCATGAGACGCTTCTTGCCACCGGAAAGAAAGGTGGACTGACGTCGAGTGGAAATCATGTATATGTTAAGCGGAGATGCCTTGAGGTGTGTTTATCAAGCATAATTTTTTTTTTTTTTTTGTTCAAATTCGAGATTGATTATAAAATACTTGCATACAAAAAGATTTATAAATCCAAGATATTAGGTATAGCTGGGCATTTCTATAGGTTCAATTATATGTAAAATCTGTCGTTTACCTGCCATTCCAAGAAATCAGACCTCTTAAGGCCACAGTCCATAAATGTAGCCAGTTTAAAACTAGCTTATAAATGGACAAGTGGAAGCTTGGGAAGAACCTTCACGAGTTTAGCTGGGTTTGCATTTAAGCATGGTGTAACAGCAGTGAAGGGGTCTGAGAAACTATATTCAATATTCGACCAGAAAATATTCAGCCGAAACCACTATTTGCATTGAACTCAAAGTACAGTTAAACCTCGATGTAACGAAGTCAGTAAAATTCGCAATTTACTTCGTTACATTGAAATTTCGCTAAATCGAAATTTGGCTTTAGCATGCAAAAAAAAATTCCGAAACATTTTACGGTTATGAAAACTCACCGAAAATGACTTTTATTTAGGGGCAAAGTAGTCCGTGAGTTTTGCTTGCGTCTTGTTGGACAGTAGCAGCGGCGTCATACGGCGTTCGAGCGCCCAGAGCGCTTGCACGGCATCTTGCTGCCCATGCGACGCCGTGTACCTCCTCAGTACGTCCATTGCGTCGAGCACTTCCCGAGTGCTCGGGAAGTGCTCGACAGCATCGGGCTCAGAATCGTCGTCGTCCTCCGTCAAGTTCCCGACCACATCCTGCACGATGGAAGCGTCAGAGACCTCTTCCGTTGCAACGACGCACGAGTCCCCGTAGAGGTAATTGTCCAGAGAGACATCGTCGGGGACAACACCGTCGCCACGGAGGGACTGCCATGCTCCCAGAAGAGCCTCTTGGTTTGACTCCGTCTCATCTTCACTTGGAAAGGACGATACTGTGGGAGCACTTCCGCTGCCTTCCCCGAGAGCACTGGCTGTTGATGCTGGAGGAGTTTCAAACCCAGCTTTCCGGAAACAGTTCTGAATGGTTCCGTCCGTCGCGGCTTTCCAAGACGCGGAGAGCATCTCCAGTGCTTGGAAAATGTCAACGTTTGTTGAACGTTTCAAGCGAAGGTTGAGAAGGAGCTTATCGATCAGCCGCCTACGATACACACACTTCAAACTGTTGATAATGCCCTGGTCGAGCGGCTGAATCAGGGACGTACAATTCGGTGGGAAGAACTGCAGCTCCACGTTTGATAGCTCCAGGTCTGGTATGTGGTGCGCGGAGCAGTTGTCCAGCAGTAGACACACACTGCGGCTGTCATTCTTCATCGCCTTGTCGAAGTCACCGAGCCATCCGCGGAAGATGTCACGGGTCATCCACGCCTTTGTGTTGGACGTGTATTCGATCTCGAGGTCCCGAGCACCTTTGAAGCATCTCGGCCTTTTGCTTTTTCCGATTATGAACGGCATCCGCTTGTCACTCGCGTCCATATTCGCGCAAAGGAGAATCGTGACCCGCACCTTGCTTTGTTTCCCTCCGTGGCATCGATCTCCTTTAAGGGCCAGTGTCCTATTAGGGAGCATCTTATAAAAAAACCCAGTCTCATCTGCATTGTAGATGTCAGCTGGCTTGTAGCGCATCATGATTCCCGGCAGTTCCTTTTCGACCCAACCAGCAGCTTCGGGCGCATCGGCCGACGTCGATTCCCCACTTGTCATTTTTCCGACAATTGCGTGCCGGGCCTTGAACCTGTGCAGCCATCCACTGCTCGCCTTGAATTTGTCTTCATCCAGAAGACATCCAAAGTCCTTGGCCTTTTGCTGCAGGACAGCCCCGCTCAGTGGGATATTTTGCGCACGAGTGTCCATGAACCAAGTGAAGACTGCCTTATCCACATGTTCATAAGTTGCAGCTTTCAGTCGCTTTATTTGGCCGCTTGTACCACTCTTCAGAGAGCCGAGAATAGAATCCTTTGCTTTTAGAATTGTTGAAAGGGAACTCTGCGGTATACCAAAGCGAGCCGCGACATCCTTCTTCCGTTCACCTTTGGAGATGGCGTCCAAAACGTTTGCTTTCTCATCCAAAGAAAGAACTTTACGTTTCCCCATGGCAGCAAGCACGTGAGTAAACCACCCGGTTGAAAAAAAAGCTGTTTAGGCGGTGCCAATGTTTCCAACCTACACAACACTCTTGCCCGCACTTTGCTTTACATCACGCTCGCAAGACGATAATCGGTCTTCTCGGTCTTCTCCTAGATGGCACTGCCCGTGCGGTCGCGCCTTCACGTCGCTCCACCGCTGAAGTTGGCTCCCGCGCTACCCGCGGTACAGTGGACTATGATGATCAGTGAATGTCAGTGGTGATGCTGTTATGCCGTGTTAACTTTTTGCTCGGCATTTTCTGGCCAGCCCCGCGGAATGCGCTTTGCCGCATGCCTCGCCGGCGCTACCGGCGCCGCATCCTCGGGCAGTGTTGGAAGGCCTGTCCCCGTGAGGTAACCTATCAAGCGCTCGCGTTTGCGCATAATTTTTTCTTTTCAACCACAATTTTTTTGCGAAGTTGTTCTTTAGAGTCTATTTATTTATTGACTTCTATGGCAATGGCGCTTCGTTATATTGAAATAGGAGCAAAATAGACTTCGTTATATAGAGACTAAAAATACATGGGGTCTATGGGCAAGAAATTATGAAAAATAAAATACTTCGTTAAATCGAGGATTTCGTTACATTGAAGTTCGTTATATCGAGGTTCGACTGTACACTTATTCGCACGTGCCTACATTCAACTTTTGAGTCGAATTACATTGGCTTCTAAAACTTTAGCATCATGTCCCAACTGCCAGTCCGGTAGAGACAAAGCTTTCAGTGATGCATAGTGCATTCCAGCAGAGAAAAAAACGCAACTCGCTTTTCTCGGTCGACAACTGGAAATTTTCTGATCTATTCTCACATATCGCTCCAGTATGGCACGTGGACACGCTTCAAAGTGGCAATATCAGGTCTGCAATCATATTCAAAACACCCAGTCAGGTCATTTCGTACAAGCAAATCAAAGGATTTCTCACAAAAATGGTTTTCTTTCGACAATAAAGGTTATTAATGTGCTAGCGTTAGTACCCACATGACAGGGAAAAGGTGATGGCATATGTCTGTGGACAGTACAATGGAAAGAGAAGCACAGTGCATAGGGAGGAGGAGAGTAGCAAAGGACAAAGGCGGGAGGGAGGCAATGTCAAGGGGTGGAAGCCTATGCGCGCGCAGATGCTGGGGAGAGTCTGAACTTGCAGGTGTGTGGAGTGCGTGTGCCTTGCTTTGCGATACAAAATGGAGTGTGAACCACATATTAGTGCTGGTTCGAGTTGGGGGTCAAAATAATTAAAGGAAGAATAATCGGTGGATCCTTAGGGAATGCAATAGCATGACCCTTGGGAAACACCACACATACCCCCCTTTGGGTAACGCTAACACTGACCCCCTAACGATGCCAAAAAGAGGCAGCAAGAAGCAGAGGCAGCAAGAAGCAGAGGAAGCAAAAGAGAAAGCTAAAAGAGAAAGCAAAAAAATTGACCGCATCTCCACTTGGTGAATGATGTTGATGGGGGCGAAGCTCTGGTGGTGCAGATGATACTGATTTTGTTCATAGGTAGTGCTGATGGTGCCGATTTTGTTTTTATTGCTCATAGGTAGTGCTGAGTTCCGGGTTGCGTTTCGACTTCATTATTACTGCTTTATGGTCACTGAAATGCAGAGCCATTGGTTCTAGCGAATCAGCTTGGATCAGCTAGAAGTGGTGGGAACGCATCTCCACCGCTTAAGTCAACGGTCCATGTCAGAAAGAGAATGTGTGGTATGGAACGTGGTTATATACGCATTTGAGCATTTGACTGCAGCGCCCTCTCGTCTATAAATGTTGAGCCAATGAATGCAAAGTTTAACGCGATTATACACGCATTTGACCGCAGCGCTTTCTCCTGTATAGAAATTGAGCGGCTACATGCAACGTTTCATCCATGACATCCCCCAGCTCTTGAGTTACTACCACATCTCAGAGCCCCCTACTCGTCCCCAGTCGTGGCCAAGTGGTTAAGGGGGGACACTGGCTAGAGGTTGAACTTCTGAACTACTCAAGCGATTGGAATGAAATTTGCAAGGGAGATTTAAATTCACATGTAGGTGTACTGTGCAAACTTTCAGCTCTCTAGGGCAACTTGACATACCTGCATAAAAAGATGTGTCACTCTTCATTAAGAAATCTATGATATGCAAATGAAGCTATTAAGCATCATTTTACCTGCTGGAGTATAAAGTGGGGGATGTGGGACTTTGGGCTATCTAGTTTTTACAAATAAAATGTAAATATTTCAGGACCAGTGGTTACCTCAAAATATGAGATACACATCTGTCCTATGTCAATTTTTGAAAACATAGTTTTTCTCAATAAGGACTTTAATCAGGGGTGGAACTCATGAAATGTACTTGGGAGCAGCCACGGGAGCAGCTGAAACAGCTGTTTTGGAGCAAGTTGGGAGCAGCTAAAACTACATTCTGGAGCAGGCTAGGAGCAGCTCAGATCAGTTTGCATTGCACTTAAGCTTGTATCTTAGACAAGCACGAAAGCAATTTCAATTGTGCTTAGCAGCAGAGATGAACATGAGCGGTTAGGGACCTAGGTAGAGGGGATAACAGTGTAATATATGCGAAAACTTGAATCTTTGTGAGCCTTAATGAGAATCAAACAGCAAGTACTCTATGTTTCTGAAGATAGCGTCTTTGATATTTTCTGAGTGGCCTTCAGACGCTCAAGATGCAAACCAGCTCTGCTTATCGCAGAACCCACACGTGCTCGACATAGTAATTATATGTGCGAACCACGTAGCGTGCGTAAACAACGGACGTGCAGTTGCACGGAGGAACAGGGCAACAAATTTCGAGTTTATCCTATTGTGCAACTCGATATCGAAGCAGCAGACTACGATTAACGAAGTTATCTTATTTGAAGCGATAAGCAGGAGCAAGCTTAAAGTACGCCGAGCAGATAAGTAGAGCTGCTGACCGGCAAGGTTTCGGATCGGACCGCGTTTCAGTTCTATCAAATCACGATTTATCTTGCAAGAATGCAGTTCCAACTCCTAACGATGAAGCACTAAAAGGAATATTTTGCTCATTTGCTTTCGACTGGATGACGCCCGGATCCCGGGCCGCAGAGCCTCATGCAATCTGACGCTTAACGACTCGACCTCACCTCGGCCTACTTGCCCTACCGCTTATGGTTGAAGAGTAACAATCCAGTCGCAGGTGGTGTAGCGCTTAGAATCCGAGTTTTTTCGCGCGCTTCCGACTCGGGATAGACAAGGGGAATAAACATAACAAGGGATTGCAAGGCCGACCAGGCTAAACGCCCTCATTGTTGACAATCGAGTCGATAAAAACCGAAACCAAGACAAAATAAAACGTTTTTTTTTGGCGCACGTTTTGCGATTTGGCGCATAATGGCGCGAGGTATTGGCTTTGGCGCAGTTTCTGCAACATGGCGCAGGATGGCGCAGACACATGCGTCTGGCGCAAAATGGCGCAAATGGCGCAGCCGTTCCACCCCTGTTTAATGTAAAACAAAATAAAGTAGGTAGCCCGATTCCCCAGTAAATTTCAGTTCAGAAACACCTTGATTGTGGTATCAGAATAATTTTTCCTTTGAACAAAAGATTCCTTTGTATGAAATTTGCAGCAAAAAGTGGAACTGAGAAAAATGCATTCAAACATTGAACTCCTTTACTTTGTTACTGCCTCACAATATGTTGAAAATATTTTATATCAAAGTAACTATTTGGTGCATGGTTGTGAAATTTAGTGTAAAGATGTATAATTAGTTTATAAAACCAAAACCCTAATAATTGAAAAATGATTTTTTTCAAAAAATTTTGAAACATAGGCCTATGTCCCCCGGCCACGGACTAGAAATCCATTGGGGACTCCCCGCACAGGTTCGAATCCTGCCGACTGCGCAAACATTTTTTCTTTTTTTTAAGAAGACAGATGGCATGGCAATTGATGTGAGCACAGACACCAGAAAAAGCTAGACCCTAAGGAGCTTCCCCCTAAGACAAAAAAGTGAAAATGTGAGTGTTAGCGTTTCCCAAGGGCCACGCTAACGCATTCAATAAGGATCCACCAATGGATCTTCCTTTCATTTTCAAGGGTTCCAAACTGGACTAGAGTAGACCCTGTTTGTGGCGCTGGAGTGCGAAAAGTCAGCATCTTGGCGCCGGTCCAGCTATACACGGAACATGCTCACACTCACGCAATTCCTGGGAGAACTGCTCCGCCTCCTGGGCTGTCATCCTGAGCCGCGTGTCTCCGGTGATGTCCACACGCGACGCCGGATGGAACGGGTAGTAAGGATCGACCTGGACGGAGAGGCCAGAGTGTGTTCATTGAAAAACAAAGCGCCACCTTCGTTCATGCTGCTACGGTTCGGTCACCAACAAGATGCAAACGGCAGGAAGGGCTTTCTGTCGTCCCACCACCAGCGCGAGTTTCCCAACTTCGGCAACACACAGCCAAAGCATGTCGCAAGGCTAATAGCACCGAAGCCGGGCATTCGAGGGAGGCGTCCCGCCGTTCTCATGCTGTCAGTGACCTTACTAAAAAAAAAAGTACATTTTTGGGAGCTCCCGTGCCAACCAAACGAAAGGCGGATGGCACGACCTGCCGAAATATAGTGAGAACTAACACATCATCGGAGAACTTTTCAGCATGCAGCGGAAATCTCTGTTCGCCGCAATGAGCCGTCAAATTATAGGCCCCTCAATTAAGATTGAAAAAACAAACAAGAAAACAACTGTAAAGCATGCCCATTGAACCCCAATGGTGAGAATGCGGGCAAACATGGCATCCCGGTTAACTCGATGGGCTCGGAAAATTTTACTCGCTATTATTGGCCGACCCCTCATTTTTCATTTGTGGAGACGGGAACAAAAATGCATCGGCCTATATTCTAAGGAATGTGCTAGCCAAGATGTGTCCCTTTATCCTTGTCATTGAGCCTAGCTGCCAGGTACCCATACTTGTAAAACAACAGACTGATCAGTGGACAGAACAACCCCCTTGCCTAGTTGTTTAGTCTGAAGTGACCTAATTACGAGGCTCCTGGTGCTTTCGCCGCTCTAGGAAAAGGTGGCACAGAAGGTTGAGCAGACCTTGTCCGGCTTAACCTTGACCGCCAGCATCTGTAGCACCACCATGAGATTGAGCATGAAGCCGTCCGTGGCCACGAGGCGTTCATTCACCTGTAACAGAGACAGCATCACACTTGGGTGTCGGCACACACCTCGTTATAAGACTTAACAGGAAACAAAGCACAAAAAATGGTGGAGAAATCTGCATCAGTTGCATGTGCAGCAACGAAACATCCACAAGGCTGCATGTTCCGTCCATATAGTGCTAGGGTGAAACAGCAAAACCTCCGCACCTTGACTCGAAAAAAAAGCTGTGTTCAGAATTTTACTCGAGTAGGTCCAAGTCACTCTTGCAGGTCATATCACACGATTACACAGACAGAGCAACGCTGGACGCGAGTAAGTTCTCGGATGCCAAAGTACAAAATTTTTACTCTGAAAAGATTTCAAGCAAGTTTTGGAAGAAAGCCAGAGTGGCAGCCAACATTCCGCCAAGAGGTCATGCCCTTCTGGGGCCTAAGAAGCTACGTCTCCTAGCGAAGTTCCTTCTGGCAGTCCGAGGCTTCCAAGACACCCATTTTCAAGTACTGCCTGCTGGGTTCGACACCTTTGCAGTTTGCTAGAACTCTGTGCACTGAGCTACAAATAATAAAGACAGCTTGTCATACTTTTATAACGACATAAACACACAATATTGAGTCTAAGCTCATTATAATAGACCTTGATTTTGACCAAGATTTCGGTCTGTTTTAAGAGGAGTATGTTGTATGCAGATAGGAAGTTGTGTCAATGGTACTATGTAGAGGAAAACCAACCAAACTCCACAATTCGGTAAGTTATATCCAAATGTCTGTTGTAACCCGGTCTGTTGTAATGAACTTAGACGGTAGTAAAGGAACTTATACGATGAGGAACTAATTTCAGAGAAGTTGCTTTAACAAGAGGACAACCACGGTGTATCCTCCAACGTCCCCAGCCATAGTTGTGGCTTCGTTTGAGTGGTGCAACCTGAACTCCAACGTGTGTCACCCACGAGACCCACCTGGAGCTGCGATCGCTTCTCATTGGCCCTGAGCACAGAGGCAATGTAGCCCAGCACCTTCTCCCGGCTGCCCGCATTCATCAGTAGTGCTCGGAAGACGTGATGCATCTGGGTCTGCAAAAGGAAGCAATGCTGTCGGCAACCACGCAAGCTGCTCTTTGCCGCCGCTATGGTGCCTGGAACGTGTCTCCGACTGGTGTGTTTAGCGTCCTATGCCGCCCATACATCAAAAGTGGTCCCCAAGTGGCAACAAATGACGTCATAGAAGCCGGAGTGTCATGCTGTTGACTGTCGCGATCCTGGCGGTTGGCCGTGGAAATGCTGGCGAAAAGCGCGAGCGAACGCGAGTGTCGCTGTCATCACGGCGTCCCAGGCGTCCCAACTTTCGGCTGCTGTAGCTTCCGTGGACTGTCACAGTGGGGAGCGACCTGCAGCAGAAGAGGCGTCTGCCATATCCCCACCATAGCTGCTGAGACACCACCAGGGTCGCTACCGGCGACAGCATGACACTCCTATGACGTCATCAGGCGGAAATCGAAGGACCACTTTTTTGGGCGCGGTAAACACACCAGTCGGAGACGCGTTCCAGGCACCATACCACCGCTTGCTGAACTCCTTTTGTAAACGGCAATGATTGCCTCGTCCCACGTGCCCCATGAAAAGATAGGTATACAAGTCTTGTTCATACAAAAACCCCGACCAATGTTTCGTACATCAAAAATTCAGACTTGCTAGTTATTTCAGACATCGACGAGGAATTGCGACCTACCCAGTTGAAATAGTAGTACATATTAACACCCAATTTTTCAAACAGTTTGCAGCCGAAAGTTTGATTTTTCGGACTAACATAGCTATGAGCAATGGCCACCGAAAGGCTACCATCTTGAATTTTTTGCTGGCTCGACTGTGGGCTTGGTTCTATTTTTTTGATGAATTGGACAGCTTTGGCAGCACTATTATAGTGCTGCTGCCCCAGCCACTAGGCATGCCATGCTATGCATTTAGTTTTTTTCTACACATCATCGATGTCGTCTTAATTTCTTTCCTTGGCTGGTTTACCATCGCCAACCATCTTCTTGTTCCGTTTTCGTGCCAGTCGCCATCCATGAAGCGTGAAGTGTACTGTTAACTGCTTCTAAACTTCGCACCTCAATGCCTCGCAGTGTCGTCCTTTTGCCCCGTGTCAATGCATGCTTTGGACTTCGTGACCTCTTCTTGCACTTCTGCCGGGCGAGGACGCGACGCCGATGCAAATGCAGGTGGACACAATCGCCCGCAAGCTTAACAGGACACGAGGTGCTCTCAAAAACCCGCTTGGGCTCAAGAAAGCCAAGTTTTGTAATCTAGAGATCTTTCTGACTTCTTCATTATTCGGAGGCTTTTTCAGCTCCCGCGAAGTTTGAAAACTCGATCTGCAACAGCTTGCCTACACTGATCAATATTTGAACAAATACGGTACTAGTATGGTGAAAGCTCACTCATTCCACCTTCTTTATAATTTAAACTGACTGCCACGGTCCGACAGCGCTGTAAAAAGGTCCATCTATAAAAACTCGGCAATCCCGTGTTAGTCCATGTTACGTTCAGGGTGGTGGCTGCGACACTTCACGACGAAGTCGTTGGGCATCAGCATCGCGTGCATGCACCACGTGGTCTTGACGGCAAAGTGTTAGTGCGGAGAGCAAGTCGTCTATTTCTTGCGTGGGAGTTGCGGTGACGTCGGAACGACTTCGAGCTCCGATTGGCTTCGACTGAAAGGGTCATGGGTAGACCACAATGCTGGATGCCTCGAGGCATACTCGCTATTTTATTAAATCGGCCAACAGGAGCTTGGCGTTCCGACACTGTCGCAACGCCTGTGCACAAGAAGCAGACGAACTTACTCCCCGCAATGGCTTTGTTCTTACGAGCACACAACTTTCCGTTCTACCTGAGACGAATGGCGAGACGCCTCGGCGTTGCCGCCATTGCGTTCCTCGGCGCCTCGCAAGAAGAAATACACTAGCACGCAGAGACGCCGGAACACAAGCGTCTGCCGCTCTGCGCCATACTCTCCCAAGGCTTCGGCGCTTTTTCCGCTTGAGGCGGCTCACGGATACACTAACGACAACCTAATGTAGAGGCCTTGTATACTAGGTCAGGGGTTCTCAAACGTTTTGGTCTCACGGGACCCCTGAAAGCCTCAAAAACTGCCGCGGAATACTTCCCCCCCTCCCTCGCCCCTCCATATTTGCCGAACAAGAAGCAACAGATGCACATCTGTAGGCAATTTTGCTCGTGTTGCTTCCCATATACCATATCAATCGCGATGTCAGTACAAAGTGAGATGAAGGCGCTTTGCATGGTCCTGCCGCGCAGCCTGCGGCATGGGAGGGGGGAGAGGGGGAGGGGGGTTGCAATTTGGGTGTTCGCGGAACCCATGACACCAGCTCGTGTGTTCCCCGGAACCCAGTTTAAGAACCCCTGTTCTAGGTGATATGGGATGGGTGGATATGTCCAAACCCTTTTAATGAAGTGACGGCTTGCGCCACCTAACCAAAGCTATTGATTTCGATGATTAACTCCTACTACTTTCGAAATTAACTAAAGATAACGAAGAATTTTCCATTGCAACACATGGCCATCTAGCGGGTGCTACGCGAGACTCGTATCCGCCGTGTTTATCAAATGCTGATAATGCAGGTTCCCGAAGCGGTGGCGTAGCTTTGGGATGACGTGCAAGCTTCAAATGCAGCAGACCCAGGATTGAGTTCGAGAAGACCACGATGGCAGGCAATCTCTTTCGAGCATATGGCAATACTGACGACGAACGGCCTACAACAATGGACACAGATTCCAATGGCACGAAGAGCCCATATCAGCCATCGCCGTAAAAAAATCCCACTTATTTCCCTCACAAATTGCCTTGACCGGCAATCATTCAAATGAAGTGCTGCCGTGTGCAGCAGTGTTGGCTGCACCACCTACAGCTACCGTAAAATACTGCGGAAATGCCCATTTTGCCAGGTTAACCCAGTTTTCAGCGAAAGCCAGGTGGGCGCTCCCCCGGGGTTTTTGGGTAGATGGCACAAGCTGCCACCAGACTCAAGAGGTCGGCCGTATCCATCTGTCCCCTAAACCTGCACTCTTAATGTGAAAGCATTAACTGTCTCAGGGAGTGAGCCAATGTCATCAGCTTTGAAAGCGCACGAAACGGCACTTGCAATCCTTTCTCCAAGTGAAGCCAGCTCCCAGCTATGAAACTAAGCAGAAAGCTTGCCAATGGCACTTAAATTCCCCGATCCCAAAGGCGATGATGAATTTCAGCTTCAGTCCCATTGGCTGGCAAGTGTCGACGAGGCTCCCATTAACCGCTGCGCGTCAGTTTTAACGACGGCCAGGTCAGAGCGGCAAGGACACAATCCTGGGGAACCTAGCCCTTAACAGCTCCGCTGTAAAACATTATTTTTATGACAGTTTAAGCAGAAGTACAGTTGCCGACCTATTATTCGGACTTCGCTGGGACCGAAAAGACGTCCGAATAATAGAGCAGTCCGAAAAATCAGCAGATTGAAAAACTTGCCTTTATTACTTCCAAGTGGGCTTAAAAAAGCCGTAAATAGTGCCTTGGTTCAGGTTACGCCTGCGTGCCTTGTTTTAGGTTACGCCTCCGTTTCCGTTCGACAGCTTTCTGTTAGCTTGAGAATCGCTGCCTTCTTTTCTAGCGTTATGGTCGAGTAGCAGAAGAACAGATGGGGCCATGACGCCCAAGCCAGCGTTGTCTGAACGAGATCAGAGGCGCAAATCCACGAGCGCAAAATGGCGACTGGCGACGCGAAGGAACAAAAAACAAAGCAAAATGATAATAATGATGGTGATGATGACGTGCAGCTAAATGGGAAAAAAAGGGCTAGCATAGCGTCACCTAGCGGTAGGACTCAGAAGTGCTCAGGTAGCGCTGCCAAACCAAGCCAATCCATTGGCAGCCAACATAGAATTCAAAATGGCCGCTTCTCGATAGTGTTTTCCGCTGATCGCATGAAGAAGGTAGAGCAGCGGAACTGCAGCTTCTGTTCTCGGCGGTGGCTTTCCAGGCGAGCAGTCTGCTCTTCTTTTGCCAGGGAATCTGAAGCGCTCAACGCAGTGGAACTTTAGGCGAGAGCAACCTTGCGGCGGTTGTGGAACCATTCGCACTGACGCGCACATCGCCGCTCGTTCCGTTCCCGCTCTCTTCCTCCGAAGAAATGTTGCCGCCATCTATGAGCGACGGCAGCAACCAGTTGTCTGGTTGCCGAGGCTGGAAAGGTTGCCACAATCTATGAGTGACGGCGGCAAGCAGACAACCGGCAAACACAACACTCTGGACAACTACCGCCATCTATGAGCGACGGCAGAAACCAGAGTGCTGTGTCGACCACGGGTGTCGAAATATGTTTGGTACCGTACCCAATCCTGGAGAACTAGCCCTTAAGGGGGGACACTGGCTAGAGGTCAAACTTTTGAACTACTCAAGTGATCAAAATGAAATTTACAGGGGAGATTTAGCTTCAGATATAGGTGTACTGTGCAAACTTTCAGCTCCCTAGGACAAATTTACATACCTGCGTAAGATGATGTGTCACTTTTCATTAAGAAATGTATGATATGCAAATGAAGCTAATAAGCATCACTTTGACTGCTTGAATAGAAAGTGGGAGATATGGGACCTCGGACTATCTAGTTTTAATAACTTCAATGCAAATATTTCAGGAAGAGTTATTACCTCAAAATATGAGATGCATATCTGTCCTATGTCAATTTTTGAAAACTTAGTTTTTTATCACTGAGGACTTCAACTTAAAACAAAATAAAGTAGATAGCCCAATTCCCCAGTAAATTTCAGTTCAGAAACATCTTGATTGTGGTACCCAAAAACTTTTACCTTCGAACAAAAGAATCCTTCGTATGAATTTTGCAGCAAAAAGTGGAACTGAGAAAAATGCATCGGAACATTGAACTCCTTTACTTTGTTACTGCCCCACAATGTGTTGAAAATATTTTATATCAATGGAACTATTTGGCGTATGGTTATCAAATTTGGTGTAAGGGTGTTTAATAAGTTTATATAACTGAAAACCTTAAAATTTAAAAATAGATTTAAAAAAAAAAATTAGAATTTAGGCCCATGTTCCCCCTTAAAGGGTAACTGCAAAGAAAAAAAAGTTTTTTTTTAAATAGCCTAATTGGGACAAGCATGTCAAAAAACAATTTTTCCGCGAGAAAAAACATTTTTTACAGCAATATTTATTGCGTGAGACTGATTTTAGTTTGCGGCTATTTCGTCCGTTTTAAATCGCGCGCCACGAAGTTGTGATTATGTGACGTCAATCCAAAAAGGTTCTCATTGGCTAAGAGTTTGATTGACAGCTTAGAACTTGATTGTTAAACCTTTGTTATATGTTGCAATTTCCTTTTGAGCGGCATATTTTTACGTTTAAAGAATAACCCACGTGATGAGAGTTATTATTCTTTACAAAAGGTTTACAAGACGGGCACTTCCGTTTGGATTCATACAAACAAAAAGCTTCGCCATTCTTTCATGGCCGTCGAAGTCTCTGCTCCCGCCTGTCTCGCCTACCTCGACTAATCGTTTCGCCGAAGTGATCAGTGTTTCGTCGTTTCGTGCTGACCCAGGTGCTTGAGTGAGACTTCTTGAAGTGAAGTAGTGTGTGTTTAGCAGCTGTCGCAGGTGTTAGTGATAGGAAGCGACGCGGGGTTTTGGCTTTCATAGCGCGGTTCGTTCGTTTTCCTCTTTGCTTGCTTAGCGTGCTTTTTTTATTGTTTTTTTTGTTTTGTTTTGCGTGTTTGCGCGTGCAAATGCTGACTTTTCGGAGATGTCGGATGCGTGATCCCGACAGTGAGCCTTCCAGCAGCCATGTCGCCCCGAAAGGAATGCTATTTGGCTGGAGGCAATCGGGCGTTCGCGTAGCGACAAACGTGTCCGGTTACGTTCTCGTCATATCGCTCTGGAGGCCGTCGAGATTCGCCCCGTGTGTACCTAACGTCCGCGACTAGACAGAAAATAAAAAAGCACTATGTCCACTACGTAAAAACGGTCTCAGTTCATGCATCTGTAGGCAGGTACGAAATCGTGCCCAAATTTATTCACACCGCACGATGCAACACGTCGCTGTGCAAACGCAGTCCAACAACACGAAGCATAAAAACGGCAGATTTAGGACAACAATTCGGAGTCCATTGTTCAATTAAAACGACGTAATTTTGTTGAAAACGCCCGCAGCTCTTTACTCACGGTATGCGTCGGGAAACTTCCACATTTTGAAACAGAACGAGGCAGATTTACTTTTAAAAACGCTCCCAGCGTCCTCCCGGACCAGTTTGACTGGATCAGCTGACGACGACGGGACTTAACTGGTTGAACGTCAACCCCACAACCAATTTGTGCTCCGTGTTAGCACCGCATTACACACACCACGAACGTTTCAGCTCTGTCGCATCGCCGTATTGCACCAAACAGAACGAGATCGCCGAAACCAACGCAGCGCTGTCGTGAACCTTGGCTTGTGGTTGCGCACTCGTGGATTCTGTGACTCCCTTCGCTTTCAAAGCACGCACGACGATTACGAACGATACTTTCCATCTTCGGGAACATCACAGGGGCACTTCTCCGGTCACGTCTTCGCTACATGTGCTCGCAAACCGCGTCAAACCAAAACAATACCGCGGCCTGGCGTAGTTGCCAGATCCTGCCGGAAGTCGAGACGCTGCGTCGTTCAACTCCGCAACGCAAGGAGAGTGAGGGGCGGGGCGTACTCCTCTTCCTCGGGGGTCGAAAGAGCGGGAGTTTCAAATGTGGAGAGGTTCTGACTCTACTAAATTACGTCCTGTGGCGTAAATATTGATAAAAAAAATATTTTTTTTCGCGGAACATTTGTTTTGTGACATGCTTGTCCCAATTAGGCTGTTTAAAAAAAAACTTTTTTTTCTTTGCAGTTACCCTTTAACAGTTCTGTTGTAAAACATAATTTCTATGGCAGTTTAGACAGGAGTGCTGACTGAAAACGTACAAACAGAGAAAGTATATCAACAGGGAGCATATCAAAGAAGTTCTACGGTACTTCATGAGAAAAATCCTCATAGTTGTTAAATCTTTGCATCCTGACCCCTAAAACAGGAGCCTGAAAAGAGCACAGGAATACAAAAAAGTTCTAGCCTCAGCATGGACTTCAAGTCACTCTCTTGGTCTAATCAAGGCTGTGAAGTGTAAGGATCTCGAGACTGGGCAAGCTTTCATTACTGGCAATGAGAAAGAGAAAAAATGGTAGTTACCCTGGCAAACTCGAGCATGCTCTGAAGGGATTTGTTGACGAAATGCATGTTCTCGGAGGTCATGGCGCTTTGCAGGTAGTAGGCATTCACAATGCGTGCCTGAAACACCAAAAAAACCGCTTCTTTTAATGTTCATTTGAGACAGAACCAAAGTTAAATGCCAACTATACAAAGCCCCTAAAGCCCTTCTCATTTCCTCAAATCCACATAAACAAATAATCACTCAGATCAATCGAAAATGTCGTAGGTGGTTACGTTTTCAATTCAGCAGAATTCTTGTTGCATGCACAATGAGATACCGGGTCATTTACAAATCTACAGTCATACTAAAAAAAAGTCTGCTGGAATTTCTATTGAATACACCGTAACCCTTCTATGAATGGCCCAATTTTTTATAGCATCTAGGCATGCGCAAATACGTATAGTGGATTTTGAGCCTGAAGTGAAACGTGATTTTGGTCAAAATATTTTGAATTGAATATTGGGTAGTTCCTCCAAGCCCTTCACTACTGTCACACCATGCTTGAATGAATGCCAATACATGGCGATGGATGGTGGCTCCAGGTAGGAGCGGTCATTCAATGCAAAGTTCGCAGGTGTCATTGGTCGCCATTTTCTCCTTACATAGTTCTGAAAATTGCTTACAATTTTTGGATCAAATAAGAGTGAGCTCCGAACTCTGGCACCTGGTCTCAAACGCGCGGGCTTTATTTGAGCGGAGACGGATCGTTTGGCGATGCCTATATTATTTTTATAGTGGAACATTCTTCGGCTTGGCGTTCGGCATTGTTGCTGCAAGGCTCGACGACGATTTTTTTTGACGGATGGGACGGGAGGAGTGAGGTGCTCGACACCGATAGGTTAACAGGGAGGTCCTGTGACTAGGGGTGGAGTGAGGAGAGTAGGCGAGGAGTGGGTAAGAAGGTTCTGGAAGACCACCAGGTTTAGCATTTCAAGTCTACACGTGCCACTGATCCGATGAAGAGCACCGTGAACGTAGGCATCTGGTTGAAAAGGCTAGATGTGCTGCTGAATGATGATATAAGCGTTTGCAAAAATGTTTCATGTACGCAACACAATTACCTAGCAAATCGCCATACACTTCTTTTGGGGAAAAAAAACCTTTCCTCCCAAAATGTCCGGCACATTGAACTGCACAAACACCAGAACATATGGTTCAAAGAACACCTTCCATCAGCACCAGGCCAAGAGCTATACTCATAAAGCATTAATAAAATAAAGGAGAGAAAGGGTGGTCAAAAAGAGGAGCTCACGTCGTCTTCGGCAAAGACGGAGAGCCCCAAGAAGGGTCCCAGGAGGGAGAGACGTGCCACCTCCTTGCCTGTAGCGGCCGACACGGGCTGGGGCAGCCACAGGGGGTCCTGGACCATCTGCGAGGCAGAAAGGGGCCATTTTCATGCCACTCACACTGTGCTCTCCCCTAACATGCTCCTCCTCCGCAGAAAAGGCAATTAATTAGCAAAAGGAAAACAAAAGATGCTACCCGAACGCAACCACACTTCTTGATCTTGAGAAATGACCGTCTGCCTCGAACTAGAGCTGACAAGCACCTCCCTTCCCCTTCTACATTGTGAAAACTAGGCAGTTCAGATGCCTCAAGTGCCCCCCCCCCCCCTTTCGTAAGGGGGGACACTACCTGGGCATCTTTACTTTTGAACTGCTCACTCAATCGGCGTGAAATTTGCAGGTGGTGTTTGTAGCCATATAGAAGGAAGGAATACAAAGTGTTAGCCATGTAAACCAATTTTATACCCCCAGAACGAAGCAAAGCATAGCTTTGCATGGAATCTGCACAATGAATCTATCGTTAAGAAAAAGCATCAATAACCACATATTTTTTTGGTGGAATGCATACTAGAATACTTGTTTCTAATTACTATAAAAAAATATAAAAAAAAAAAAATGCATTTTTCAAGTAAAAAAAAAATTTATGAAAGTTATTTTTTTTTTTTTACTATTCCCAAGTTTTGCAAATTACAATTTTTTATAATAAAGGAACATGAAAATGCAAAATCTAAGTTCCTAGTAACCGGGCTCGATAAAATTTCGGCATATAATCTGGAAATATTAAGTCTCTCAGTAGTTTCATACTGAAACAATAGTTTTATTAAGGTGGGATTTGCCGCCAAAAGTGAAGCTGAGATAAAAATGCACTTAAAAGTTTCAAGACGACGTTTTAAAAATTTCTTTTTGCGACTTAAATGTCAGAATTTTTTTTCCAGTAGTGTAGGTGATGTCTTCCTCAAACTTCTTCTGATATGCTGACATTGCTTTCAGCTTTTTTCACTTGTAGATGACAAGTGCTACACAGTGCAGCACACCTCACCAACATATAAAAAATAATTATTTTTGACATTGTTTGTCAGTGCACATTGACAGACCTGCGTCTGTCAATGTAGGAGCCTGCGTCTAGGGAGACCTAGACGCAGGCTCCTAGGAATCTATTACCCAGTTTGGGAATGGATGCCCTAAGCCAGCGCTACGGGGGAGCTGCAATTTTGGCTTTGCATATTTCCTTTTCCCCATTGAACCCGTAGAAACAAATGGACTTGCACAGCAAACTTCTTTCGAAGCCCTGTAGAGCTTGTTACAAAGGCAGTTGGCGGCATGAAGTTTCTTGTGACTTTATAACTAAAAGGCACACACAAAGAAAAAAGATAAAGCAAAAAGTGATTTTTGCAATACACCAAAACAGCAACAAAAAGAAACGTAAGGACTGGTTCTTGGGCTTGAAGGCGAATTCGAGCCATACAGCTTAAAACGGGGCCTATTCTCTAAAGAGGAAAACTCAATAGCTTTAAGTAAAGAAAAAGTAGGGGAGAAAGCGCAAGGAGACAACGGGAAATAAAAGAACTGTACAGACACATACTAGAGAACTTTCAAAACCAACAAATAACTCGCACAAAACATACAAAGTCGCCCCGTAAACCCTCAAAATGTTGGTCCAAACATGCGACGACCCCTGTCTGGACTCAGTGGATTGGCCAGTGCGCGTCCCGTTACCAGGTCACAGAAGGGTCTCGCTGAGCTCGGGGGGCAACGAAGGTCGCACAGCTCCACGAGCGCCTGAAGGGGTGCCTTGAAGGAGTCTGTCAGCAGCGAGCACTGCCGCATGCGTTGCACCAGGCCCTGCAGCAGTGGCCCAAACACCTGCAACAGGTATAAGCACAAGCAACAATGAATTGTCTTGTTTTTTGGGGGAACAGTGAAATGCCCCTCTAAGAGGTGCAAACTGCTTGTTCAGAGCACTACAATAGAGCACAATTTCCTGCCTTTTACGTTGCCGGTCCTATAAAACTTCCAAAGGAAGATACAGTGCAATCCACATACAACTATACCACATATAGCGATGTACTGCTTATAACTATCAGTTTCTAGATTAGAAACAATCAGTTCCTAGTCTAAATAAAATGATAATCGGTTATAACAATTGACTTTTTGTGTTTTCTTCTCTTTATCGTTATAAGTGGATTGCACTGTATGTGCATTAAACTTACATTTCTTAAATTTGCCTTCCCATTTCTTATGTTCAAAAACTTTGCCGGCAGTGCCAACGCGTGTCGCCATTGTCGCTATGTGGTGACATACCAAGTTAGAGATGTGGAGCAAAGTACCCTAGTCCACCTGTTCGTGGAGGGAGCGAACCCTCAGCATGAGGTAGACAGCGCCTTCTCTCCCCTGAACTGATCAGAACAGCAAAAGGACTGTGAGTTCACGCCAACGGCCCACCCTACTGCTTTTTCTTTGCTACCCCTCTTCTTGTCTGGGCACAGTCCCTCAGCGGCTCAGCACGTATGCACGACCTAGAAGCTCTGGACGCTCGCTTTTGAAACGACAGCAACCTGAACTTCAACTCTCATTCATCTCCTCATCTTCCACCAAAACAAAATGTATGCACGCACACTTCGGTACTGTAGTCGTTTCAGTGGCTCACTGCTCAGTTCTACTGGTTTTGCTTTGCATTAAGTTCCGAGTCTGTACCATTCATGTTTGTCGGATGGCAGTTATGGTGTTGCGTAAAAAAATCCACTCTCTTCTAAAGAGAACTTTGAAACACACCAGGCGTTGAATCGCAGCCGCAGTCGAAAGGAGACGGAAATCACAGGCTGGCGCCAACAACTCTAAACAGCATCCTTGCCAACGGAAAGGAGATTGAAACCAAAGGTTCCCCGTCTCAACTGGGCTAAGACAGGGTTAGGGGACAAAGTATGCCAACTCAGAACAAATGTTAAGCACTTCTACTGGAAGAGTATTGTCCGGTGATAGCTAGCCACGATGGAATGAGGAGACACTCTGACCAAGCTCACCATCCTAGATGCAACACACTTTTTCACACTAGCAAGAGACGGCGCTTCTACCGCCACTCTACAGCACTGGCTCCACAAGTGTGGGTATAAATGCACAGGGCTACGCCAAGCGGTAACAAAGGGTAATGTCGACGAAGATGTCGAAAGTGTGCAAGAGATGAAGATGTGCTATGGCGAAAATTAGAGCTCCCTTCACCTATTGTAGACACACACAGGAAGCGACGGGGACTTCCATCCCCACTCCTGAACTGTAAGTACAGTTCAGAGGTTGCAAATCAAACATTGTCCTCAAATTCACCGCACCTAAAGACACTGAAAGTGACGAGGACATTAAGGAAGAAGCCAATGATTGTGCAACGCCCGCATTCATAGATGTGATTGTGGCATTGGATACCTTGCTCAGGCGTGTTCATGTTCAAAGCTGCAAAGACACCAAAAGGGTGTTACGACTAATCGAGAAAAAAAAGAAAGCTTTTATCCTTAATGTTCACATAAAGTGCCAAATGGAGAATATGAGCTTTTGAACGTGGAATCTGTTATATGGTTGGATCCTAGCAGCTTCCTGTAATGCACCAGTTGTAACATACTCCTGTAACAGAAGTGCATTCAACATGGGGTAGGTTGAATGCAAGTGGAGCAAGAAACATTTGGCTGGAACTTGTGTCCTCACATTTTTACAGCGGAGCTGTTAAGGGCTAGTTTCCCCAGTATCGTTTCTGTCGCCAAACAAATGATAACACTTAACTTTGGACAGCTACCGCCATGTATGAGCGACGGCGGCAACCAGACAACTGGCTTGCCAATAGCCTGGTTGCCACCGTCGCTCATAAATAGCGGTAGCTGTCCAGCCTTTCCACTCTGGCTTGCCGACTTGCGACTGGCCAATACCTCATTCCTACCATGGTACAGCTTCGCTGGTCTTCCTTCTTCATCAGAGTGGAAAGGCTGAAAGTTTTTTACGATAGTTCCCTGGAAAATGTGCCAATAAAGCTTTAAGCTAGCCAAAATTTAAAAAAAAATTATTCGAACATGATTTCAGACTTTTGTATGACCTCAACACAGACTGAAAGGCAGGCAAGCCCTCTGCTGACCTGTGCGAAGCATGTCTGGTCCTGGTGTGCCACGCACATCATCTCCTGCAGGAAGCCCCTGGGAAGGGACTGTTTCAGCAGGGGACTCAGGAGCAGAGAACGCTTGCAGGGAGACCTGCATCGAACATGGGGGCACACGGCACTGCTGTAGGCTGAAGGAGCCCACAATATCGCGAGTCACCGTCCAACTGCAAGGAGATGCACGAGATGTGTAGTTTCGAGTAGCACGTTCTGTTACTGCGCACAACTCTGTGGACCACTTCAACACCCTGCTCAGAAAAAGAAGCGAAATAGCAAGCCGTATTTCTGAGAAACTGCAAGTTTTACTTTAGTTTGTACATACATTAATATTTGTCAATACATAAGACACGCCCTTGTAGACAAAAAAATAATATGCAGAAAAATATAAAAATGGTGCAAAAGTTCATCTTTGATTCGAGGAAAATTTGCTACTGGAAGGATGCACAATTTTTCTCTCGACACAACGTTGCGCGTGCTTAGAAGGTAAATCTCTGTAAGTCGACAAATGTCTGGTAAGAAAGAAAGTTTTTTTCAGGAGCTCTTTATTGTGCCACAACTTTTCCTCTACATCAGTACAGTTGAACCTCGATTTAACGAAACCCTATTTTACGAATTTCCCGATTTAACGAACAAATTGAGATTTTTTGCACAGCCCATGCCCAAAAAATGGCCTTCTCGATTTTATGAAGTTCCGGATTTAACAAATAATTCGCAGATCCCGGTGACTTCGTTAAACTGAGGTTCAACTGTATCTCAAACACCTGTACCAATATTCTAAGTACACACCAACCCCTCTTCACTAAATCTACATTTTAATTAGAGATTATAATGCAGTTCCACAGACAGATGCCCTAAAAATCCAGTGTTCCCTGATGATAGAGAAAGGCACCAGCCGTTCAAGAAGGCAGCTTAAACTGGTTCCAGCATAAATCTGAGGTAGGAGCGTGCCAGAGTTCCTCACCAGGGGCCGAAGAGGGTGCCCTTGAGCAGGAGCAGGGCAAAGTGGACGCACTGGGCCCTCACCTCCGAGAGCAGCTCCCTCAGTGGGTGCTCGCTGCAGCGCTGGAACACACGGGGCATGCAGAATGCTCCTCAGACACGGCCCGCCCGCACGGACAGGCATGAAAACCCGCAAAGCAGAATTCGGGCCAAGCGAGGTGCACGCCAAAGCATCCGGTGGGTGTACCTTAGGAGCGTTCCGCTCTTCCAAGGCCACCCGAGCATAGCAGGCGAAGAGGTGTTCCAGGGCCGGACACTCGGACCGCTCCCTCGAGGTCTCCGCTCCTCTGTCGGCCGCCGAATCCCCCACCGACCTCTCCGGGCTCACACTGCGAGAGTGAGCATCTCGGATTGAGTCGGAAAAGAACCGTCCCTTGAGCCCCAGCAGGCGGTGACATCGAGTCAGAGCAGAAAGAAATAGCTCATTGGAAGTGTTTGCGCTATCGCAAAATGCTTCTCAAGTTAGAATACTAGCAGCGCCGGATACTTGGGGAGTGGCGGCTAGCTCTTCTCACACGAACATCTCCACGTCCCCAAAGCCTCTGCGCAGCTCTCGACGGTAGTGCCTCAGTCTGACGAGGACCGGAGCACACCCGGACGAGTGAGGACAAGTCAAAGTGTGAATGGAATGTGCCACATCGTAGGCACTAACATCGATGGTCCCAAGAGGAGAAATAAGAGAACGACAGAAGATCAGAAAAAAAAAAGCGTGCAAAATGTTAGGTGTGCTTGTTTTACCACAATGCATTCGAGCTGTCCACTTTCTTCTCAGGTTTAGTTTCCCTTTCCAACAAAACACTGTGGGCACTTGCTCTCAAATTGAAGCTTGAAATGGCGAGGTGCCGACCTTTCGAGCGATACCTTAGTGCTTTTTACTGCCTGGCCAGCAACCTGGGCCCACCAAGACCACCGACGTCGGCTCCCACGATTCGCCGTTCTGAGATGGCGAATCTTCTTCACCAGGCTTGTCGTAGAAATTCAAAGTGCTCACCAAACAGAAGGAACCGGAGAGTCGTCCTCGGCAGGGCCTGCCTTCTGGAACGGGTTGTGTTCGCACAGCCGGATCAGCTGCAGGCTCTCAGACAGTATGTGCTGGATCAGCTCGCCAAAGGGGGCTGCACGGGAAATGCGCACGCATAAGCTGAGAGACTCCAAAGTCACGCACCTTGCACGACCTTAACATCATACACACGTGCCTTCGCTCATCTTAAAACAGTGAGGAATTCGCCATCGAACAATCCTTGTGTGTCTCTTTATAGCCTGCCATCCACAAGCATACCGATAAGTCGTTTTTTTCTTTCTGGCCCTTTGTTTTTGGTTTCTTCTTCCTGAGCACCGTGGATCAAATGCTCACTCTGTATGGCACGGGTTCTCCAAATCACCTTGATCTAGAGAAGCATTCATCTCTTCGGAACAACTGACAGCCAAGGAAACTCTCTCCCCTGGGAGTTATTACAATTGCACAGCACGGAAGCCTACAGAGCAAGTTAATGTGACCACATTAAGGAGTGCTTAGTTCATACAGTAGAGCCCGGTTATATCACACTCGGGTATTTCGAATTATCATTTATATTGAACAGTCCATACATCCCCTTGAAAATCATATGTAATAGTGTAGGAGCATTGTTTTAAAGCGCAGCACTTGGGCGCCCGTTTTCATGTTGAGCGGCGTTGCCATCACCATTGAAGTCGGCGTAACCGTGTGTTGCATTATGGCACATTTCCCATAATGACATCACATGTGACGTCACGAGGGTAAAATTTTTGCAATAAATTTGGCGAGAAAATTCTTCCACTAAACTCAGCAGGGAAATATTCCTGCTAAATTTAGCGGGGAAATGTTTCCGCTAGATCTAGTGGGAAACGATGCCCGCTAAGTTTAGCGAAAACATTTCCCGCAAAATTCAGCGGGAAAATTTTACCCTCGTGACGTCGCACGTGACACCACTAAATCCAAGAAAATTATTCCGGTAAATTATGCGGGAAACGTGAAACTTGGCAAAAAAAGTTCCCCGCTAAATTTAGCGGGGAAATTGATGTCACGCGATTTCAACACCAACTCAGTTTCTCCGCTAAATTTAGCAGGTGAAATTTTCCCTAAATTTTCCGCTATATTTAGCAGAAAGATTTTGGTTAATTTCCCGCTAAATTTAGCGGGAATATTTCCCCACTAAATACAGCAAAAAAAGTTTTCGCTAAATTTAGCGGGAATATTTCCCCACTAAATACAGCAAAAAAAGTTTTCGCTAAATTTAGCGAAAATTGTCCGCCAAATGGGAGGGGAATAGGAGAGGAGGAGAGGCATGCCCTCCCCTCCTCCTCAAGAGCTGCACTGTAATTCGGCATTACAGAAAACTGTAAATGTCTTTCATTTTTTATTTTTTATCAAACTCTCATTGAGGGGGACACGCAATATAGCAAACCAAAGCCGGCCGCCCATTGTTTTTCCCGCGATCTGATTGCACCCCGATTGCGCCAGTGGCGAGCACATAGCTTGCGTTGCCTGGTTGGCAGACCGCCAAGCCAGCATACATGCATGAGGACACGCAGTAGAAAAGCAACTGTGGAAAAGAGGAAAGACAACGACAATCATACTAAAATGCACACGCGTGCATGTAGGCAGGGCAAGGAGTGCCCGCTGTTGGAACGGTAGTGTGCGCCCTTTCCCTGAACACTGCTGTCGCTGCACAACCCCTTAACCCCAAAAAATATAAGCAAAAAAAAAAAAAAAAAGGCTCGAGGTACACCTAACCACTTCTTATGAGTCGAGAATGCGAAAGCATGCACGTCATTCTTCCGCTCCTTTATTTCGTTAATCAAGCGTGCGCACTATAGTCAGATACAGTGCAGCGGTGTTTGCAGTCTCCACCAACTACGCTCTACTGTATTTAGCGGCTCTTGGATGCTCTGTTTGGTAAGCTCCCGTTTGTCACGACATTCAGTATTAGCAGAGACATTCAGAAATTTCAACTGGAGCTTTTACGAGCACACTTTTGAACAGTCAAACCTCATTATATCGAACACAGATATATAAAATTATTGCATATATTGAATCGTTGTTGAACTGTCATAAGATTTACATGCATTTTAAATTTTTTATATCAAACTTGGTCGCTTAAAAATTATTATATCAACCCCGCAGCGCCAGGCGTGCGCTCCGGAGGCAGGCGGCAGACTTTCCCACAACACATCAGAGGTTAGTGGTGGCAGCGTAGGCGTTGGCAACTTTTACAGGCGTATGCCTACGTAAAGCTTTATGCCTATGGTGTTGGGAGCGCCATCCAGACTCTGCAGTATACAGGCTCAGTCATACCACTCTTTTTGTGTGCTTGTTACACAGCTCCCGCACTCTCATGTTTTCGTTCCTCCGACACTGCATCAACCGTGTGTGGTGTAGTGATGGCGACAAACGTAAACAAACATACGTCCTTGACGTTTGCGACAAAGCTTGAGATCATCTGCCGCGGTGAAAAATGTGAAAAAAATCCAACGTTGCCGAAGCATCTGTTGATTTAGAAAAACCTGCACTCAATGAATGTGGAGCTAATTTTTACGTTTGTGGTTGATAATGAAGAGGCGGAGACCACGGCCGAACTAACCGACGTGGAAATTGCCACGAAGGTCACTCGCGAGCTGGCTCCAGACGAGATGGCTTCCAAAGTTGGCCCTTCAAACACCAAGGACCTCGCTCCGCTCCCGACTTCAAGAGAAGCTGTGGCCGCTTTGCCTTTTTATGCCGCTACTGCAGCACAATAGATGGTAGTGGTCTGGCGTTGGTGGACTGCTTGGAGACCATGGAGCGGGCTGTAATAAGGCATGCGGTCGACTCCAAGAAGCAGTCTACGCTGCGGCAGTTTTTACAGCTGAGCTGTTAAGGGCTGCTTTCCCCAGTTTCCATGTCCGTAGACAAATAAATCTCGACATTACCCTCTGGACAGCTACCGCCATCTATAAACTGCAACAACCAGACCGCGACGGCGGCAACCGCGACAGCGGCAACCAGACAACCGGCTTGTCGGTTGTCTGGTTGCTGTTGTCGCTCATAGATGGCGGCACATAGTACAGCTCCGCTGCTCTTCCTTCTTCACCAGAGTAGAAAGGCTGAAAGTTTTTTCTCTGGAATCAATAGTTCACCTTAAAGGGGCCCTGCAATCATATTTAAGCGTCTACCTTTTTTGCGGTCTCCACCTCTCTTGCGGTTGGGGCAAGCTAGCGGGCACGAAGAGAATAGCTAAATATCAGTGCGTCATATTTTAACCGGACGACGCGGAAACCTCCTCCACCGACGAGGGCGACCCGCGGTACCGAAAGCGCGCAAAATGTGACGTCTTTGGTCCTGGGCTTGTCACTGGTCAGAGCCTCTAAGAGCTTTTTTTTAGTCGAGATACAAAATATAAGTGTCGCGAACCGCTTCAATTATGTATGAAAGTAGTTTTTGTTCACTATTTTAGATCAGAAAAGAAACAAATGCAGTTTAGAAAGTACGGAAACGAGAAATGACCCGTCGACATACCCGCCACCAAGCGGCGGAAAAAAACGGCACATAATAGAAAAGGCTAGTGGGATGAGGCTACGACAAACGAGGAGCATAGAAAGGTCTCGGATGTACGCGGCGGCGCTGTGGTCGTATACCGGCTCAAGAATCTGATTGGTTCCGAGCGTTCCGAAGGCTTTGGCGCGGGCCCTGTTGGTGATTTGGTCATTTGGTGGTGCGTCAGCGCGAAGTGGCTCCCGTTCTGAGCTGATCTTTACCCCGTGTTTGCTGTCGCTTGTGGCCAATGAAATGTTATGTCGAATTAGTGTTTAGTAGCGCTGCAAATGCAATACGAGCTGCCCTGGCCGCCTGCTTCATACAGCCTATCCAACACGTGTTTTAGTGGCGCCCTCTCGAGCCGTCGACACGGAGTGCGGCAGCCGTGTGCGCTCGATGAGCTCACTACTCCTCCTCTAGTTCAAGGCCACTCAAGGCAGGACCTACGACGTCATGAAGGAGGTTATTTCTTGCTTGTTTTTGTAATTCTAATTTGCCTATAACTTTTAAAATAGAGCGAAATTTGAGAAAAGAAAAGTTGGATTAAGTTACTACGTTCAGTACGCTCAGGTTCAGTGCAAATTAAAAACCAGTCAAAAAGTCATTGCAGGGCCCCTTTAACACTTCACGTGAATAGTCATTTTTGCCACTAGCTTTTTAGTGATTGAATTGCGCTGCACTTTGACGCAATTTCGGTGCAATTTTGTACATAAAATTTTGGTTATATTGAATTATTTCCCAGTCCTCGCACTGTTCGATATAACGAGGTTCGACTGTATATCGAATTATCGACACATCGAAGTATTTTACGATCCCCTTTGCATTCAATATATCCGGGTTCGACTGTAGCTGTGTGCTGATGCACTGCCAAGATACAGCAAGGCTTAGATGTGCCAAAGCAGCTCCTTAACAGGGAAAGCATTTCAGTTAAGGCTAAATACAATTCATAGTTTGGCTGCTCAAGAAAACCCCCAAGCTTTCCCTGGAAATACCACGTGTGTCCAGTCGGACACTAAAGAGGTGTCCAGCCAATGTGCAGCAGCTACCATTTGTGCACAAAAGCAATTGGGTGGCGCGGATTGTGGTCAACAAACCCCACGACCGGGGTGGGAAGGAAAAAGTTCTACCGGACTGCAGCTGGAAGCAGGCCGCCTCTGTCTGGGGCAGTGCCACCGCCACTGCTTCCGAGGGCGTGGCCACGTTGGGACACCAGCGTGCCTGGAACACCCGTCCCAGACAGGCCTGCACTTGCTCCTCCACAGTCTCCTTGCTCTCCTGCGGGCCACCGATTGACCGATCGTTAAGAGAATTAAGAGAAGAGCGACGATACGGGCTAGCTAGCCAAAAGTGGCAAAACTTAAAAAACTTCTGTAGAGGTATTCACACATGCATACAATGTTCCAATCTACAAGGGCATAGATGTTCACTAAGTCATGTGCAAGTAGTAGATTTTGAGTTCGGAGCGAATAGTAACTTAGGCTGAATATTTTTGAACTGAATCACCATACTTAATTTAAAGAGAAATTCGGCTGAACTCGTGAAAGTTGTTCCTAACCGTCCACTTGTACACTTCTAAGCTCAGTTAATTTGAATATAACTATATTTATGAACTCTGGCACGTAAACAACAAATTTGTCGCAGCTATTGTAATTGCGGAAATTTATAAACTTGTGGGGGGTCGGTGGCCAAGTGGGCTAGCGCACACCAGCTCTGAGCACGTGGAGCGGAAGCTCGCGCTGCAGAACACAGGGATCCTGGGCTCAATCCCCACCCCTGCCGGTTTCAATCTGGATGAGCATTGTACCGGTGTGCGGTGGCATACCACTACTGCGTTGTGCATGTTAAAGGCCCCAGGCTAGCGGTTGTACTGCACTGGCTAAACTTCTCATCTACAGCAAGTGACTCGTCGCAAATTTGAAATGGCTGACCAACTACACGCTGTATAAATATCCACACAACCCCAATTAAAAAATATAAAATAAATAAACACGAATGATGAAGGTTGGTAGTCAAATTACCACTGCCAAACATATACTCTTGCATAATCGCCAGCTCCGCAAGTACTGCTCCCCCAGTGTGCAGGTGCTCGGTGAGAAGCGCACTCAACGGGGCTAACCCGCTGCAATCAACACTTAAAAAAGTATGAATATCACAGTTAATCTCAAAGCAAATATTGAGTAGCGTATTATTCAAAATTTCTATTAGAAAACACTAACACAACACTAATGTTAACATTATAAATAAACATCACAGTCATCCCTGTGTGGGGTAGAAAAGAATAAAACAGAGCTTTAAAAGTCCTGCAATAAAAAAACAAATCAGGGGCATGTTTTTTTTCTTGTTTTTTCTACATATTGCTGTGCTTCAACTAAATTTTCAGGAGCTTTCTTTTATATTAAGATGTACTTATAAAATCACTTCAACGAAGTAGCTATCCCTGACTAAAAGACTTTAATTATAGGACCAGATAAAATATATGCAGGTGAAGCAGGAGGTAGATCCTAATGCAAAGAAAGGCAGATAGCATCCTGTGTGCTCTGTGGCTCCCGACACCTTTTGCCAAGCTCAACATAATGAAACTAGTAAAGCAGAGTTTAAAGATAAAATAAAACCATGTCAGGATTGTAGACGACAGAATGAAAGCATAACAAAATCAGTCAGTTCCATCGAGTAAATGTTTTATTAGTGTCCCAAAAAAAACCTTCCGAAAGAAGGAAAAAAAAAAAAAAAAAGCAACATGCAGGTCAGATAATGATGAATGTGATAATGTAAAGTGATAAGTAGTATTTTTTAGTTTTATTTTAATTGTCCATTTTTCTGACTGACAGCCACCTTGAAGTTCTAATCTCGGCCCTACCGACTTTCGTCTTTCAACGGCATCATTGGTATAATTTTGTCCGAGGAAGAACAAGCTGCCGTCTGCTCACCCTGTGCTTGATGGAGTCCCGCCTCTCCAGCTCGTCCACCTCCATGTTCTCAATACCAGAGTCTACGTCCAGCTGAGACAGGAAGCTACACCCGGAGGAAAGACATTCTCATCAGGCCGTTGCTCGTTTTGCTACATTGAGCACGTCAATGGTCCGAGCGTGCAAAACAACAAGAAACCCACCAAGATTTCCTTGGCCGTTGTTCAAAATGTTCCCTCTCTCTTTAGACTAGTGAAACCTCTTTGTTATTGACGTCAGTTTTTCAAGAAACCAAAATCGTCAGTGTATTGCTTTAAAAAAAAGCAATGTGTCTAAGTTTATTTTATATCACAACTGGTGGGAGGCTTAAAAACATACTGCTCATGGCCAACCTGACCCAAAACAAGGAAAGGCCTGCACATTTACAAATGAAATTTAAAAAAAAATACTGCTCAATGCCAACCTGACCCAAAACAAGGAAAGGCCTACACATTTACAAATGAAATTAAAAACAAATACTGCTCATGGCCAACCTGACCCAAAACAAGGAGAGGCCTGCACATTTACAAATGAAATTCATCTACAAACTGCGGCAATGATAACAGGAATGAAGTGCATATCGATTGCCATTTTTGATAGTTACGATCGCAAAGCTTGACGAGCATGACTGTTGATATGGTGAAGGGAATTCATAGTACCACCGCAGCGTGGGCTGCATTTAGTGCTCGAAGCAGCTGGCAGATGGTGTCATGCATACGGAAACCACAACAATCAGCACCATCGTGTGGCGACATAGACAAGCCATGTTTTGTGTACTATACTTTTGGTTCTTAATTTCTAGGCTAGGTGGCGCAAGCTACCGCTCGTTATAAAGGGTATAGCCATTTGTATCCATCATCCGTTTGTCTTCCCCAGTGGGCAAAGAGTTGGGGTGGCGTTGATAAGGTTTGCCAGAGAAAAACTGGCTACTCCCTCGCTAAACAAAAGAGGGCAAGGGGTGTTTTTTTTGTTTTTTTTTGTCCAATTTTTATAAGGTCATTTCGGCACTATTCCACACTACTTGGTGATAGTTACCAAAAGACAGAGGGGAAGGAAATGGGAGGGAAGGAAAAACTATACTTGTGGTTTCTAGACTAGGTAGCACAGGCTACCGCCCTTTCTTTATAAAAGGCACAGCCGTTAGCATCCATCCGTCCATTTGTTTATCACGTTTGTGAGCTTGTGGTCACTATTAAGGCTTCTGTAGCATTGTGTAACCCTTTCAGTTGCAGTAGAAAGGCTACTTGAGCTGCATTCTGCCAGACAGTGCACAACAGCTGCGAGTGCGAGCTGATAGTTCTGTGGAAACGTCTTGCCCCCAGAGCAATGCAACACTTGCATACAACGTTTGAGTACCGCAATATCCTGAGAGATGCCCCACCCCTACATATGAATTGATTTGCAATTTTTTCTTAAACACCAAAAGGTAGCTCACTTCTTGTAATCATAGTGTTCGGGTCAATAATGGTCTCGGCGTAAATGTGACTAGTTAGCAATGGTGGGATATAAGTGAACATTGACTGGGAAATACAAAAATCTTTGCTTCACTTCCTCTTGCCACAATAAGAGGTTTGGCAGGGACACATAACCAAAAAAATAGCATTTTTTTCAACTTTTTTGATTGCACACCGAAAGTTTTCTTAATTTTCACCCGATTTGCTCTGGATTTTACAGCAAGTCAGGTTCGTCCCTGTCACTAAAAGGCCTGCAAGGCCCTTCAACCTGCCAAGACAGACACTGTCCAGGAGCTTACCTTTTTTCACAGGAGTCATTGTCTGTGTCCACCGTCTGCATGTGGACATCCCCGCTCTCGGACTCCATGGGACAGGCCTTTGCTGTAGCTGCAAGCGGCAAAATCGATCGATCGACTTGCATTTCTTTTCATATTTTCTAGGAAAATGCTCAATATTTACCTCGCTTTCACGAGGGGCTTCCAACAGTTAGACTGCCCGCCTCCATTGTCACAATTTTTGAGCTACCAAAATTTAAATTAAAGTGCAAAGAGCTACTTTGAATGGATGTAGCTGCACCCCGCTTTGTAGGCCCCGATTTTGTAAGCACGAATTGCTTTAACTAGAGCAAGAGCATCGGCACTCCTTCCCACCGTCGTCCTACACTACCATGACAGTCATTTGTTTGTTAGCGTCGTGTGACATTCAGGCACGTGACAACCGCTCGTACCCGCACAAGTGCCATTTGAGATTGTTACGATTCTGAAACCTGACAGTTTGATTTGTAAATGTGTGGTGCTCGTTGCATAGATTTGCTCCGTTGTGACATGTTTTTAAAAAAGGCAATGGGACTTCTTGCATTTTCAGTCGGACATGTCAGCAGAAGCTGGGGACAACTAGCAACACTGATTCCCGCAGCGATGCCTGGGCAATCATCTTCATGGCCTGCTGATGGTTAGGGAAACACAATGACTTGAAAGGAGAAATCAGGTTTTTGTTGCTGTTTTAGGCTAAATGGCGCAAGCTACCACTCGTTATAAAAGGTACAGCCGTTACGATCCAATCCAATCTTGAACGTCTGATGTATTGTTACTCTGAAGAATAGTCTATTTAATGGCCCTAGATAGGATGGTTACTCGTTTGCCCGCACCAGGTGTAGGTACTACATGTGCGCACAAACCAGACCCGGGAGAAGTGAAGCAGACGAACAGTGCCGATGGCAGCCACACCACAGTGCAGCGACGTCGGAGAGTTCAGTTAATGTATTACTTTTGTGTGCCTTTCTTTTTCTTTTTTAACATCACCATTGCAACCTTTATTTTGATTTGCTTTGCCACTACCCAGTCGTAAAAAAGGTGCCGCCCATGCCCCTGACGTGACTCGACGGAGTCCTCACTTACCGCTGCTGTCTGGGGCAGTCTCTGGCTGTGCCTTTGGCCTCTTGCAGGGGTCCTGGTGCGGCGACTCCCAGGGTTCACTCCGGGAGCACGCCGCCGCCCCCGCCACCTCTTCCGGGGCGCCCTCCTCCTCGGGCGCCCTCGAACCCCTCACCGCCGGGGCATCGTTCACCGTTCCCGCGAGGCGTGCCAGGCGCCGCTTGCGCAGCTGAAAGAGTTACCGGGCTCCACTCGACTTGGGCAGCTCATAGAGTGCAAAACATAACAAAGCCCCTTGCAGGGAAACGGCCGCGCTTCGTAACATGACATCGGAAGTCTCTCAAGTGCTGCATGCCTTTCACAAAGACTCTGATCATGCCTGCAGGGAACTCACGAAATGCCCCATATCTTTGCTGCCTTGTCATTGAATTTGAGGCCTCACTGATCTTGTTTGTTCTTACTGGATATACTCAAATGCACTGTCAAATTAAGACTACATTAGAAGGGTAAAAAGGCATTATTAGCTCCTTGGCACCACTAGGGGAAGCCCTATGAACAGTTTTATTCTTCAGGGCTGCAACGCGTTACCAAGGAACTTGCAGTCTCAAGCAAATGAGCAAAAACAATTCGAAACATTTTTAACCAAAGCATTACCAATCAATAAATTAATATTCTGTTCACATGGTAGCCATGGCAATGTTTCAGTGTAGACCATTTTAATCTAGATTCCTTCAACGACAATGCAGCAATTTTTGACTCTTGCGGTTGATACCTTTAAAAAAATAAAAACTGAACCAAGTTTGAAGACCAAACTCATAAAATGAAGTTGGTCCCACACACTTTTGTGTGCTTTCATGGTGTCAAACCATGCTTACTGAAATGAGTACATGGCTTTGCATATCTGGTATTTGGGCCAGTGAATACTTGTGGAGGTGTGAAAAAATTATTCTGGTTCTCACACTTTTTGTATGCTTTCAAGGAGTCAAATCATGCTTGCTGAAATGAGCACAGAACTTTGCATGTCTCGCTTTTGGCCACTGAATATTTGCGGCAGTGTGACCAGCCCTCGAACATGTGCGACAGCATAGCGACTACAATGGTGTCAATGAAAAGACAAAAGGAATCTTTGTTGCACAGAGAACTACAGGTAGTGACACGAGTCGTGCGGGCTTGTAAATGATTCTGAGAACAATGATATATGCAAATGCTCCACTTGTGACAGAGGTAAATTGAAGGGAGAATCACTAAAGTATTCAAAGATTCATTAGCCACCACACCGTTTCTAGCCTAGTAAAATCAAGAACAAACAAAGACGTTGCTTGGTAATTGTGCAACCGATGTGGGGGAAAAAAAAAGAAAAGATATATTACCAAGAGGGTATGAATAGGCTATTAGAAGTACAGTCCCTTGTCTCTAATTGCGTATAAATTGTACGATCAGCAAAAACTCCCCCAACCGATCGACGCAGCACAAACATTCAGCCAGATTGTGAGTCGATCCCCCAGACGCTCGGCCCTATCTGCGAGGTGGCCTTCGCGACCGCACTGGTTTTTCCAACGGCTGGAAACGTCCGAAGGAAGGTCTCGCTTTCGGCTCACGTCGACAACTGCACGGTGCACCCACGAAAACAAGAGCGCACACGAGCGAGGACGAGTAATTAGGAGGATTCGCGCCGTTCCGAATCGACAAAGGGCCGCGAGTTGTGAAACACGCGTGCGGGGGTCGCGGGAACAGCTGACGAAACCAGGCACCGAACTGCGCGGCCGCTAACGAAATAAGCGACGGGCGCTTTGTTCCCAGAAACCGCGAGTTCAACGTCCCACCGCGACCAGCCGATAGCAGTCGATTGGGCCAGGGGCTAGCCTGCTGCGGGTGCGAGGACGACTGGATACGTGCATGGTTAAGGTCGCGCTGACTTGCAAAAAAAAAAAGACAAACAGAGGGGGTCGTGGAGCGTTGACTCGGTTAAAGCGATTGAATATACCTCGCACCCAGCAACAAGTACCCCTAATCATCCAGTGTGGTCGGAGAATCTAAAACTAAGGGAAAAAAAAAAAGAAAAAAAGAAAACAGCGGTGCGCATCGGAGAACTTGTCAAGCTTTTGTGTCGACGAGACATCGGAGAGTCCACTCACCTCCTCGGGCGTGAGTTCACTCATCACAGTAGGTTGGACGTATCAAGAAAGGAACAAATTCAATAGGAAATCGGGCACTTATAGACAGGGGAATGGACAAACTTTCATAAACATAGCCGAGGCCTTCCACAAAGTTAGGCGGGAGCAGGTGATCGCAAACATCACAGAATCACGGACCACACTGCAGCGGGTCCTCGGTTGTTCTGGCTAGAGTCGCTACATTTCCCAAGAGTAGCGACAGAAAGGCAGAGGTGAGCCAGAAGGCAGAAAGCACGCAAGCTTCCGTTCACTAGCGTCTGATGGCGCCACGAAACTCTTCGCGTCCTCGCCGAAGTCGCAAAACGCGCAAAACGGCTAAACGCCGCGCCGACTTCCTCGACTTCCTCAGAGCCGTATTCGCGACTCCAGCGACCTATAGGGGGCGCCACCACCAAACAAACATGGCGGCTGAGTCCAGGTCGCGTCGGCTCGGCCGGGCCGCCTGAATGGGTGGCGCATTCAATTTAACAAATTTTCTTTTGTTGAATGCCCAATTTTATGGGTATTTGAACTGAGACAGTTAAGTGTAGCCGGTGCGCATAAACTTGCCGAGCATAGCTTTGTTTTTCCGGTTTTTTTTTGTTTTTTTTATGTCAAACTTTCGTTTCGGAGACTTCGATCAAAACCGAAACTATGGGCTCCGGAGAAACGGTAATAGACTCTAATTAGTTTTGATCATCTAAGGAAAGCGGCGAGGGCTACAAAATTGTTCCACCGAGAGTAATCTTTAGCTAACTCGCATGCCTCGACCATGCGACTTATCTGTCCGCAAATTGAGCTTTTGTGCCTGTCCGCGTTTCAAGAAACAGCTCCAGTTGTGTGCTCGGTCAAGAACACATGCTGCAGGAAAATTACAAAAATTAAGCAAGCGCTTCTTGAGCCAAGGAGCATGTCAACTCGCTGGCGCTTCACTAAGCAGCTGATACTCGTATTCTATTCAGGTTTTAGTAGCAATCGACAAGTCATTTTAACGAATATGCGGATTATGTATCATATTACGTACTATGGTCCCACTAAAGCGATATTAGTATATTCGTCGGGTTGAAATATGAACTTAGTTAACTAACTATTATGTGAACTGCTGAATAAAAGTATATTTGACAAACAGAGAGATACTACTTAAACTTAGCCACACGGTTCTAGCCGGTAGAACGGATACGAATGCGGACAAATTGAAGAGAGTCTTCATCGGAGATTCACTCGGACCTCTCTGCATTGAACTTGACTTCGAATCCTGAACGGATAAAATGAGTATTTTTTTGTGGCCGGTCAACCTGAGCAATGTAGACGTGTATTGCTGCTGGCTTCGACAGGGGTTATAATATAAATATTGGAGGCGCGATAGATCTTAATGACGTGACAGCTTCTAACTTTGCGAGACGCGTCCCCCACCTTTTGAAAGCAGATAATTTCCCTCATTAATCATACGCAGCGAGCAGGTTTTCTGAATCAAGTAATTGCGAAATTAGCCCAACTCCCTTAACGTGGTCTTTTTCGGCGAAAAACCGCCAAGATGAATAGCCAACGCACCGGCCGGCGTTACTGGCTCAAATTAACTTGAAGCTAATCGAGCACAACCAAACTCAAGGAAAGCAGCTATCGAACCTTCCCATTCACTTGACTGCAACATTGGTGTTCCCTCCAGTGAAACACTTCGTCCGTCGACCTCAGTCCACTGTTCTACATCCTTATAAAGAAACCACCTATCAGTTACCAAGCAGTCGTCACTTTGATTGTGATTAGAGACAGACGAGAAATCAAAACGTTTTTCCGTGATTCCTCCTCATCCAAAAAATTGAAAGCACGCGACCGTGTGTTGTGGAGTAAACGGGCTTTCAAACACGTGATGGAAAGAAACAATCTATTGAGGCTTCACCACACTAATGAACACTCAGGCAAACTTAAGAAATTTTCGGACCTTCGTCAAATTACATTGCTCGCCCCCGCGCCGACAGCACGTGTCCGCGAAAGCCATCAGAGACGCGGCGAGGCGCGGAGCGACCTGGACCGACTGGTTCCCGGTTTTCCCGCTTGGCGGCGACCGTTTTGCTGGAGTCGCGAATATGTAGAGAGTTTGGTCAATGGGAGGCGCGGGCAGAGCCAGGGCGTGCGGCAGACTCGGAAAGAGGGCTTGGCATGCTCTCTTGACCAACCAGAAGCCGAAAAGAATCCCCTAGCGGTGGTAGCGAGAAACAGTTCTGAGCCGATCGATCATCGAAGGTCAATGTTCGTATATGGTTTTAATAAGTGCGTAAGAGTGAAGTGTAGTAACTCTTTGTGGTTGAAAATAGGGTGTACGTGTTGTTTCATCATGATCATGCAGAAAGATGTAAGAAACGAATGCACCGCTCAACTCTGTTTTGCGCGGGCAGAGTGTGGCCGCTCTGACGGCAGATTCCCGGCGCTCGGCGTTTGGCGTAAGGGTTATGTCGATCTTTCCGCTAGTCGCACTCTTCCACCATCATTTTAGATGAGTGTGATTGAAACATCACGTGTACCATATTTTCAGCCATCAAGAGTCACTCCAATGCAGTTATCAGGTTTGTTTCTCGCGACCACCGCCAGGGTATTATTTCCGGCTTCTGGTTGGTCACATTCGAATTTCTGAAGACGCCTTGGAACACGCCCAGCCCGCTTTCGGCCAATGGCGCCGCTTCATTTGTCTCCTATACTTCCCAACGAATGGCCAAACTCTCTACATATACGGCTCTGGACTTCCTGCATTAACTCTATGCTTCATGCTGAGCCATGCCGATCGAGTAGCCACTGTAAGGCTACTCGCTCACATTGCAAATTTACGTTTTAAATATAATATTTTACTTTATAGTATGTTGACTTATATATTTACAAACTAAGTAAGCTCACTTTTTACATCTCACTTCGTTATTTATTATTTTGGCTACCAGGTTGCGGCTACTTCCAGAGCCGCGTTAAAGCTCGTAGCGTCCTCTCGGGTGTACCCATTGAAGTCTCGCGAGATCCATAATCCGTTCCAGCTTGGCGGCATTTCCATCGGTCGGGGTGTTTTGGGAGCGTGTTCAATGTTTTGATTAGCCCGGTGCAGACCGGTCACGCCAGTGGTTCGTAATCCGTGAGCCCTCCTCGAAACTCCGACAGTATGGAGGCCAAAAGGCGTAAGCTCGTCAAGGAGGAGACTGAACTCGACGAGCCGGACGAGGCGGCCCGCGACAACAGCAGCAGCAACAAAGAGCCGGCGACGGACAATGGCGTGACGGGCCTGCACGAAGCCGACGGCACTGAAGGCGCCGCCGACGCGGCACCCGTCATTAAGGAAGAATACGGCACCTCGTCGCCGGAGACGGACGCAACCGAGAAGGACGGCAACGACGACAGCCCCTTGTCCGGCGACGGCCAGGACAAGAAGCGTGGTTTCGTAAGCGCCCCGTTCGGAGCTCAGACTCGCTTTGCGCTGCCGGCTGCGTGCACGGTCCGATCGATAGTTATGCTTTTCCCCCGTCGACCGTTCGGCGATTCCGATAAACATCTCAGCCTCGCGCCCCGTTGCATTCGTTCGTGACAGTTGGGAGCTCCCGAGCGGACAAAAGCGGCCTTCGCTTCCTTCTCGGGACCCCCTCCCCGCTTTCGGCGCTTTTCTCTTTGTTGTGTTTGAGGGAACGTGTGCGCTCTTTGTCGCTTTTCGAGGGGCGACCGGCAGATGCAGGGAAGGTGCTGGCGCACCGCGATCGATCCCGCCCTACTCCTCAAACGTCACCGCGCCGACCGCGCTGCGTTCCTCCGGCCGCGCGTGGGCATGCCCTCACGCTTTGCGACAGACCCGGCGAAGCAAACCGAGCCGGGATCCAACGGCGCCTCGCGTCCGCGCTCGCAGTGACAGGTCGCGGTTCGCCGGCACGGATACCAGCACTCGTGTCGAGCGGTTCTTAATCGATTTTCCTGTCGAAATGGAACCTACTAACAAAAACTACCGACGGCGATGACATGCGGGAACGCGCACCTACTCGCGTTATTTGAACCGGTGGCCCCCTGCGTGCTGCTGAGGTTCGCCGGCGCGTCCCAGTTTCTCGGCACGTCCTCCAACCCGCAAGCGAGTGCTCTTGTTAAACATATAAAATAGCGCAAAAAAAAAAAAAAAGACAAGGACAAGAAGTATACAGGACAAGCGCTAACGTTCAACTACATCGGCCAGACGGGGCGGTGCATCAATGACCGAGCACGGGAGCACGCATTATCAGTAAAAAATAAATATGGCTCGCATTTGCCTATACATTGCAACACGTGGGGCTGCGTTCCACAATTTCAGCAGAAGGATTCTGGGTAGAAGAGTAACCATGTCCTGGGTAGAAGCCGAGAGACGGTCGCTCGAGAGCTATTGCAAGCATTCTATCAAAAAAAGTGGGGCGGCATGTGTCAGCGACACTTCTGTTGTACTTCGTAGTAATGAGTTTGTTTTTGAATGATTGTGCACAAAATTAGTCAACCTTTATGTGGTGCTACTTTGCCTGTCGTGTGTATATATATATGCTTGCTTTTCCTGAGTAAAAACTAGTTGAAAGTTAGCGCTTGTCCTTGTCTTTTTTGCGCTATTTTATATGTTTAACTAAGATGAACCAACTAGCCCAACAACGTACCCTACTAGAGTGCTCTTGTGACGCCGTGTCTTTTCCGCCTGCAGCGGGTGGAAAGCAAGGGGTCCCCGGGCACTGTCCTGTTCTCTGGAGGAACCAACTGGGACACTATCGGCCGCAGGCCCAAGGACAAGCAGAAGGCGCCAGGTGAGCTCAGCACCTGGATGTGGTTGGGACGGTTTGTCAGGGGGGACCACTGGTGCAAGGGTCGGAAGGTGACACCACATTCTCAATCCCAACTTCTGCATCTGTACAATTAAGTTGCCAGGGCCTTATTTTCTGATCGAATTAACAGTGGGAGTTTTATTCTAATGTTCAGAACTTGAAAGCATTCAGTTTAGTACTCAAATTATTCTAACATTTAAGTGTCATACTATTCATATCACATCCTTCATCACTGAGCATGCATTTCAAAAATAGTGCTGCAAAAAACCTTCCTAAATAAAAAGGCCTTTGTTACAGCATTTTTGTCATGTGGGATGCTTTTTATAAGCCAAATTAGATGAGTATTTGAGAATCCAACTTTGTTATGCAATGGATGTTAATCTGTGGTTGCACAAGTTTGGGGATCAAAGGAGGCATTATCTTTTGGTTGAACAGGCCAACAAATACAGTATTTGCAGTGGAATTCGTGAGGGGGGAGTATATGCTTGTGTTATTAAAAGCTTCATTTGTGGCCCTAAAATGACGCCGAACAATTGAATCACAGAATGAGTCAAAGGCAGCTGTTTTCCTCTCTGTTGTCTTTTTGGCAGCATGTTTTGTGTATGTCATACAATACTGATGTATAAAACATGTTGCATCTTTTTATGGATGCAATATGCAAGCTCATTGCATCCTTGTATTGTGTAACCGTGGCACTTGTCAATTGTTCAAAGGTAGTTTTCCTCATTCAGTGATCTTTTCCCATGTGCTCATTAGTGTTGCTGTTCCACCTGCCACTTGTACCCTTCAACTCGGATGGTTTTCATTCTGCATGTTATTCAGTCTCAGTCTCACGGCCATCGTCGTTTGACTTTTCCCGTCAAAGTGGTAAGACGGGCACAAGAAAGACGCTCGTGTACTGTCCTGCAAACTGCGCGGCTTCCAGCTTTCCAAAATGAAGTCCACTGCAGGATAGCCACGGGAGAAGTGTCTGCTGCCGAAGAACATTTTCGTAGCGATCTCTCGACATCACGGTTGCTAGAGAATCACCCTACGAAAAATGAAAAGAGCAATGTAGATAATTTTGATTTGGTATTTTCTGGGTACAAAGGCACTTTTTTGACAGAAAAAAACTTACGTCCACAAACTTTCGTAAAAATGCTCTAGCCTCCCGGTTCTTCCAGCAGTCGTGAAATGTGCAATCGGTTCCTTCCCTCAATCGGCACCGCTGAGGTGGGCCTTTCTACAATGTCCCGCAGGAGCCAAGGGACACGACCGTAACCTCTGGGGCCCTCACCGGCTGAGCTGCTTGGAAGGGGTGCGGGTGAAGGCGGCCTTCTCCGGGTGCTCTGCCTGCCACACGGTCCTCATCACCGACCAGGGACAAGCGTTCACCTGGGGTGAGTGGCCCAGTCACCAAAGGGACAGGAATATGCGTCTTTTGCTTCGCTTTAGTCACAATCGACTTCTGGCCAGTTGTGCTCAGAATTTAGAGGAGCACTAACTTGCAGAGGTGCAAGGGGGGGGCTATGAATAGGGTTCCGACAAACTCAGAATTTTAATGTACTAATATTTTATAGTCAAGGCTGATCAGTGCACAGGCTTCAATGGTCCTGGGAAAATACCACCACAGTTATCTTTAAAGCTCGAACCATTGTCAAAAGGGGTCTTACCGCTTATCTCGTCGAGGTTCATTCGGGACGAGAGGTCGTTGTACTTTCAGGTCACAACAAAAGCCACGGTTCTGGTTTTCACTGAGGCCATACTATTTGTGTTTGGAGGAAGGAGAGGTTGAATTGATGTTTATCGAAGCAGCACTTATGTGCAACTTTTTGTCATCGGACAAATTAGAATTGCCAGTGGCAATGGCACCAATGCCAAATCCAGCTAAAGAAATATTAATTGATACAAGTGTGTTTTTTTTTTTTTTTTTACCTAGCATATGTTTACACCTGGATATTATTTATTTTTCAATAAGAATTGCTGCAAACTTCTACGAATTTCGGGGAATTGGGAATTAATCTAAAATAATCTCGGAAAAACACCCTCCGAACTTGACGAAAAAGGAACTTGGAAAACACTGAATCCTAGCTATAAGGCACATTTTGTGCTTTTTGAATTATTTAAGTTTGTTTGATATAGTTACTTGTTTCAACTGTTTTTTTTTTTCTGCACATGTTCCAAGTTCAATAATTTTAGGAAGCGTTTTGACCAGATTATCAATAATTTAGAAAAAAGCTTGTTGACTACATTTTTTTAATGTATCCTAACAAGCCATGTGCTGGTAGTTAGAGAAATAGGGAAGGGGAGAGAAAGAGAAAATAAATGAAGGCTGTGGAGGGATTGGTAGCCCTCAATCAATCAATCAAAAATTATTTTTTTTGTTCTTCCAAATGTACTATCTTTTTCCATGGTAAGGAAAGGGTTAAGCTACATTTCACTTCATGTCCAACGGCGTTGCTCCCTGGTTGTGAACAAATTACTCTAAATTTTTGTCGTGACTTAGGAAGTGATATAGTGACTGAAATTAAGTGATTTTAATTGCAGTACCTCTAATGGACTCAATTTCCAGGAAAATATTTTGCTATATCACTAGTCGACTCATTAATTCGAAGCTTGCGAGGACACCGAAGCGCTTCTTATTAAAAATGACACACTCCAACAATTTTTTTATTATTAATATTATTATTCAGTACTCGCTGACAATGTCATGTCCTCAACTTTGGCTTGCTTCCGTTGACACGGGTACACCTTAATAAGTATGTTCTGTGACATTCCCAACTAAGGGCTTCTAAACAAGCTCTCCAGATGTAGATTGGTTAACACAGTCTGCATAGCTCTCACCAGTGCTCGGTGCAGAAAGCCTCGCGAAGGTTTCCCCTGCCGATTTGCACGACTTTGTTGTCCAAAAGCGGACCATAGACCCGGGTGCGTTTGTTGACATCAATGTATTTGGTGGACAAAACTTCCCCAAGAGTCGAGCAATGCCTTTAATGCAGCAATTCCTCTGCTGCGTTGTGCTGTGCTCGCGCAATGCAGCAGGGGCTGGTTGCACTATCTCTCCATGGGGCGCGGTGCCATCGGGGTTGAACTTGCGCGGTTTTTCAGAAAGCCGTAGAATGCTACGCGTGCCTCCTATCGTTCTGCAATTTGTTGATTTAGTGTTTTTTGATGATTCTGAGCAATTTTCTAATTGAAACCATGCCCTTAAGCTCAATATTAAAAAAAAATAATAATTATGCAAAAATAATTAACAACTTAATTATCCCAAGCTTTAACAATTTTCCTAAATGGGTCCCTGGCCCAGGACCAAAACAACACAAACATTTTTTTGTTGTGACACATAGTTTTTGCTATATCGGATTTGTCCACCTTTCGTGAAACATCCTGCATATGTTTCACCACTTTAAAGATAATGTAAACGTTGCTCAATTTTGTCTAAATTTGGCAAAAATCATGATAGCAGGTTATTCTGGAGCTCTTACGGCAACCACATGTATGAGTAGAGCGGTATTCTGGTGGAGTACCGCCGTCTTCGGGGTTATCCAGCTTTCGTCCCTGGTTCTCATTCGTGCCAACAGATGGCATCAGAGTTGTCGAGGCCTATGAAGGGCGTCTGCTATGCAGAAAGTGAACTGTTCAGCAGCTGCAGTGCAGCTTTGGAAGCGTTAAATTGCATGTGACGCAGCATTTTCAAGCGGCTGTGGATATTCCCTATCTTATATGAGGATATTCTGACTGGTGTCATTTTCAGCGTTATCTCGTGCTTCCCTCTCTGTAAAGCGAGAAACTCGTTCGTGCCTGGCCATTGAGATTGCACACTGGGCTATGGAGTGGTAAACGGGCTGTGGACGGGCAGGCCCTCGGGTTTGAGCTTCTGCTCGAACCCGAGGGACTCGTTGAACGTTAGTTTCAGTCGACAGACACAATGAAGCAGATATATGCTTTGATGTATGGATTGTTTATAGAATAAAGAACTAATTTGTTAACATAATTCAGAGAATAAGTACCCATTCTCGCACTTCCAGGTGAAGTAAAACTGAATCTGTTAATAATGGTATTCACCAAGTAACTGTACCCTGAGCACTCCTCCATGGCACAATGCCATTTGCTGGACGGTGGGCACTGACGGTCAGTGGTTTCTTTTCTTTTGCTATCGTTCTTAGTCGGGTAGCAGGGATAGCCCGGAATCTTTGTTAGCACTCAGTCTTTTGCTAGAGAAGCTTTCCATGGGACATTTACGAGGATGTGGCCCTTGTAGACAGCTTTCAAAGATCTACTCACAAGCCTCAACTCAAAATGTCTCTCGCATAAAAAGTTTGTCGGTTAAAGCAGGTGGTCTTTGCGCAAAATCGCATCACACCACATTTTTAGGCGGTCCTCTTTGGGAGTAGCAGAAAGGGATGACTTCTCCACTCACGTTTCGTGTTGCGTTGCACCGGGGCACGAAGCACTTCTTCCTTGTGGCCGGGATCTTCCGGAGGCCGAAACCGGCCAGAAACGAAGTGATAGCCGCAGAAAACTGCGTAACGTTGCAGCTTGGCACATGCTACCGTTCACTAAAGGGTGGCGTCGATGCCACACCTGGGCGGCAGGAGAATCTCTTGCCGACCTTTGCCACGGCGGCTCTTCGGCGGAGGCGCAGTGTTACACCACCTGAAGTATTTCTGTCACCATGGCCGGGACCATGCCCGTGCTTCGACCTTGCCAGACAATTCTAATAAAGGAACTTGGAGTTATTGAGAGCCGACTCTACTTCAAGCACTCGTTACCAGTATTTCTAGTATGCTTCGGCAAAGGGGTGTCGTGTGCATGGTGTCTCACTGGACCGTGTCCCCTCCTGTGTCCCAGGGCGCAACGACAAGGGCCAGCTGGGGCAGTGCGACGTGAAGGTGAGGGATGTGCCCACTCTTGTGGACACGCTCAAGGAAACCGTCGTGGTGAGCGCTGCCTGCGGCCGGGGCCACACCCTCTTCCTCACCGGTGAGCCGCCCCGATCTTTCCTGGTTTTACGTCTTCAGTGCACAAGGTCTTAAAAGGCCTCTGCAGACAGTATCTTGCGCCACCAGGAAGCCCGAGGCAAATTTAACACGCAGCTAATCCTCTTGGACCCAATCCCAGTAAAATGAACTGGTTTCTGGTCTTGCCAAACTTATGTGAACAGTGGTGTGATTTCTGCTTCATTTGTGCCAAAGTGCTTACCCTGCTACATCCTGCCACATTTTGCTAAAATATAAAAAGTTTGCGCCAAAAGTCAATATCAGTTGATTATCTAATATGGAAAATATAATAGCTCAGGCCTCATCACTACACGGCCAAATTGTTACAGTAGGCTTGTGAAAATTTTCAGAACTTTTGATCATTGCATCAAATGATGTCCTATTTGGTTTCATGTTTATGAAACACTAACAATACTCAGAGATTTTATAATAGTTTTCATGCGTGTGGTTTGTTCTGACAGGTTAGCTAGCTTCATTGACTGCACTTTTCACCACACACTGGTGTGCTGCAGTGAAGCGACAACCGCAGAATTGACGTCCTTCGATTTTTTATATTTTGTTTCGCCGTGGCGCACCTGCATGCTACGGAGAAGGCACTCTTCCAGAACGAGACAGAACACGTGATTTTTTAATAAAGCTACGGCTATTGTGTGCATAATAAACTGCAACATTCTGACGACATCCTTTTCAAATTCGGGGTTTAGCTAAGCTACTTGATTATTGCTAGGAGATTTATATTTACTGACCACAGAAAAAATAAAACGAACTCAGGGCGAAAAACGAAAAACATTTCTTTCAACTAGCAATGACATGAATGACCTTAAAAGCATTTTCTACAAATCAGGACCGTCAAGGAAAAGAAGAGAAAGGAAAGTTTAAAGATAACATTTTTAAGAAGGAAAGCACACACACGAGATTTATATGTATTGCTCTACCGGTTTATTTTGTTGTAATGTCAAATCTTTTTTTTTAGGAATTACCTTTATGTGGCTTCATATCTGTTCAATGGCACAGTCAGTATAGTAAATTAAAACTATAATTAGTGGACCTGTAAATGGAAGCTTTGGAATGAACTTAACGAAGTCAAAGGGATTGTTTTTAAGGAGGCATATTTGTCATTTCATGCCGATTTAAGTTATTATGGAGTCCTATGTATAAACTTATTAATGTTCATAGTCAAATGCGAAAACTTTTTTTTTTTGTCATCTGATCTAAGAATTGCATTCTTTTTAGAACCTTTAGTTTGTGCAAAACATCAATTTGGGTGCTCTAATTTATTCTATTTTCATGGGGCCGTGCAACAATGTTTGAGCTTTGGCAAAAGAATTGTGGTAGTTGTTCCCTGTCACATCTGAATTAAAGAACTCACATTTGGGCACCTCCACGCCACTCTCAACTCTTACACTGTCTTCCCAGTCACAAGCGCAGTGATGCGCAATGGGGACATTAAGAATATGGTTGGGTTCTCTTTCAAAGCCTCCAGCGCGCGCAGCGTCCGCTTGTGATCGAAATGGTTTCCTTGAAGGTTGGTCTGAGCGATGATTTGCAAGGAAGTTGGACTTATATGGTAGCAACGGGATGAGGCCCAAGGGAAGAATAGATTTCTTTCACCTCGGGCAGATGGCATTTATAAAACTGAATATACTAGTACAACTTTCTCGATGATATGAGGTCTTTGATGCATTTACTCCTGTTGAAACGACAATATTTATAAAATATAGCATTATATTAAAGGGGCCTTGCAAGGTAGACGCTTAAATATGATTGTAGGGCCCCATTAAGGGACGACACTGGCTAGAGGTTGAACTTCTGAACTACTCAAGTGATCAGAATGAAATTTGCAGGGGAGATTTAACTTCAGATGTAGGTGTACTGTGCAAACTTCCAGCTCTCCAGGACAACTTTACATACCTGCATAAGGTGTGTCACTCTTCACCAAAAGAAATCTATGATATGCAAATGAAGCTATTAAGCACAATTTTAACTGCTTGAGCATAAAGTGGCTATCTAGTTTTTATAACTCAAATGTAAATATTTCAGAAAGCGTGATTATCTCAAGATATGAGATGCATATCTGTCCTATGTCAATTTTTGAAAACATAGTTTTTTCTCAATGAGGACTTGAAAGCGACCATGAAACAATTCTGAAATCGAATTTTATCCATTGCATGTCGTAAAAGGTGTTAAAAGAAACAAAACGCAAAAATGGGGAGCCAAAAAAAATTCTTCGTTATAGAAGTTTTAAAAGAAACCGGACTCTTGCCCCCATCTCGCTAACGCTCCCATTCCCCTACTGCCGAGAGAACTTCCGGTTCCTGTCCCAGAGTACGTCACGACCGTTAAAATTACGCCCCAGTTTGTTTTGCGGTCAGTTGGAGGGATAGAAAAAGGCGAAATTTCATGAATTTTTTGTGTAGAAGTTAATAAACCGAGACGAAAACGAATGCCTCTTCGGCATTCAGTGAACATTGAAGGTTTAATGTAAAAGCTATTTGGCAAAAGGAAAAAGGTAATTTTATAGTCCTTTTAATGTAAAGCAATATAAAGTAGATAGCCCGATTCCCCAGTAAATTTCAGTTCAGAAACATCTTGATTGTGGTATCAGAATAATTTTACCTTTGAACAAAAGATTCCTTCGTAGGAAATTGGCAGCAAAAAGTGGAACTAAGGAAAGTACATTTTAACATTGAACTGCTTTACTTTGTTGCTGCCTCACAATGTGTTGAAAATATTTTATATCATTGTAACTACTTGGCGCATGGTTATGAAATTTAGTGTGAGGGTGTGTAATTAGTTTCTAAAACCAAAAATCTTAAAATGGTAAAATGGATTTTTTTTAAATTTTGAAACTTGGGCTTATGTCCCCCCTTAAATGTCACTTCTTGCCAACTTATTACAATGTACCTAGGGACGTGTCACGCCTCAGTTCCCATGGCCGCCACCACGCGGCTGCTAATTGCGAAATATTCCCGTTCTTTGCTTTGCTATTACGCAACGAAATCTGGATATTTCAAAAGAATTAGGCGATTTCTCCATCACTTTTGGTAAGATAAACAATTGAAAAATCAAATACTGCAAATTTTTTCGAAGTTTAAATTGTTGCATTGCTCCTTTAGCATTATTTCAGTGGAATATATGCTATTTGCTTTACCTTTGATTTTGTACCTGAAATAACTATGCACTGGAGTTCATTAGTGTCCTTCATCAATCAGCAACTTGTCGTGTCTTGTGCTTCTGCACACAATTGTTGAAGCTTATTCCTTGTTCGAGGGAATCAAAAATGCCGTGCAGTTGGTGCAAATGTGAGGTTTCACAGAGGTGGGAAGGCAAATTAGACATTTTCCGCCAGTTCAACAAACCAACACATGAATCTTAACGTAATATTTGCAGCGGTATGATTGAAGGTGAAGTTTGTGCTTGCTCCAAAAGCTGTTTTTGCTGCTTCAAAAGTTGCTCCAAAGTGACTCCGACCAATCGCATCACTGTGGAGGAAATAGGATCATAATGTAAACTTAGTCTAATGTAGTACCAAAGCTACCCGAGAACACGTTTTGAGGGTTTTGCGCAGTGCATAGGCCAGCCACACGTCGCTGAACACTGAAACTACACCAGAAGGCAGGGTGCAAAAGCGTCAGCCCAATGCAGTAGCTGAATGAAAAGTTGGGACTGTATGAGTGTTTGAACTAAGGGCCACAGTCCTTTGGTTATACATGTTATAGTAGTAGTAAGACACGTTTACTACTCCAGAAAAACGGGGATGACATAAATCGTCCACTTGACACCGCTGCCAAACTATGGCACCAGTGACTGGTTCAACACGGGGCAGAATCTCGTAGTGAGTGGTCGATTAGCACCCTCTGTAAGCTGGGCCCCTGTTTGTCTGGCTGGCATCTACCACTGGCATGGGACAGGGGCCGTTTATTTCAATATTCATACAATTGCTTTTCAACACTCGTTAAAGTTGTAGCATTCCGCGATGGCATTGTTCGTTTTTGCCTGCCAAAAAACCTTAACATTTCCTCGTGCAAACCTTGTATTTTTCTGCGCGTGTGAAAGTAATGCGTTGACCATGCGCCCTTCCAGACCACGGCAGTGTCTTCAGCTGCGGCGACAACAAAATGGGCCAGTGCGGCGTGGGCTCCCAAAACCAGTCTATTCACGTTCCAACCAGGGTGGGTCCTCTTTTGATGTGCCCGTCTGTCTGTGCGGGAGACGGCGTTTCTTCCGCACGACGGCATGCCTCTGACGGAGGACTTGTTGAGCCACAGGTGGTGTTCAAAGTGCGTCCCGTGGTGCGGGTATCCTGCGGAGGGGAGTTCAGCGTCATGGTGGACTGCAAGGGGGCCGTCTACACCTTCGGCTGCCCCGAGTACGGACAGCTCGGTGAGGCGAGCATCATGGCGGCTCCTCTGCTACTTTTGCTTTCGTTTCTCAGGCAGCCTGAACACTGGGACACTCAGCCGCATGCCCGTTTTGCCCTTTTGTTAGCGGGTTTTGGCAAGCTGAAAACGAGGTCCTTTCTGTTGCCGAAAATTGGCCCCAAAAATATGTTTTGAGATTTTTGTGCAGTCTCTAGAGTATCTCCTTGCAAATTATGAATGCTCAATTTAATCTTTTGGTGTTAAAAAAAAAATGGCAAGTGCAACTGGGTAAAGCAAAGGCAAAAATTTGAGCGTGATTGTATGCACTTCATTTTTTTTTATTTCTTTTGTTTTGACAATGTGCTCGGCAATGAATTTCAGTAAAGTTCTGTGTCCTGTTGGTTAACTTTTACTATGTCCTAATCTTTGCACTATTTTGATCATGTCTGGTGCAAACTAGCCCAAACTTAACAATAATCAGTAAAATTTGTATTGTCGCTTTTGCAGTAACTATGGGGTGTCCTAAAGCTTTCTTTTTCTCCTTAGTGGGATAGATAAAATGTAATTATGCTTAATTTTCCCAAATTCTTTACTTCCATTTCCTTGTTGGTAAATAGTAAAAAGCTGAACTTTTTCCAAATTGAAAATTTGGGAATGCCAATTTTTTTACTTTTCTAAAGATTTGGCAAAAATACATTGTTGCCAGACCTAAGAGTTAATATTTCATTTTCTCGGGCGAAAAAAATGTAGGTTTTTGTTTTTCTTTTTAATTCATATTGACATAGATATTCCTAAATAAAGTGATATTCTACAAGATAATTGTATCGGTGTCATTATTGTATTTTACTGGCAATTTTGCTGCGACTTCTTGCAGAAGTAGTGTGACACTGAGGTTGGGTAGTAGTGGGTGCAGACACGATACGCGAGCTTCGGTTTTGGCACCTCATTGGCAGCTGAGCCTTCACCGGAAGAGGTAACAATATTATTTTAAATATTATTTTTTTTGAGTCACAGAGTAAGTCAAACCCGTTTATATCGAACTTGCAAATATATGTCTACTAGTTCGATATAGCAGGTAATTCAATATAAAAGTTTTAATGGATTTGACTCTCAAAAATTCACTTTCTGGTGAAATATTACACAATGAAGTAGTCTTGCATCTTCTGCTGCTTTTCCTTCATTGCAACCACGATAACAATATTTTTTTACGCTATTGACGGACTCCAAAATGCTGAGGCCGCTGCCTTCTATATTTGCGCATTAGCGCCGAACTATGCCGAGAGCACGGAGCATGTCGAACGGGAGGGAGCACCTTCTCCTGCAGAGCGCCGTTTTGCTCTGCAAGTTGGCTTTCCCTTAAAATTGGCTGTGTTGGGGGAAGCCAACTAACAAAGCAAGCTGGCTTTTTTTTTTTTTTTTTTTTCTCTCTCTCTCTTGGCGGTTGCGTCAATTTGGAAGAAAAAATAGGGAGTTATAGTAGACCGTTTTTCTCCTCCGCTACTGTATCCGTCAAGGAAACGCCGCAGCTGCGCATGCGCGCCGACAGCCTTATCTGCATAGTTCAAGATTTTCTGCCGGATTACGAAGCGCTATCCGGGTGCTTAGCGGGCAGCGGAAACGGTCTACTACAATTTCCCAATAATATTCGCTTTTGCCGACGGAGCCGGGAGAGGGAGCACGGAGCACCCTCTCTCCACTCTCTCCGCAAAAGATATATTTTCTTTTTTTCCGGGCAATACACGCGGTCGCACGGGGAAAAAAAAAAAAAGCCAGTGTGCTCTACAAGCTGGTTTTCCCCCAATGCGGCCATCTGCATTGGGGGGAAAGCCAGCTTGCAGAGCAAAACAGCGCTCTTGGCAGTTCAATATATCGGTAGCGGCTGCTATTTTTGTTCGATGGAACCTTAGTTTTTGCTATATATTATCACTATAACATTACTGTGCACAAAAATAGTTCGATGTAAGGAATATTCTATGTAAATGGGTTCGATATAGTTCGGGTTGACTGTATTTGGAAGTGTAGAATAATTCTATATTGTTGAATACTTAAATTCGATTCGAAGCGAATGCCAAATAGAACAGAATTCGATTGGCTATTCGTAATAACCGAATATTCGCCCATCCCTAGTTCGTAGTACTACAGTACCATACTGTACGATGGTGACCGGACGGCGTCCATTTGCAATCCGTCGCATTCTCACACGTGCGCAGACGTCTGCTGAAATTTTGCTGATTTTGAAGTTTAGCAGAATTGGTCCATCACTAGTTCTAAACATTCTACTACCTCCAGCGTATATGGCGAAGCTTTGGGGATCACTTAGCATGCATGCACATTTGCCATATTGTCTAAAGATGACAGAGTTACAATAGTAGCCTCTGAATATCAAGCCAATGTCGAGGGGATCCTAAACCTAGAACTCCAATCTTTTGGCAACTAATAGCATGTGGTTTGCATCTAAGAACCTCTCCTTAGTTGTTCCTTTTATTTAGGGGTCAACATCTCGAAATAGAAACGCGTCTCGAAATCGCTCCCAACCCAAAATATGCCTTGCAATGTACATGTTGCTTTTTTTTTTTTTTAGCAAAGTGCTTTATTAAGGCACCTTAAAAAAATTTTGAGTAAGTTCAGCGCTTTTGTAAGCCAGAACATACATACGATTGTGAATTTCTTCGGCTTTGGGTGCGTCCGTGAAAGAGTTGTCTAAGGGTGGGCTCTGTGTTGCACAGGTCACAACACGGATGGGCGTTACTTTGTGACCAGCAACAAGCTGCAGTTCAAGTGTGAGCTGGTCCCCCGGCGGGTGCAGATCTTCATCGACAAGACCCGCGAAGGACACGTGGTGCCCGTAGACGACGTCAACATAGTGGACGTGGCTTCGGGCCTCAACCACACGGTGAGGAAGCACAGGGCAGCGACTACCGCCCCAGCTGCAATTGCACTGCAGTTGAAGGAAACCTAACTGTGCGACAACTTTTTAAAGCATGAAGTGTTTTAATGCTACCACCCAATCCCAAAAGTTTGTTTGTCCATGCACTTGCCGCTAAATTTAGCAGGGACATTTGATCTCGCGTGACCTATTCGCGACTCCAGCGACCTATAGGGGGCGCCACCACCAAACAAACATGGCGGCTGAGTCCAGGTCGCGTCGGCTCGGCCGGGCTGCCTGAACGGGTGGCGCATTCAATTTAACAGATTTTCTTTTGTTTAATGCCAAATTTTATAGGTATCTGAACTGAAATGGTTAAGTTTAGCCGGTGCACATAAACTTGCAACGCATAGTTTTGTTTTTCCGGTGTTTTTTGCTCTTTTCATGTCGAACTTTCGTTTCGGAGATTTCGTTCAAAACCGAAACTTTGGGCTCCGGAGAGACGGTAATAGACTTTAATCAGTTTTGATCATCTAAGGAAAGCGGCGATGACTATAGAATTGTTCCACGAAGAGCAATTTTCAGCTAACTCGCATGTCTCGACCATGCGACTTATCTGTCTGCGAAATCATGTTTTGTGCGGTCAACAACACAGGCTGCAGGAAAATTACGAAAATTGAGCGAGCGCTTCTTGAGCCGAGGAGCATTTTAACCCGCTGGCGCCCCACTACGCAGCTGATACTCTTATTTCAATTCTGGTTTTAGTAGCAATCGAGAAGTCATTTTGACGAGCGGGTTATGTATTATATTACGAACTGTCCCACTAAAGCGATATTAGTATATTCTTCGGGTTGAAATATGAGCTTAGTTGACTAGCTATTAGATGAACTGCTGAATTATATTTGACAGACAGAGAGATAGTACTTAAACTTAGCCGAATGGTCCAAGCCGGTAGCAAGGAGACGAATGCGGACGAACTGAAGAGAGTCTTCATCTGAGATTCACTCAGACCTCTCTGCATTGAACTTGACCTCGAATCCTGAACGGAGAAAATGAGCTTTTTGCGTGGCCGGTAAACCTGAGCAATGAAGACATATATTGCTGATGGCTTCGACGGGTATATAATATAAATATTGGATGCGCAATAGCTCATAATGCCGTGACAGCTTCTAACTTTGCGAGACGTGCACCTTTTGAAAGCAGATAATTTCCCTCATTAATCATATGCAGCGAGCAGGTTTTCCTGAATAAAGTAATTGCGAAATCAACCCAACTCCTTCAGTGTGGTTCAGAGGCCTTTTCGGCGAAAATCAACCAAGATGAATAGTCAACGCACCGACCGGCGTGGGTGGCACAAACTTGGAAGCTAGTCAAACACAACCAAACTCAAGAAAAGCAGCTGTCAAACCTTCCCATTCACTTGACTGCAACGTTGGTGTTCCCTCCAGTGAAACACCTCCTCTGTCGTCCTCAGTCCACTGTTCTACATCCTTATAAAGAAACCACTTATCAGCTACCAAGTAGTCGTTACTTTGAATGTGATTCGAGACAGACAAGAAATCGAAACGTTTTTCCGTGATTCCTCCCCATCCAGGAAATCGAAAGCACGCGAGCGTGTGTTGTGGAGTAAACGGGCTTTCGAACACGTGATGGAAGGAAACAACCTACAGAGGCTTCGCCACACTAATTAACACTCATGCAAACTTTCGGACCTTCGTCAAATTACATCGTTCGCCCCCGCGCCGACAACACGTGTCCGCGAAAGCCACCAGAGACGCGGATGGGCGCGGAGCGACCTGGACCGGCTGGTTCCCGGTTTTCCCGCTTGGTGGCGTCCGTTTTGCTGGAGTCGCGAATACACAACTTCAGTTTCCCCGGTAAATTTAGCTGAAAAATTGACGTCGCATGTCCTGCACATCAATTCAGTGTCCCTGCTAAATTTGGCGGGCTAATTGATGTGACGTGACCTATTCACCAAGTCAGTTCCTCCACTAAATTTAGCAGGAAACACGGGACCTGCAGACTAATTCAGTTTTCCCGCTAAATTTAGCGAAAAAAATTTACGTCATGTGACCTATACAGCAATTCGGCTTCTCTGCGAAGTTTAGCGGGAAAATGCATGTCACATAAACTATACAGTATAAACTGCATATAACGTACGTCGCGAGAGTCGCGAAAATCCGCGCTATAAGCGGTACCGTGTTATAACCAAAACATCAATTTTTCAGACCAAAATACATGCCATGAGACAACTTACCTTTGTAAAAGAATTTATTTTATGTTAGATGAAAAATAAAGCTTAGTTTGAGGAAAGTCGTTATTTCACCAGACTAGTACACTTCTCTCTCAAGTGTGCCACACATTTCGAAAGAAGTGAGCGATTTTCGCCTGGTGCAGCCTTTTAACGGCGTCGCGGGTTGCGGACGGACGTTGCAAGCGTTCAGGATTGCTAACCCTAATCACTTTTCTCCGGTGATGAAAACGTGTGAAAATTCGCATCCTTTATACGGTATGCGCCAGTAATACCTTCAACTTGAGCACAGGCATGAAATGCTCCAAATAAGAAATCCGGGCGATGTTCGAGGACACAAATGCTACCACTGTAGTCAAATTAAACAAACACGACGACTCGGGCGTTTCTGCCGTCTTGAGAGTGCCGCCACGCCATCGCCGCACGAGTAGGTGGATCTTCCCTTCCAGTACGTGCTGGGTTATCATAGCGACACACAACGAAAATTCACGGTCAAGTATAGCGCTTTTACGCGGAACGATGAGCTTCCACTGCGCCGTCTACGTCGACGATCCCAACCGACGCCATGTTTGCCGATAGAAGCAGCCGGCCCGCGACCGGCATGCAACGCGCACGAACACTTCTCCTCGACCTGCGATTGGTCTGTCGTTGCGGTTTCCAACGCAGTGGAGGGACACACGCACGTGAAACGACACGTGCGTGCGTCCCTCCGTCACTATGGCAACTGAAGCCTCTCTCTTCGCTTCTTCGAGCAACCTCCTTGCCCGCGAGTGCCGCTTGCGGCTTGCGCCGTTATTTAGTGTCGCACAGGGAAGCGTCCTCGCTGCGTCGGTCGGTCAGCGGTCTGTTCCAGAAACCGCACTATAACTGGTATTTCCCTTTGCGCACCTGCATTTTAAGCGGTATGTAATTACATGGAGTTCTATGGGAGGTGAACCGGTGGTTTAAAAAAGCCGCGTTATACCCGGTCCTGCACTATAAGCGGTTACGTTGTAAGTGGTCTATACTGTATACCAATGTAGTTTCCCCAGGATACAGTCAAATCTTGTAACTTCAAACTAGAAACGGACCACAAATTTGTTTGAATTACTGAGAGTTTACGCCCATAGAGGCGCATAGGATGGGACCTACATGATAGTTTGAATTATCTGCAAGTTTGAAATAAGAGAGTTTGAATTTATGAGATTCGCCTGTATTTAGCGGGAGAATTGACGTCACATGACATATACTATACAGTCGAACCTCGTTATATGAACAGTGCGAGGACTGTGAAATAGTTCGATATAATCAAAATTCGATATACAAAATCGCACAAAAAAAAGCGTTAAAGTACAGCGCGATTTAATCAGTAAAACGCTAGTGGCAAAAAATGACTTGTACTCACGTGAAGCGTTAAGGTCAACTATTCATTCCGGTGAAAAAAAACTGCCGCAGCGTAGATTGCTTCATGGAGCCGACCGCATGCCTTATCACGGCCCGCTCCACTGTCTCCAAGGGGTTCATCAGCGCCAGACCACTACCGTTGATTTCACTGCAGTAGCGGCGTAAAAGCAAGACTGTCTTCCCGACAGTGTCGTAACAGGCTTTGAATTGTTGTAGCCACCCGCTACTTGAGGCGACGTTTTATGCTTGGTGGATGAACGTGAAGTCCTTTTCTTCCCGTTGAAGCATCGGCCTGACGCCGGAATGTCCCGAGCCCTTTCGTCCATAAACCACTTGTGAAGTGATCTTTCCACCTTTTCGAAGGCCGGTGTCCGAACATACGGCGTGCGCCGGAGTGCTTGCTTCGTTCAGCCTTCGATTTGATGTCGCTTTTCGTCTTCATTAGCGTGCTCAAAGTGCTTCGCGGTATGTTGTACGCTTTGGCAGCGCTGGAGTTCTTTTCTTCTTTTTCAACGCGGCGGATGATTTCAAGCTTCGTCGCAAATCTCAGCGACATACGTTTATTAACGTTCGGTGCCATCACCACATGCGATTGACGCAACGTCGGAGGAACGAACCCGGAGCTACGAAACAGTGGGAGCCACGCACAGGGCATGAAAAGGGCGATGCTGGCGCTGCTGGCGATACGATTGAGCTGATTGGACTGAGCCTGTATACCGCCGAATCTGGATGGCGTTCCCGGCACCACAGGCATAAAGCTTTATGCGGGCATGCACTTGAATAAAAGTCGCAAACGCCTGCTGCGCCACCGCTATCCTACGATGTGTTGCGGGAAAGCCCGCTTATCCTCCGATGTGCTGCGGGAAAGCCTGCCGCCTGTCTCCGGAGCGCAGCTTTCCGGCGCTGAAGAGTTCGATATATTAATTTTTTAACCGACCGAGTTTGCTATAAAAAATTTAAAATGCATGTAATTCTTACAGACCATTCCATTTAGCGCTCTCTGGGCGGCACCATTTTGTTCGACCGCAGCGCCCTCTCTACACATCCGGGAAGTTCGGCGGGGTAAAACGAGAGAGAGGGCACGTGCCCGACTCCGCTAGCAGACGACAAACCGGGAGGTTGCCGTTCTCCATCTTTGGGCTGTATTGGCGGGCTCTACCGAACATCGAACTCTCGCTCGTGGCTGCCGTTGTGAAGTGGTTCGCGTTCTTAGAATAGTTGTGGCTACTCCAAAATCAGCCTATAGCTCTCTGTTGTTCTATATTGCTAAATGATCAAGTAGCATATCTTTTTTCCGTTACTTAAATAGCAGCTGAGTCAGCCGGCAGTACTACCCTCAACTACTGCTTGTATTGCAGCAGGAGAGCATGTTTTATTTATAATTTCAGACTTCTACTCATGGTTGCTAAAGGCCTACACCAGTACAAACTTTTGTATAGTAAAATAGGTACAGCAACCGGATTTTCTTTTCGCCAAAGAGACCGGCCAATCTGACGCAGTTTTCCCTATTTTTGTTTTTTATTTGCACGCAGGTAACAGCGCAATTGGACCCTGTGAGTCTTTTATCTAGCATAGTGTTACACGATAACTGGCATACCAAAATCTGCGCATCTGCGCTTGAAAGTTCCAAAATGACGCGATTTTAAACAGAGTTTGCACGCCAGCCGTACGCTAGCTACAGCCCACTCGGCGGAGCGCACGACATGCGGTGTGAGAGGGGGAGTGCATTTTTTTCTCTTTTACCCTCTCTGCTATGATCCTAACGGAACGGTCTACAGTACTTCGACAACGATTCAATATAAGCAATAATTCTATATATCCGTGTTCGATATATTGAGGTTTGTCTGTACAATGCCGTATACTGTTTTCTAAACAAATTAAAATGATTGCTTCTTAAAGGGCCACTGAAAAGAAAAAGAAACATTATTTTTAAACAATCTGGTTGGGACACGCATGTCAGAAAATGAAGTTTACGCAAAAAAATTTAATTTTTTTTAGAGCAGTATTGATGGTGCAAGATGCAATTTAGTTGGTAGTCACCTCCTTTCCACTTGTACTTGTTTTCTCGGCATTTCGGGCGCGTGGAGGAGAGGTGGATCAGCTTGGCCATTACGTTGAGGTGGAGAGAGCGATGACCATTTCATTTATGGGGAAGGAGTGACCATTTGTGACGTCGCGGACTAGAACGCTGCACGGACCTGGGACAGCCGAAGACCGGCCTGGGCCGTGCTTGAGTTTGAAGAAGCCCAAGCCCGGCCCAGTCTTGAAGCCCAAGAAAACATTTTCGAGACTTGAAAACAATCAAAGTAAACGACAGTCAATTTATTCGAGGTCTAATTTATGGAAGTGATGTATCGTATTATATCTAGAATCAAATGCAACATGTTGGAAGGCAGGAGATTGGAAGCCATTCCTCGGAACGGGACGATGGGCATTTGTACACACACGAAGTTGCTGAGGTTTTTCCCTCGGCTGTGGGTGTCTGCAGATTGCCCTGGACCGGCGCAAGCGCTGCTTCTCGTGGGGTTTCGGAGGCTATGGTCGCCTGGGTCACAACGAGCCCAAGGACGAGATGGTGCCGCGCATGATCAAAGCCTTCGATGGCCCCAACCGGGGCCTGCGTGTCATCTTCGCCGGGGGAACCTTCAGCATGGCACTCAGCGAGCTGGGTGAGCAGCACCACGTCTGTCTTTCTCTCGCTCACCCACCCATACAGTCACGCTTTCCCGTATCAGTGCTTGCCGACGCTTTGCTTTGAGTTCTTTGAGGCATACGCCAAATGTGGGCACCGGAAGTAGCACGCTGGTTTTGGTATCTGGAAATTATGCTATTCAGTTCTGAGTAGGAAACACCCTCCAAATTTTCATCAAATTTGTAGGGTGTTTCTTGGGTTTATTTTAGGGGTGAAGCTCCTTAGGGGCTAGCCATGTCCGTCCGCCGTCGGGTGCACATGCTCCTGCTCGTGAGCTCACGTGCTCTTGTGCTCGTGTAGGGAAAAAAAAACAATGCATCTCCATGTGGTGAATGATGTTGATTGGGGCGAAGCTCTGGTGGTGCTTATCTCTGCGTAGACGGTGAGCCGCAGCATGCCGAGCCTTTCGTTCGTTTTCATTCATGTCAGAAAGAGAATGTGTGGTATGGAACGTGATTATATACGCATTTGACCGCAGCGTGACATGGTTGAAAACGAACGAAAGGCTCGGCATGCTGCAGCTCACCGTCTACGCAGACAAGCACCACTAGAGCTTCGCCCCAATCAACATCATTCACCACGTGGAGATGCGGTTGTTTTCTTTATTAGGCCGTCAAAGACAAGGGAGCACCCCTGGACATCTGTTGGAATATTGTTGACAGCACTGCATGCCCATATGCCGTCCATCAAAGAATCAGAATTCATACTTTTCTGGTTACAAAAGGGTGATTGTCGTGAAGCACCAGGCAGTGATGTGCGCAGACGGCATAATTTTTTAGAGCGCAGCTCTTGGGCGACAGTTTCCGGCTTGAGCAGCGTCGCCGTCAGTGTAACTGCGCGTTTCATTATGAGATGTTTTCCATAATGACGTCACGAGGGTCACGTGTGACATGACAAGGGTGGAAGGGGGGGGGGAAGGAGAATGAGAGGGAGGGAGAAGGAGGAGAGGGTATGGACCCTCCCCTCCTCCTCCTCAAGAGCTGCACTCTAATTTGGCATTACAAGAAATTGTAAATGGCTTTCATTTTGTTGCTGAAAATTTTAAGTTTATTTTTGCTAGGTTCCCCAACGGACGTTTTTCCCCGTAAGGTTCTGTGCATGCGTAAACTCTTTCTAGGCCTATCTTCCCGCTGTCGCCATTTTTGTGGGGCACCGTCCCGCATGACCAACATTTTCAGCATCTATCTTCGTGTATATTTAGTCATTTTGACACTTGGTTTGTTTGTATCGGTGGTATGGAGTGTAAAAAGCACTGAAACTCAGTATATCACCACAATGCCATTGTGTTCTGACAAGCAGAGGCATGTTGGTCTGCCCTCCATTTGTAGTTCGCAGAAACTCATCAGACGGCACGCATTACTCGAAAAAGGTACATTCTCTGAAATTTTGAGTTTAATTTTGCAGTGTTTTATGTTTTTCAGAAATAAAAATAAATATCTGTGTGCTCTATGGGGAGGGGGGGGGGGGGGGGGGGGTGCGATGCTTGATTCAAGAGAATGCACTTGTATCAAGTCAACTAATATTTTTTCAGCATGATTTCTCGTTGACGCCATTTCCGTTTGCAGTACTAATAGGGTTGGGTATATAGTATTTTAGAAGCACTTTTAGTATATATATTTCTGTAGCGAAATAAGATAGTATTTTAGAAACACTTTTAGTATATATATTTCTGTATCGAAATACAATTTTTCAATCAGTATCTGGATTTCAGTATCTGGAAACATTTTTGGTGTATTTCTTGTATCGCGATACAATCCCGGGCCAATGTATCCTGTTACAATGTTCGAGTAATCAGTGACGCCCAAGCGAAATCTAGAGAGGCTGTTTCCTTTCCTCTTTTTTTCTTCAGTAAGGTAGAAGGTACAGTAAATGTGACATTGAGGCTTTGTTATCGGGCAGAGAAAGGTTTGTTTTAGAACATTATGGCCCCGATACAGCCTCGTGAATTGTGATTGACTGGGTCAAGGAACTGTTGCCAGTCGCCTTTTGAGAGTAATTTCTGTCGGCCATTGGGGAGACTGGGCAAGCGGGTCTCTCACGGTGCGCAATGTCCACGTTGCCGCAGGGGTGCTCTACTTCTGGGGCATGAACAACCACGGCGGGGAGGCGACCATGTACCCGAAGCCGATCCAGGATCTGACCGGCTGGAACGTGCGAGACATTGGCTGCTCCAACAAGAGCATTGTGGTGCTGGCCGACGAGAGCACCATCTCCTGGGGGCCACACCCGACATATGGCGAGCTGGTTAGCCCTTTCTCTCTCTCTCTCTCTTGTTATTTTCTTGGGCAGAGGGTGTGGTACTAAGAACTTCTCTATTCACTCCTTGCGGCGCAACCGGCACGCTGACGCACGGCCGTTACCGAAGGTAGGCAGTGAGAACCTCAGTGAAACGAAACCACTCCGCGTATGTTGGTTTGCATTGAAGTCAAAGAGGTGTGGCTGCACTGGGACGACAGCATGAGCTGCTGCGTCGTTAAACGCTTCAATAGTTATGCGTGGTGTCTCGTGGGAACAAAGTTTTATAGTTTTTCAACTCGCCATTGTTTTGTGGGGCGGCGACAATGGTGGGTTCATGCCATACTATGCAAGAAATTTGTTCTTTCGATTATGTCTGCCACGTATCGGCACGGCTGGCATATACTACACTGCTGCTTTGAGCGCTGTGTTTGTTTTTATGCCAGTAGCGCCTACATATGTTAGCGCCGATGGGACGAACTGAAAAACCATCTCAAACTCGCAGGTATGCAGTGCCCATTTCGTTGGAGGGATGCCCTACAAAGATGTATCATTATACATGTCGATGATCTTTCCGGACCAGTATGGCTACAGTCTGTACTTCATGAAGAAGGATTTGGACTGTATAAAAAGTGACAATTGTGAACCTCGCCGTCGCCTGGGAACTGTTCAGCCGGCGTGGAGTGCAGTCGTCGCCGGGCCTCGCGCTTGCGCTTGGCCTCCGTGGCACGATCGTCGTTCATGGCATTTGCCCGTCGGCGCCCTTTACATCGCTGGTTCTATTCTCGGCAGAGGCTTTCCAGGCGAGCGATGTGCTCTTCTTTGGCAAGGAAATCTGAAGCGCTCAACACAGTGGAAGTCGAGGCGACAGTGCAGCGGCTTTGCAGTGGTTGCGGACCCATTCGCGCTGCTGCATACGTCGCCGCTCCTTCCGCAGCCAGTCTTCTTTCCCCGGAAGGGCACGCGGCAACCCATCCTAAGTCTAAACCGAAACTGATAAGAGCGTAGGAAACAGTGTGCAAAACAGACAGGGATGAAGAACCACACGTGACGAGCGCTGCGCTCGTTACGTGTGCTTATTTGTCATCGTCTGTTTTTCACGCTGTTTCCTACGGTGAATTCCCACCAACATACCTAACTATCCATTCTTCTATGATAGCTGGAAAGGTTGCCGCCACCTACGAGCGATGGCAGCAACCAGACTTGTTGTGTGCTTGCCGCCGTCGCTAATAGATGGCGGTAGCTGTCCAGGTAGGCTTCTGTCTACAGGCGTTTGATACCGGACACGATCGTGGGGAACCTAACCCTTAATAGTTCCGCTGTAAAAGTGACAGGCTCAGGTAAGACAAAACGTATACAGTGTAGACCGCATGTAATGTATGTCACGGGAGTCGCGAAAATCCGCACAATACCTAAAAGATCAATTTTTCAGGTCAAAATGCATGCCATCAGACAACTTACCTTTGTCAAACATTTTTTTTTATTTATGTTAGATGAAAAATAAAGCTCAGTCTGGGTAAGTTCTTATTTCACTAGACTAGTACATTTCCCTCTCAAGTGTGTCACGCATTTTGAAAGAAAGTAGTGACTTTTGCCTGGCGCTGCCTTTTAACGGCGTTGTGGACGACCTGGTCTTCAATAGCACTAAGGCATTTGAACACCTCGTCGCTGAAGGAGTTCTGCTCACAGTGTACCTTCAGTTTCTGTAAGAATTGCAGTGCGTCTTTAGTTGAAACTTCCGGCGTGCTCTCTTCGTCTTTGTCCAACATATCTTCGGGTGGACTCGCCCCAGAACCTCGCATCGCTGCAACAATAGTTTCATCGGTGGTTGCTTCCTCACGGATGACTGAGTCATCCTCATCCTCATCTACATAGTTTTAAAATGTGTCGTTTGCAGGACCAAAGTGGTGTTCCACAAGGTCAGACTACGTGTTGTCCGCGCCGGTCGCCTCATCAATCGCATCACTGCTCTGATTGGCGTCCTCCAAATTCCCGGCATCGCGCACAAACCCTGCATTGTGAAAACACTTCTAGATGGTTGTGGCTTTTACTTGCCACCACGACGCAATGATCATGTCGATGGCGCCCCTCAAATCCACCTTGATGGGTTCATCTCGTTGCAATTTGAAGACGACTCTTTCGCACATGCGCTTCTTGTAGAGTGCCTTCACTGTAGCGATGACGCCCTTATCGAGAGGCTGGCTTTTAGCAGTGGTGTTTGCCGGCAGGAACTTCAAACTGACTGCGCTTAAGTGCGGCTGCATATTGTGAGCACTGCAGTTGTCCATGATAAAAACAATGCGCCGTTTTTCCACGACCATGGCCTCATCGAAACTCCTTAGCCGAGTAACAAACAACTGTTGGGTCATCCAAGCCTTTCTATTTGCCGTGTACACGACAGGCAGACATTCTCGCTTCTTGAAGCAACGGGGTCGTTCTGATTTGATAAACAAGCACCATGTTTGCACAAAACAAAACCGTGACACGCTCCTTTGAAGCCTTGTGGCCGCAACAGGGTTCACCTCTCGTCGCTAGAGTGTGATCGGGAAGCATGTTGTAGCACAGACGAGCTTCATCAACATTGCAGATATCTTTGTCCGTGTACGCGGAAAGCATTGTCTCGAGATGAATGCAAAACCATGCCTGAATGCTGGCGTATTCGACTTCCCCACCTCAGCTAATCCCGTGGCGGTCTTGAAACTGCTGGGTCCATCCCTTGAGAGGGTTGAACCCTTCGTGTTCAAACAAATGTCCTAAGGACCTAGCCTTCGCTTGTAGCATCGGGCCACACACTGGGACGTTCTTGGCTCGCCCTTCGTGAAACCACCTAAACAAGGCTTCGTCTACTCCCTCATACGTTGACGTATGAATCCTCTTTCTTGAGAGCGACGCAGAATCTTGCTGTAGCTGCTCCCGGTTCTTCCAGACAGTAGAGACCGTTGTGTCAGCGATGTTGTACTTGTCCGTGACGGAAGCTTTTTTCATGCCACTTTCGACATCTTTGATGATGCCCTGTTTAGTTTCGAGAGACAGAGCTTGTCGTTTCTTGGCCATCTTGGGGTTGGGAGACAGGGACAGATCGGGATGGACGGTCAATTTCCCCACGATATGCTTGACGCGGTCCAAACAAGCAAGCCAGCAAGCTGCAAGAATTATTCTGCTATCCAGCCTTTGTTTTGAGCGCGGTGTAAGAAAGGAGGTTGGATTTGCGTCACTCGAGCGAGGTGGTGAAACCGAAAGGCTTGGGTGGCTCGTTAAAACTTTCGGAATGGAGCAACCGCGTGCGTGTGTCGCACCTCGCTACCTCGTTGCGTTGTAACTCGCTGCGTCGTCATTCATTTCTCACTTTTCTCTTTGCTTCTCCTCGCTTCTTTCATGCAATCTTCTTGCCATCCTTGCCCCCGCAAGTGCCGCTTGCGCCATTATCTGGTGCCGCATAGGGAAGCGTGCTTGCTGTGCCGGTTGGTCAGTGGGCTGTTCCACAAACCGCTCTATAACCAGTATTTCCCTTTGCGCTCCTGCATTTTAAGCAGTATGTAATTACATGGAGTTGTGCGGGAGGCGGACCAGTGGTTGAAAAAAGCCGCGTTATATCCGTTCCTGCACTCTAAGCGGTTACGTTATAAGTGGTCTATGCTGTATACTTATACTCACCAATGTAAGGTCAATCTTACATGTACAATTATATCTGTCTGTGCCTGTCCCTGTTAGACACTTCCTTTGTCGGTTTGTGTGCGTGTGTTTACACATACACATCTTTGTTTCCTTCGCATTCTGATATGCTTGCATAAAATGCAATGTAATTAACGAAAGAAGTGGAAGATAGAAAAAAAGCTCACCTCTCCAATTAGCGTAGAAGAGCACTACTAGAAAAAAAGCTCACTTCTCCAATTAGCGTAAAAGAGCACTACTTTTTGCTCGTGTTCAGCCTGTTACAAATTTTATTTCGCCAATATTTTTTTAAAATTACATACAAAATAAATTTACATGAACGGCATCAAATTACAGACAAGCTATAATAAAAATGTATTTATGGTATTAGCTTTGCGGGAAATTATTGTTGTGTTAAAGGTGTTCTTGTGGAAAGTCATCACAGTGAAATTGGTCTTGCTTAAATCACGATTGAAAGCATCTTGATTTTGATTCTCCACCCTCAACTCAATCATTTCGTGGTAGATAATTTCAGGATAACAATGCCTCTTTGATTTTGCGAAAAGCACAGTAGTTGCACTCTTAGAAGCCTGGAATGTTTTTCGTCGGAAGCCAGTCTGCAGTGTGATTGACACAAGATGTTAAATTTATTTCCTGGGATATATAAGAGGCGAGAACAGCTAAAGCATTCTTAGCTCTGCCCTAGTCTTTGTGCGACGTCACCCTCAACATATCGGCTCGAAAAACCAAGGTTCGGTCTGTGCGCACTTCCGCCGCCACAGCTTCGCACACGAAGAGGCGCCGCAGGCTGCTGAACGCATCTCACTGCCGAATGCCAGCTCCTCCGCTATTGACGCTACTCGCTTTTTTGAAAGCATCGCCTATAGTTCCCACATGGAGTGTATAGACGTTTGCAAGTCCGGCCTCTCGGCACCGCCATCTTGCTGCTGTCGTACGTAAATTGTCCGATAGTCAAGCCTTGCTAAGGCATGCTCACAATCCCTAGACTGACACCCAAACAAAGCATTTTCTGTCCATGGTGGCCACACTAGCTTTTGAAGCATGGTGGCTTGCAAACATTTGTATAAGGCAGCAAAGTCAAGTACACTCGCAGTGCGGGCACTTACAGTACAAGCTTGTCTATGTTTGGTGGAAAACCGACCTAAAAAAAGGTATGATTCAGCATTCTCATTACTGTCACTTAAGGTAACAGGGAGGCTTCCCTTCATACAAGTTTGCATACCGTATCTTGGCCTACAAGCTGCACCCCCAACTTACTACACAAAAAAAAACCTTTTTGCGTTAGTCAGTCATAGTAGTGTCCAGATCTTGCTAGAAGCCATACCTTTATTTTGAATACACTCATTGCTGGCATCTTCAATGTCACAGATAGCGTCGTCGTCCATGCCTAGCAGTTCTGCGGCATCCCATCTAGAAAAGTAACGGTAACGCTGAATCTCTGAAGGCACTGCATGACTACGACCTCTTTTGTCCTCTGAACTTCACGGGCACTTTTTCAAGCTCAGAGTATGCACCAGTCTTTGGATCGCAAAACGTTAGTTGGTCACGGCACGCAGCTTTCAGGTTCTCATTGTTCCTCCATTCTCGCACGCATGACTACTCAATAGGGAGTTTTAGAATAATCTACGCAATTTTAGCGCACGCTGACACAAAATTTAGCGCTTGTATTAGCGCACGCGACGCAAGAGAGTTTTAGAATAGCGTTTCTCTGTCGCGACGCAAAAGCCCAAGTAGCTCGCGCTTGCGACGCCACCAAGATACAGTCACCATTTTTATTTCACACACGAAATGCTGTAACTTTAGAAAAAAAAAGTTTTTTTGTCCAGAGTACCATTTTAGATTTGTTCAAACATGAGAATGCGATGCGAGCGGTTGACCGGCTGTGTCCGCTTGCGTCGCCTCGGCAAGAGGGGTCTCGTGTACTGACCTTCGCACATCGTGCCTTTGCCGATAAATGTTTGCGCGTCGCAAGCATCAAGTTCCCGGTGATCGTTGCCAAACCGAGTACAATGTCGTCCCATATTGAAAATCACAGTCGCGAGGATGCCGCCGACGTCGCACTCATGACGCCACCAAAGCAGCCACCAACATAATCCTGGAAGCGGATTTTTTTAACTCTGCTCGTCTTGGCTTTAGCCAACTTCTCATCACGAATCCTCCTTGGAGAAGTGCAAAGACTCGAAAATAGCGTACGCACGCTATTTCCGAGAAATAGCGCACGCTAAAATTGCGCACGCAAGGCGCAAAACCTGGATTGCGTTCGGAGTGTGCACAATGGCGACGACGCTATTCTTTGCATGTGCAAAGCTTTAGTGTGCGCTATTCTACAACTCTCTAATGTGGTAGCGGTCATAGTTCCGTCCCGCCACTCAGTTTTCTATATTTTAGCAACAAATTTTATGACTGCGCGGAGCAGTTGTGGACGTCGCGGAGCCCACAAGATCAAAGCAATTATGGCTATTCGAATAAAGGAGGGGCAGGTGGAAAGAACACTCTGGTCCGTAGGTGAGACCGGAGAAGAGGGACACCAAGGAATCTATCCCCCTGACTTCGCGGCCATCGCTGTGAAACCGCACCCTTGCTGAAATTCTCGTATAACCCACACCCCTACTTTGCATTAAGTTTTCCATAAATTTTGATGCGTGTTATATGCTAGAAAGTGTAGTAGCATAAACGAGAAAGAAGTAAGGTGGTGCAACACTGGACAAAGTAGACACCAGAAAGTGCAGGCCCCACTGTGGCCTGCATGTGTCGGTAGCTTGCCTTTCTGAGAGGTAACAGCCCATGCCTGACCCCCCTCCCCCTCCCGCGTGTCTCTACCAGGGCTACGGCGAAGGCCGCCAGAAGTCGTCGACGACCCCGCAGGAGGTGCGTCTTCTCGAAGGCATTCACATCCACACAGTGGCATGCGGCCTGGGACACTCCGTCTTCATTGCTCGCGACGACACCGAGGAAGAGAGGGCCCGCATCCGCAAGCTGCCAGAGTTTGTGCCCTAGGGTGCTCCTGGGGTGCACCCGGGTTGCCCCCGTGCCCCACCGGAGGAACCCGCCGTGCCAATTCGCCCGCAGAGCAGCATACTCGTTCTAGAGTGGACGTGCTCGAAGGAGCCGCATTGGAGCGCAGGTGCAACGGTCCCGCGGCGCGGCGGACTTTTGAAGCCTCTCGCGGGAAGCATCCGCGAAACTGCGGCCGAGGCAGCAGTGAAGGGGAGGACGGTCGTCCGCTGTCCTTGAGTGTTCTTGTGTTAGAGATTTTTTTTCCCCACCAGGGTTAGCAGTCAAAGGTGCACAAGGGGCTTCTACCAAATGTCGAGACGGGTCGGAGAAGAATGTCGGCGGGATTTCGGGCCCCTGCCCGTTAGCCAGCCGTTGTTCCATTTTACAATTTTTTGGCCTTTTGACTCTTGTACCATACTCTGCTCATATAGTATTCCATGTTTGTTTGTTTCGTCTTCCGTTCATGTTTTTTTTTTTTTTCCTCGTGTACATGTTTGTCATTTCTACAGGTGTACATACAACTGCGCGTCCGCAAGCACCATCTACGTTTTCCCCACCTTGGCTCATTTCTGCCAGCAGCAGCCTAGTAACTTTGGTTTTACCTTTTTTTTTTAATGCTCCTGTATTGTATTTTTTCCATCTTATTTTTACCTTTACACTCGTCCTGGCCTCGTTATTCTACAGCTGTGCTTTCCCCCTTTTGTTCCTCGTCGAGTTGAGGAGCCTCTGTGCACATGCCCACTGGAGGGGGAGAGAGGTCGTAACTTCGCACTTTTAGCACGGGCAAAATTGGGGGTAAAAAAATGAAAGCCAAAAGAAGTCTCGTTGTCGTCGGCACTAAAAAACTTGTGGGTGTGGTACCCTCCTTGTGTTGGCAGCAGCAAGGTATCATCCTGAGCAATAACTGAGCGCTCTAGTTGGTTTGCGCCCGCCGTCGTTGTGCAGCCCAGAGGGCGCTCTGCCGAGCACATCCACTCCTGCTCCTGCCGGTTGTGAAAATGAATCTCGAGAAGTCGACGAACCACCCATCGTTTTTTATTGCTTTGTTTTTAAACCCAATCTCTTTTATGTGCATAGGAACCATTTTTACCCTAGGGGTCCCTGCTGTCCACTGTCCCTGCTGTCCACTGTGTCCCTCCGAAGAAAAGTGATTGGCTGTTTTTTCTAAATGACCTCTTTGATGATCTCAGGCCGATAATAGGTTTATGTTTTGATAATAAAATTTGTGAATCTTGCATTCGGTTGTCTCGTTTTTATTTCTCCTATACGAGTTTTCGAACTTGTGTAACTGATGTGGTGGTTATGCCTGCAAGCAGCTGTCAGTGCGATTATGTTGCCATCCAGTGTCTTTAAGACCAAAGCTGGTCTTAAAAAGACCAGCTTTGGCAGTGCACTAGCTCTAACTTGTTTTGAACTGTAAAGGGGCGGTGCAATGATATTCAGTTGGTCTGTTTTACACTTCTCGTGAGCTGACTGGCACTAGTGGGACTCGAGGATATTAGCACATAACGCCACTGGCCAAGAAACTCCTATGGTGCAGTGTAATTTCAAGGACAAAAGCGAGTGCTTTCATTCAATTTCTTCTTCGCAAAACTTTACGACGTAACCGAGGGATTGCGGTATCCTCCAGTGACGATATTTGAATGTGGCTCATAGATTGGACCTGAGCATTGCATGGGCACTCGTATGGGCTCGTGATAATCCTTAGCTCGAGGAGCATTCGGGTAGTGGCCCTTGTCCAATTGCTGCAATGACGATTATGGCCGAACCATTACAATGTATGAAACTCTGCGTGTGTCCTGTGCCTTGCCAACCCGAGCGTATGGCTGTGATCAACATTGGCTGCATGTAATCAGCTCCAGATCACTTGGCCGCTTGTGAACAAAAAGTAAGGGCGCAAACAAGCTGGTGTACATTGCACATGGTTGAAAAAACCCCCGAGACTGCGGGTAAACGACCCAACACTAAAAAGTCTCTAAATTGGAGACTTTTTAGTGTTGTGTCGTTTACCCGCAGTTTCGAGGGGGGGGGGGGGGGGGGGGGGGGGGGGTTCAACCATGGCCGCTTGTTCTGGCTGCGAGTTGAGGGGGTGAACGCTGCTCCCTTTTCTTTAATTTTTTTGCAACTTTGATTGCATGTGGTGAAAAATGAGCTGGTGTTTCAAAAGTCATTAACATTGGGGATCCGTTCTAAGCAGTGTTTATTCAAAGCACAAAAATCTGCATCGCCGCTTTAATGTTCTGCAGTGTCGCATTTCCCAATGTGTTCAAGTGTTTAGAAGAGCGTTTTTGCAAAGGTCATTTTCATCAAATCTTAGAATGGGTTCTATGTCCAAATCATTCCCGTGGCTTTTTTTTTAATTGAATTACGAATTGCATTAATTTTAATACAGCCCTAATATTTTATTAAAATTATCCAGCATTATTCAATGGGATGCTGTTTGGTCTACCTTCGGTTGACATCTTAAAACGGGTCCATATTCTTAAAACAACCTTTTATCGACGCTTCTGGTATGTCATTCATCAGTTGGAGCCCGTTAAAATTTAGGAGAGTCGATCGGTCTGCTGTCAGCTCCTGCTATGCAGTGAATTCTAGTGAGTGATTGTACTGTGGAAAGCGTTTTTCAGTTGGACAGGCCACCACAACTGGACACTGAACTCCCAAAAACAAGCGCCCGGAGGGGACACGTGTGTCTTGAAGTGAACTTTACCAGAAAAAGATTGTAGCGCGGTCGTAGCCCTAGCCAGGCACTTCAAAATGTTTTTCGAAGCAAATTTAGTGTGTCTTTACAAAACGCTTTAGACTAGGTTATGGGTGATGATCCTGATAGGCGGTTGTAAAAGTCTGGCGGCAAAGCAGAAAAAAAGCATCACAGTTATGGCGTCCCAACCACGCGGCTCTCTCGACCCGTAGGTGCTAAAATCTCTATCGACTAGAGCACTATATAGCTATATAGCTCCTACGGAGCAGAGTAGCGCAATCCTTTGAACCCCGTGTTTTGCCGACAACATGGCCGACAGAGCGGCTCGGCGCGAGTCACGTGGTACTCAGGGTTCCAGGAGGCGGCCCGCCCTATGGGAGAATACATGGAGATCGACACAACACGGCTGATTAAAAAATGAACGGCGAGTTCACACTTTTCAAAACTAGTCTGTCGTGAAGTTAGTAAAGCACTAAGCACTTTATCAAAGTTTTAACAATATCGGATGTGTGTGTAAATTTTGAGAAGGCAATTTTCAAGGCAATGGCGTTTGAAGCAGACGATTTTTGCTCGCAGCGGAGATGGGCTTTTCGGGTTGGCCGGAGCGGGTCACGTGAATGGTGTGACGTCGCCGTGTCGTCTGCTGCATGATGCCGTTCAGGCAATTTTTTAAAAAAAAGTTACGTCCTTGTATGGCACAAAACTTATCGCATATTATTCTAAAATGTTTCATTATTATGTCAAAAATGATTTCCATTCCGCACATCCCCACAAAACTGAAGAAACAACGATTTTCTCACGTTCTCCATGCATTTCTGACCGCAGTTGGAACCTCCGGGCGTTCGCCGCTAGTCGCCGAGAGACGGCGTTCTAGATTGCGCTACTCTGATCCTCCTCCGCATGGGCGCTGCCATCTTGGAACCACGTGACGCGGCAGCCATTAGGTTGCTTCAACTTGTTGCTCCGCTCTCCCCTCCGCGCTTTGGCGGGTGCGTTGTATCCGTGTTTTTCGTCGCGTTTCACCGCGCTTTCTTGTCCTACTTCGGAAACTACTCGACGACTAAGATATCATGAGGGTTCAAAGGTCCTTATGAAACCGAGGTTGTTTACTAAAAGTGACGGAACATTCTCAGTAAGAAGCACGTATATTTATATCGCTTATTTAGGATCGGAAGCCGTCAAGAATAGTCAGCGCAGGAGACTCTGTATTTCCTGAAAGTATCGCTTTTTTGTATTTTATAATATATCGAAAACAGTTTCTTTTGATTATGTGAGGAAACTCGTTTAACCAACGTTTAACTTGTATTTTATCTGAGGCTAGATGTAATGGTACGGCAACATCAGGCGATTTGTTTCTTCATAATATCACACCTACATGTGTATGAGGTACTCAATCTTTTTTTTCGACGTAAACATTCGGTTGGTCGGTTTACTTATGAAGTTTAAGAAATTGTATACCGTGCTCGCGCCCATTCCTACATTCATTTAAGTGATTTATTGATTATATGTAGATAACCAGTATCATCCACTTAATTTTTTTTTAATACATAGCTTGGGACTTTCCACGTAAGAAACTGCCACAGACACTTAACAGTAGCGAGTTTTAGAATAGCATGCACAAAAGAAATAACGTCGTTTGTATTTGCAAATAAAAAGCGCGCTTTGGGTTCGGTGCATGCGCAATAATGGCGACGCTTTTTCTTTTTTTTGCATACGTTGTTTTATGTTTTCCCAGTATCAAAAATCAGAAAATTTGAAGCCGAAAAAAAAAAAAAAAGAGCCGGCTGCACAACAATTACTTGAGTCCAGGATTGTTGATAGTGAATAGAGGCTTACTTCTGGTGGCTGGCGACGCCGAAATTTACAAAGCGAATATGTTCAAACAAATAAATATTTGTTCACACACGTCCGTGAAGTGGTGCCTAGCACTAGAACTCAGCCAAACGTTACGAGGTATTTCTCTTCCTGCGCCTTTATTTTATTTGGCCAATATTGTGGAATACAAATGCGAGATTTAGTTTGACCGACCTGTCACTTTATGATATCTTTAATAAGCAAATGTTCACATAAACATTTATTTCCTACGGCCAATGTCGCGAAATGCTGCTTACGAGTACTTCAGTAGGGTTGATAATTTAAGCAATTTTCTACTCGGCCTGTCAAAACATGCTCGAGTACTGAATTTAAAAAAAAAAAAAAAAAAGAGGCTGAGCCGATACTTCTTGTTTATATTAGTTATCTGCATCATTGCACGATACGTTTTTAGTCTGCGAAGTTCGCTAAAGGTTGGGTGCCCACGAAAACCAAACAGTGAGAAGTAAACTCGCGAGTTTTTCTGTTCCAGGCGTTTCAGCACATTGCCAGTCAAGCTTTCGATATGCTTCTTTACATTCACATGTTAGCCTCTTCATTAGTTTGTTTTTCTGGAAGCTGGTACCATCGAGTACGGGAGCAGACGATGGTAATCTTCCTGTACGTCAGTCAGGCGTTTGGCAGCCGACCAAAATCAGACACATCAAAGGAGTTGGTAAAGAAAGCCCGCAATTTAGGCTAAAATACACCTCGTAGTCCTCAAAGTTGCTCAATACCAGTGTTTCATTGGTTGTGTGCTACAAGGAAAAAAAAATCGTTACACAAAATTAAGATAAAACAAAGTAAAACAGCAACATAGCCACGTCCACGTTGAAACCGAAAACAACCAAATTGAAGCAACCTAATGGCGCTGAGTGCGTCAGCGCCCTCTGTCCGCCGGTGAGGCAACTACTAAAATAAAAAGGTCTATATATATATTTTTTTTTTTTTTGGTAGTTTAATTTTTTGAGCCTTGTACTCGGTTGTTCCCAAAGAAAGAAAAAAAAAAGCCTTGACCGTTTTTGTTTAGAGCTGAGTGAGTGACGCCAACACCCAATCCCTCTTGTGAAAAAAAGAAATAAATAAAAAGGGCGCTGTTTAAATACATTACTCACAAGAGGCTGGATATTGTCATTTTGGATACCCTGACGTAGTCTCTGGTGTACCAAAAAAATGTACCCAGGAAACGAAGCATAGTGAAGTTTAGGGGTGTCGCGAACTTTTGTCGAACCAGATTTTTTGGTCGAACTTTCGGGGTTCGACTGGGTCGAACCGGTTCGACGAACCTTCGAACTTTTCACCAGATTCGACCGGTTCGACTTTGTGGACAGTGTGGCCAGACCTTGATACAAGCATGTCTAGGTTTGGAGAATTTCTTTTTTTATGTAAAGGGTTATTTTATTGTGTAAACAACTGCAATTAAAAGAAACTAATTCTATTCACTGAAGAAGTTAATAACTTAAATTTTAGTACTGTATTGACTGAAATAGCCGATCAGCGCTGCACTTAATTCATCTCTTAGCCATTACCATCCAATCCGAAGCCAACTGGCCAGCCTGTCGCGCATGCGCACACGAGTCGAACCTCAATACAAGGTTCGACGAACTTTCCACTAAAGGTTCGAAAAAGTCGAACCTGGTCGAACTCGAACCGCGGCCGGTTCGCGACACCCCTAGTGAAGTTAGGGTGCCTACATGTCTGTCTGTCTCAGCGTGAAGACATCCACTGTTGCCCTGAATCTGCCAGAGCGCGTGACTCTCTCGCGTACTCGGTGCGTGACTTGGGCCGTAAAATGGCGTCTATGCATTAGACAAATTTAGCTACGCGCTCGAGCTGAGTGACAACAGATTGCGCGCGCTCCAAAATGCATAAAAGAACTATTGGGTGGAAAAATGGCTGAGATGTCACCACTCAAGCAAAAGCGCGCGTGTGTATGAAGGCACTCTAAGTGAAGTGGCCTACTAATCCTCGAGGTCGCGTGCCTAGTAAGTTCGAAATAAAAAAAAAATAAAATTATTGATTGCTGTCTAGGTCTGAGTGACTCCAGCCCATCTAACCCTCCCCCCCCCCCTTTCCCATATAAAAAAAAGGACAAAAAGAAATTGAGAAAAATTCGAATGGGCATTTTTGCAATCGATTACAGCAAGAGTAATTCAATTACAAGGATCGTTACTTCTGCCTTAAAGGAAGTAATTGAAGCGCAACAAAATTACAGTAAAGTGTAACTGATTACAAGTAATTCATTACTTGTTGTAACGCGTTTCGTACAAGTCTGATACCGAGCCTCTACCGTATCCACCTCCCCGCCCAACCCAAAATAAATTTCTGGATACGCCGCTGGTACGGTACCTATGTTGGTGGTACCGTTAGTATCCACCTTCACACGCACAAGTCTCCCCGCTCTTTGGCGTGACAGATGCCGGTTCCTGCCATGTAACTGCAAAAGCCAGGCATGGACGCGCTTTTTGGCGTGAACGTGGGGAAGCTAGCGCAAGCGTGCTTTTTGGCGTGAACACGGGGAAGCTAGCGAAACCGGGCGTGCTTTGAGTGGCCTTACCAGCAGAAAATGAAGGGAATAAAATAAAACGCTTGAGTAAAACAGCAAACTGGGCAACAGATACGACTATCGGTCTGATGTTTAATTACCTCTTACATCGCTAAAGTAAGGACGCAACAAGTACACCCGTCAGAGTCGCGCTTGAGCAATTTTATGCGCCAAAACCGAAACTAAAAGTAAGATCAGTAAAACCTCCAAGAAGCGCTTTAAAATAGTTTATTATTTTGTTTAGTTTATAAATACTTTGTGTATTCAATTTATTATTCAAGGATTGGGTCTTTGGCAAGCATGATCGCACTTTGCACGTTTAATAAAGTTGGGGTCGGTGAATATTGTAATATCCAAGCCAAGCCAATTTAAAGGTAGTATTATTGTTTTTGTTTTTTGTGTTTGTAGGTCGCTGAGCATTGGGTGCAGCGTACAGATACACAAGTTACCTATAGCATCATCACATCAGTCATCCCATTGTCGGTCAGTTCATTATAACCGACGGCCCCAACCCAGCACCAGTCTCCGTACGTCGCACGTTGACTGCGCTGTTCAGCGTTATTGTATGAAAGTGGCCCGTCCAACAGAGGTATGTTTCGTTGAGCCTTTTAGTTGCGCAGTCAGCATCAGCCTGGTTTTCCCTGTTGTGTTTTGAGGACCGGTGCCTTTTTAATTGCAAATGATTTTACAATCTGCCGATACAACGCATTTCTATTCGGGCAGACCTTTAATCTCGCGCCATGGCATGATGGCTCGCGTCCCGCACGGCAACGGGGAAACAAATTGTCGCTCTAAAAAGAAGTATCCCTGAACGTTGGTTGCATACGCAATCATACGCATCTGTGAGGGCCACATTTGTGGACCAAGAAATACTCCGAAGCGTTGAGATTTGTTGATAATGCTTGTTACTCGAAGCAAAGCAACGCAAATCTTTTTGCAATTGCGTAACTAGTTCTGGCTAGTATTTCTTTTTATATTCTATTCTAGGACAGTGGCCCGGCTTGTGCATAGTGAGCATAATTTATTAATGCTTTGCTCTTTGTATAAAACTTGTGTTTGTTTCCCTTCAGGTCAGTAGCACACCAATTTTGGTTGCAATTCAAGCTTGCTATGAAAGCCTGAGAAGATGTACTACAGCCCGTCAGTAGGCTTCTTGGAGGGGGATGGCGGGTGAGAACCTATCTTACTCTTTTTTTTCCCCTTCCCATTTGAACAGTGTGTATGTTTATGTCAAGCACGATAACATAAAGGTTAAAACATTCAGATTGTACTATGACTCCTCCTTTCTTCCCTTTATAACTTCCATTTGGAGGGCCCGAATCCCGACAAAGGTTCCCACAATAGGTGACCGGCGTTTGAGCTGGAAGTTTCGTCATCCGAAGCGAGGCACCCCGCGACTTCACGCTTCCGATTCGTCCGGTGCGGGTCGTGGTTCGTCCAACTGCATCGAGAGTCCTTGGCGTGGTAGCCGTGCTGTATTCACAGTGAAAATGGTTACAGCTCCGCGGTATGTTCTTCTAACACAAGCCATAGAGGGCGTACAATGTTCCAGTTCCCGTGAAACAAAGCATGGAAGCAACGATGGGCTGTTGCTGTTAAGCGAGTGATGGAGCGAGGTGACCTGTGACACACAAACGTCGGTGACCGTTTAGTGCGGCCAATATTGTTACAGGCCAGTACAACGTGTTCTCTCTTTCTTCAGGTAGGGGCCGCGGGAAGTAACGACCTCTAACAGTCTTTTGGCACCCACCAAAAAGGTCTCGATTAATTCGCGAAGGGGTGAGCACTGCTTGTCATACAAAGCATCTGCGAGAACGCGAGATGCGATCTCGCAGGCAATCAGTTCATGGCATGACGTTTCGTCGACATACAGTGCCATCGCCAGGCCGTTTAATCGTTCCATCGACTGACATCGCAGACTGTTCCCGCGAAGCGGTGTGAATGGGTGGCTTGCTATAATATAAATAAACAAAAGGACAGGTCAGCTTCTTGTAATATAAGGAAACAAAAGCAAGTGGAGAGCACCTTCATATTGACTGATAATAAAGCGGTAGTATGACCCTGCGTAGCTCATATCAAAATCGGTGCTCGTTTGTGCATGCTTTCTTACTCGACAGCATTAAAAAAACGTGCGGGATTGGGGGGGGTGGTTATGGTAGTTCACAGGGGACAACTTAGTTGAAGTACCAAAAACGCGGGAGTGTTAAAAAGCAAGGATTGTCACATAGTCAGATGTCATTGAAACTAACTTTTGTACGGAAGTGGCATTTCAATCGCGCGAGAAAACATATTAGCTGAGTTTGAAACGCCGTCTGACCGACTTCTTTCCCTGTCTTTAACTTTTGGTTGCCTGAAGATTTTCTTACCCAGACTCAGGTGTTCTAACAAAATGAGAAAAGTATGCCAGACCTCCGATTGGGCATTTCAGTTGGCCGCGTCTCACGGCTTACATTTGCGCCTATTTCAGTCGGTGATGTGATCTAACGTAACCACCAAAAATAAACAGAACCCAAATGAAAAATGCTCGCTCAAAAGGAAAACGAAACATCTAACCTGAGCTTTCATGCGAAGATCCGGAAAGCGCGGTGCGAGTGCAGCTTGCCGCCGGCCGCACTCACTCTGCGCTTTCGTGGCCGTTCTCGATGCATTTGCGTACCGACTACTACTTAAGGGGGGACACTACCCAGAAAAAACAATTTCTGCAAAAAAAAGTTGATTTTGAAAAATGTCATATTTACATCCACCAACATCTGGAGAGTATTCCCAGAAAGTTTCATTAGTTTACACTGCATAATTAATTTTTTATAAATTATTTTCGGTCCACCGATGCTAAAGAAAAGGTAGAGGTTGGAGCACTTTAAACACATTTTTCTCCATTCCACTTTTTGGCATAAATTTCACTTTAGGAAAACTATCGTTTTGTTATTATGCAACTTAAATTAATTTTCATGAGTGTTTCTGGGGTGAAATTTTAAGGGGAAGATAACTATGAGCTTGTATTTTTTATTTTTGTCATTTTTCATGCTCAAGAACTCAAAGTTTGGACAAAGGATGGAAATCTAAAAAACTGTATTTGTGTTTATATGGCTTTTTTGTCATGAAAGATGGTGTAACATAGAAATATAGCTCCATAGTTATCTACTCTGAACTTTCCTAATGCAATGTAACACATGAAAACAACAAATTTATAAGTAATTTCAAAACGATAGTTTTCCTAAGCAGACACGCCCACTTTCGTCTTTGAACGTTTGCAATTTTTTTTGTACTTCACCCAGGTTAACAAAAACCGGCAGAAATGTTCTCAACATCAACAGAAACAAGCCCTGTAAATATAATTTAAATCAGACAAGTGGTTCAAAAATTTACTTTTTTGGGTAGTGTCCCCCCTTAAGATATCCGTAGAAGTAACTTGAGGTGTTCAGAAGTGCGTAAGTCACTCAGCAGCAGAGAAAGGTGGCCCGGATTGATCGGGTTTCAGCACCCGCACACGCTTCCATAGCTGTCATGGGGCTGCGCGGAATGCGTCGGCTGCTAGCTACGAACCGGAGGTGAATAATACCCAGAGTGCTTTGAGGCTGCTGCCAAACGCCGGTCACCTATTGGACAGCCTGTTGCGGAGAAGGCATCATATAGCCGAGATGTCACTTTCACGTCAGATCGTCTTCAGATGGTCTAGGTTGATCCTCAGTCCTTCACTAGAGCAGGCTAAATTTTGTGAAGCAACATAGACTGGGGCACAAGAGCCAGACAAAACTAGACGTTTAACAATCGTATACAAATATGCTGCTAAAAAAAAAAAACACAAAAAAAAACAAGGTCTAAAGCCCAATCCAAACAATGACAAAAAGAAACCTGCATTCGCTTTGTGGTTCTTTGCTTCCAGTGGTGTGTACCTGGGTGGGTGCACGACGACGAGCACGACGGCGACTGCGAGTAGCATGTCCCACAGTGCAGCCTGGGACCCAACCACAAGCAGCCTGGCAGGGCAGGGGTGCCTGTCCTCCGCCTGGGTCCACCGGGTGCCCGAGAACATGCCCTGGGCTCTGTGCTCGACTCCCCCGCAGGAGCAGCAGGTGAGGCACCCTTACGAGGTGGGCTGTCCCACGTGGCTTTATCCGAACGCCCTACAATTTTCGGCGACGCGGCTGTGAGACGGAAAATTTCAAGCGTAGTATGGTGCCCTTGAGGGTTGATGCTACGATCGGCGTCTTCGAAGCTACTGGCACCGCCATGTGGCTTTGTCTAGTGTCTCGCTCGCATATACTCTCGTGCGAATGCGACTCTACGCAAAGTGACGTGCAGGTACAAGCAGCTCTGACAGTGCTATATGACGGACATGAAGCGGACCATAGTTAGTGCCGGTTGAATCGTGCTGGAGTCCACCGTTCGGTGGGAAGTTTGAAACTACCGACGGATTCGAGGGCGGATTACGCGTGGACAATGCCACGTCTCGTCGTCATTGCAGACTGCAGCGCATTGAATCGTCGTTGTGCAGACTGCGGCTTAGCATCTGGCGCCGGTGCTCTCGCAGTGCCCCTGGGGAATACTCACGCACATTCCTGCCCGCATTCTCAGGTGGTGCGCTTCACGGCCCCTGTTGCGGTGCAGGCGTCGGCCTGGGAGCAGGTGGTGAGCAGCTGGGGCCCTGCCGAGGAGGTTCGACCCCGGAGGCAGCTCAAGCGGCACGCCCAGGTCCCTGAGGACTCGTGAGATGCACCCCCGTTTTTGACGGGACCTTGCCTCTCTTTGGGGATCTTGGGTCTGAGTGGAACAGTGGGTTCCTCGGCATTGCTTTTTTTTTTATTTTCGGGCAGGAGCTCTCAAACTTTTCGGTCGCAAAGAACCCTTACCTTCTTTAACCAATAGCAAGAGAACCCTTCCTGGTCTCGGCATTTTTCGCGATAAAGCAGTTAGGGGTCCTACGGAGCTTGCGAGTAATGATGAACGCACTACAAAGTGTACTGATAGTAGTTATGCGTTGATGAGTCACTTAGATTTGATCAAACAGTGCTTAAACTGGGAAAGCATCTTACTTAAGGGCCGGGACTGTAGAAAAAATTTCAGAGCTCCGGGAACCCGTGAGAACTTCGGCGTTCGTAAAGGAGCCCAGTTTGGGTCTCTTTGTTATACCCAATGCCAATGGTGTGCATTCGCAGGGAAAATACCGTATTTTTCGGGCTATTTGCATCTCCAGCTCATTGCTCGCCCTCCCACGGCAGAAACGGGAAGCGCTCTTGTGAAGGTCCCCTGGTTCTACTACTCAGCGGGCACGGCAGAACTGCTCGTGATCATGGCTCGCAAAATGTCAACATTGAATGCAAACAACACTCTTTACTGTCCCAATGTAGTGCTGCAGCCGGTATGGGATTGCACCTTATTAGAGAGTTTGAGTATTGCATATAGAAGCAAGCGCTGTGCGTTTGCATTAAAGTTTCGTGGTCCACATTGCGAATGCGTGTCATCGCGACGCGCAGTGTGGATCATGCAATGCTAGTGCGAACACACCCTGCATGTGTTGGCTCGTATACGCTATACTAAAACTCACTACTGTTTCACCGGCTTCCAACACCAACACAACGTGCTACAGTGAGCGGACGTGCCTGCAGGTGGGCGTTCCTTTGAACTGGAAAGGCCGAAATTAGCAAAATGTTGGCGTGCAAAAATGAGAGAAACTAAATGTTCTAAAAAAATTAATAACAAAAAAAAAAATCTTTTCTTTGGGGGGGGGGGGGGGAGGAGGGAAAGGAAAGGGGGGGGTGGCATTTGGTTTGGACAATGACTTTGGAAGTTCTTCCGATTGTCAAAAGTCACAACTTTGGTGGCACCATATGCTTTACCCACAATTAATGTAATTTTACATGGATTTCTCAAATTGGCTAGAATGTTTTCATTGATTTTAGCCTATTTTTATTTTATAGCGTAATTAAAAATGCTGCAATTGGCATCAGCAATGATAATTTGCAAACTTTTGATTGTCATAATTGTTTGCACATATGAAATTAGATCATAAGCAGCAAATTGTATTAGAGCTTGAGGAATTATGTATTAAAATACCTTAATTTTATTATTATTATAAATAGAAATTGCTACAATGTAGGCCCCCAATAAATGCCACAATCACAAAAATATGCTATTTAACCGTAATGGCATTTCCAGAACGGTCTCATTTTGTTTTCTTTTTAGCATATGAAAAACTCTGACATCATTATTAAGATGTACAAACTGTCAAACACTGGATGTACTATAAAGTCCTATACGTCGCGCATGGCTTTAAAAGACACACACACAAACATACCCAGCTGTTTGACTCAAATTCCGTCTTTGGGTTTTTGTAGTGAGAACAGCATTTCTTCATTTATACATTTTGTTTATATATTATGAAAATGGGATTGATTTTGTTATTGTTGTCCTGGAAATAAAGTTAAAGCAATTAATCATCTAAATACCCCAAAGCCCATTAAAAGGCCTGCAGTTCATTATTTCACATGGCACTAATCTGAGCAAGAAAAGGCAGCAAGAACGCACAAATATCAGCACTGATTTTTTCAACGAATACAATATTCTATGTTGCATTAAAGGGACAGTGAACTCTCCAATATATTTTGAAGTGCCTGGATCAGACATGTATGTCACAAAAAAAAGTTTCCGCGAACAACTTCTTTAACTCGGTAATTATGCTGTGAGACACATCTTGAGTTATGAAAGAATCCTAAATTAACGCCTATGCCGAGAAATTAAATCCAAAATAGAGGTTAATTTCAATTTCGTTCTAGAATTAAAACGTGCCCCCTGGCGTAAATATTACGCCAAACGCCGTTTTTGTTTTCAGGATAGAGCGGGGACTTGTACTAATAACATTCTCGCTTCCTTGTATAAGTAGAAATAATGTGTGTCGCTTAGTGAAGCCGACACACTAGACGTGCTTAGCAGCGGCACGCATCTACGACCCTCCCCGCCATTTTTGAAAACTAGTGGCGCCACCTATGGTGAATTGGAGTCACGAATAGTCCGCACCCGATGCATAGTCCGCACGCCGTGCATAGCCCACCCCTGGTGCTTAGTCAACACGAAAATCTTCTCATACACGGCACATTTTGACACATGTCTGCTTTTTAGCTCACAAAGAAGCTTGTATTATACATAAATCATCAATTACACACTCTTTCATTGACAAAATCTGTCACGGGAAAGGTATACAGTATAGACCACTTACAACGTAACCGCTTATAGTGCAGGACCGGGTATAACGCGGTTTTTTTAAACCACCGGTTCGCCTCCCATAGAACTCCATGTAATTACATACCGCTTAAAATGCAGGCGCGCGAAGAGAAATACCGGTTATAGTGCGGTTTCTGGAACAGCCCGCCGACCGCGCCGACGACCGGAGCAGCGAGCAAGCTTCCCTGTGCGACACTAGATAACGGCGCTGACGGCGCTAGCCCAACACCACCTATACTCCGTTCCACCCTCAGTCCGAGCGCAGTGGACGCCACGAGCTATCCCAGCCGATCCAGCGCCTGGAGAAAATCGCGTGACCTTCCTGTTGGGCAGAGTGACGCAGGGAGCTCAAGGTCACATGAGACTCTCTCCACGCTGCGCTCGGACTGAAGGTGAAATGGAGTATAGATCTTGGCTAGCCGCAAGCGGCACTCACGGGGCAAGGAGATTGCTCGAAGAAGCAGGGAGAAGCGAAGAGAGAGGCTTCAGTGGCAATAGCGAAGGAGGGACGCACGCACGTGTCGTTCACGTGCGTGCGTCCCTCCGCTGCATTGGAAAACAACCGCGACGACAGGCCAGTCGCAGGTCGAGGAGAAGTGTTCGCGCACATTGCATGCCGGTCGCGGGCCGGCTTGTTCTATCCACAAACATGGCATCAGTTGTGATCGTCGTCGTAGACGGCGTGGTGAAAGCTCATCCTTCCGCGTAAAAGCACTATCCTTGACTGTGAATTTTCGTTGTGTGTCGCTATGATAACCCAGCACGTACTATAAGGGAAGATCCACCTACTCGTGCGGCGATGTCATGGCGGCGCTCTCAAGACAGCAGAAACGCCCGTGTCGTCATGTTTGTTTACTTCGACTACAGTGGTGATTTAAGCATTTGTGTCCTCGAGCACCGCCCGGATTTCTTATTTGGCGCATTTCATGCGTGTGCTCAAGTTCAAGGTATTACTGGCGCGTACCGTATGAAGGATGTGAATTTTCACACATTCTCATCACCGGAGAAAAGTGATTAGGGTTAGCAATCCTGAACGCTCGCAACGTCCATCCGCAACCCGCGACGCCGTTAAAAGGCTGCGCCAGGGAAAAGTCGCTCATTTCTTTCAAAATGTGTGACACACTTGAGACAGAACTGTACTAGTTTGGTGAAATAAAGACTTTCCTCAAACTCAGCTTTATTTTTCACCTAACATAAAATAAATTCTTTAACAAAGGTAAGTTGTCTCATGGCACATATTTTGGCCTGAAAAATTGATGTTTTGGTTATAGCGCGGTACCGCTTATAGTGCGGATATTCGCGACTCCTGTGACGTATGTTATATGTGGTCTGTAGTTGAATTATGATAATGGTTTAATAAATAGATATAACTAAGGGTTGTGTGAGGTAGACTTCTCTCATTGACATACATACAGGAAAACTCGCCCGAAAATTGTAACGTTTCTCCTCAATCTGAAAAAAGACTTTTATTGCCGGGCTTGACTGACGAGTAGTGTTCTGTGTTTTCGGATAAGTCCGAAAAGAGTTGAAAAATGCCCTTCGGTAAATTTTCTGTCAATTCGGATTTATCCAAAAAACTCAGAATTTCAAGGTCAAAGCGACGAAATAAACAGCAAAAAAGACTGAGTTTTACAACTAAACTTTATAAGCACACAAGGTCAGTGGTCTCGAGGGGATTCCACTTCAGTTTCTTTCGAATTCTAGAACTACTGCCAAAAAGTGACAAAAGGGGTTTGCCTTTTAGCACGTCGAGGTTCTTTCGGGACAACGGGTGATGGTACCCGGACCTTATTTATCTTGTTTTTGAATTCTTTTTTCAATTTTACACAGTAAAATAAACTCCGAATTTCAAAGAATTGGAAATCTAGCACAAATAAACTCCGGATAAAACCCAAATCCCCAGTGAGAAATAAACTCAGAAAAACACCCTCCAAATTTCACTGGAAATAAGCTCGGAAAACACGGAATCCTACTGATGAGGCAAGGCTTCACGGATCCCCAGAACCTCTTCATGGACCCCTTGGGGTCCATGGACCTCCATTTGAGAACCGCTGCTATAGACCAACATGGAGATAAAAAACTTTTGTGTCAGCTTGCAAAAAATGTTTGGGCCACCAGAAGATTTGATTTAGTAGTGAAAACAAGGATTGGACAGGAAGAAATAACTCCCACTTTGCTACCGTTTCCCATTTGAGCTTTGGCAAGGCCAGCTGACGTGCAAGGCTGCACTTGCTTTGCTGCTGCTGCCTCAAAGACAGTTTGGCCCTTTTTTTGTTTCGAGGGAACCTGCGACCAATGATTCTTGTCTCCAGCCGCAAGGTGAAATGAGTGCATAGAGTGTGACGAGCGATTGTCTGTCCTCTTATAGGCTGCTGAGACCCTGCAAGCAGCTCATCACAGAAGAGAAGATGGTAGCCCAGATGAGTGAGCTCAGCCTGGACACGGTTGACATGTAGGTGCTGCCTTCAGCCTTTGTTCAGATGAAGTCCAAATTTGCTACAGTAAAAGACGAGGGCTGAATGGAATAAGCAGACTAAACGGGTGCCACCGTCGACTCGGTATAATTAGCATAAAAATAAATGTTGCTGTGCAAGCCACCATTGCAAGTGAACATCCGACAGAAAAAATGTCATGTCACTAACTAAACCTCTGTCATGCAGATAAATTGAAATCTAACTGATACAGTTGTTCAAACCCCCTTTAGCTTTTCCAAAAGACCCTTTTCAAAATGCAGTTTCATCTGGTGGTTCAAGTATCAGCTTAACTTTTTGCATGCCGATGGCAGTAACTGTAGTATTTCACGAGGCACTGTCAATTTCGTGTGTTAGTGGCAGGCGGGAATGGGTTCTTTGTCGTGTACTTTTTCCCCATTTGCTTCGGTTTCGATGGTGACAAAGGAACTACTGATCTGTATGAAGTGCTGACACGAGTAAAGCAGTTGATAGAACTCGCCACATCAAGGGGCCTGTGGGTCGAGTGTGAGACAATGGTTTAATGAGACGTGAGTCCGGAATGAATGCAGTTCGGGCACTGCACCCTGCTAACATCTAGAATTGACAAGTTTTGTGGTATTTGCTTCCACACATGTCAATTTGTTCCTTCATTGGCCACCAGAGGTCCACCATTTGCATGTGAATGATGCCGTACACTCTGGTGATGATAGCGATTGAAGTGGTTGAATTTCGGAAAGAATCTAGGTATTGACTTTTTATTGCTGTCGCTGTTTGTGAGGTGCATTTTGCTTTTATGGAAATGTTCCATTGATAGTTCCTGGTTGGTCCACTTTCTCCGCTCTGTCACTGCCCTCAGTGTTATTTTACTTTTTATTCGGTTACAAAGCTATGCCAAATTTTCTACTCGTACTCGGAACTTTTCTTCAAGATATACCGAGATTGTTTGTGGTTTGCGGCATTCGTGAGAACCACTTCTACGGAATGGAAACCCTGTCTCCCACAGAATATTGCCGCAACCAAGCTCTGGTGCATAATTCAATGTGGGAAACGAGAGCCCAGTTGCGTGTGACTGCTCCGTGTGCCGGTCAAGGCACATACTGACTCTTCCTTGAACTCCTTGCAGGCAGCTGGCCCTCCCTCAAGAAGGCGTCTGCAGCACGCCCCTGCCTCAAGATGCGTATGTGCCCTTGCCACCGTGACATTTGTCTTTGCCTTCTGGTGGTCTTTTTTTTTTTTTTTTAGGAGTCGGCAATTTACGAGGTTGACGAGTTGTCGACGATTTAACTTATCTCCGCGCTACAGTGGTATCCTATAAGGATAGACGTAATGATTTGCCAGTCCTAAACTAGTATATGACGGTGATATTTAGCTGACAAATGGAAAGGTAAACACTAGGAAGACGAACCAGATGTCTGTTGCTATAGCCCTTTGCAAGTCTAGAAGGTAGGGCGAGGGAAAGGAAGGTTGGGAAGGAGGAAGCAGACGGTATGCTTGAGAGGAGAGGGGGAAACCACCTCCTCTCTCCAGTGGTCTGCCTGCTTCCTCCTCCACGGCCTTCCTTTCGCTCGCCCTATTTTCTTGAGTTGCAATGAACTACTATTGTGAAAATTGGTACTGTATACCTTGCCTTGATAAGTGTAAATATTATTTCGGAGAAATCTAAAAGGTAGGGTGTGTACTATATGATAGGATAAATGGTTTCATTCATTTGGTCACCTTATTCATGTTCGATTTTGTCGTGCTATGTGCCTTTGACGAAAAAAAAAATCCAGTGTGATTTAACCTTCATCAAAGGTAAGATTAAAAAAAAATGACTTTGTGGATCGGGTTTTTTGCATTCTGTAGCAGCTGCAATTTTCTTTAGGTGCTGTAGCAAGATGTAAAACATTATTAAGGAGGATCCTGTTCGTATTTCGGAGTAATTTAGCTAAAAATTTATATTTTAGAAAATATAACGAAGCAACGATGATATACATATACATAGTAGTAGTGAAGCTTAGTTGAACTTTGCTTGTAATAGTGATGCGGGAATTTGAGGTAGTGACATATTGAACATATTGACACAGTACAAATTTGTTCTGCAAACTCTGACTTTGCATTGAGAGGTTTACCACAAAGTCTGAAATTCAGAAATTGCTGCATGCTCCAATTGCTTCTCATAAATGTAAATGAATTGCTAGCACTAGTTGGGATGTCTCAAGTGGCATTTGTGATGGAGGCATATTTTTATTTTGCGTGCCCAGGAGTGTGCAAGAACCCAAGGAAGGCCAGCTGTTGCTCTGTCCTGAGCTGCAGCAGTGTGTGGCTGTCAGGGACCCCCTGCTTCCCATAATGGAGGACATGTCAGTTCCTACTCTTTTCTTTTCAGTTCCTTTCTCGTTGTCACCTCAAGAGCCATAGGAGAAATGTTTGGTGCTTTGCAAGACCTCACTAATTTTCCCCTTTGTGTGATGAATTATGATACTTATATGCTCTTTTAAGATGAATTATGATACTTATATGCTCCTTTAAGATCGGCACGCATTTATTTGATCGCCACAAGCCCACACTTTACATCGTTCGTAATGGCTGCTGCCTATCCTGGTTGGTCCACGATTGAACACCTCAACAGCATCATGGCAGAAACATTAAATGGCACCAACATTGCTTAAAATGGCAGTGCCCAGTAGGATCTCTAGCAAACCACTGTACTGGTCATGATAATGCTGCATGTAATGAGAACAGAGTGCATTTCATTCAAAGTTTCATGCAAGCCAAATGGTTTGCTGCATCCACAGATCTTAATGTAATTCCGACTTGACTCCCTTTAAGCTCGGGAAATGAGTGTGTGCAAACTTACCCATTTAGGACAACCTAGTTTGAGTATCTGGACGTGAAACCAATTCAACTTGTTATTTTCGCCGCTCTCAGCCAGTGTACTGATCCGCGAAGCAGACAAGACCATTGCGTTGAAACACTTCTCAAGATGGTCTGTTTGATTAGTTTGCTCGAAATCCATATGGTGGCACCTATATGCCACCATATGGAGAGTCTCAATAACATACATGTTGTCTACCAGAATGTGTGCCACTGCCCACCCGACATTTTGTGCACAAGTCCTTTATGGCTTTGTTCAACTCTCACTTCTCCATGAGCCATCTCAAGGTGGTGGGGGACGATGTGGGGGGAAGTTGACGACTCTTTCTGGTTGCAGGCGCAAGCGTGCCTCCATGGCTCTGGTTGTGTGGCAGCCCAAAGTGAACCTGGTGGACCCACCCAAAGAAAGCAAGTGAGTCGTGACGCTACAGAGCTTTCTACATCCGTTTGCTAGGCTTTAGAGTTCAAAAAGGAAGCCACAATACATAGAAGTGGATATGGTAGATGGCCTTGATCAAATGCACTTACCTAGCTGAATTTAATGCGAGGTAGCATAATCATCCGTTTCAGAGGTCAATTATGGTTGTGTAAACAGTTTCGAAGTGTGTTCAAACACCTTCTTTATTTGCTGTGAACAAACGTTTACAACATAGACTCACTCGAATATTAAAATTGCCGGCAAAATAACCCAATTGGTCTAGCATATTTACTCGTAAAAATGAAACCTGAATTTGCTCTTTTTAGTTCGAATTTTACCTATATAAATCCTCAAAACAAAGAATGCCACACATATATTTGTTTGCCAATGATGGCAAGGGTTAACATAGCCTCAGTACAGTAGCAATCATTAAAACATTGTACAATTGAGGGAGATACGAGTGTTCTAGGCAGCTGGCTTGAGTTGCACCGAGAGCCAGTTGTATTGCAGGATGTCAAGCATACTTAAACTCGTCTTCTGTTTGCCATCTCAGGGAGAGTGGAGCAGCAAACACTGCCGATGAAGAGACTGCAGACGAAGATTGCATGGACTTATGACATTCATCAGCAGCACCGGTGCTGGTGTTTGGGGTCGCCCAGACTGCCCAGAAGTGACCTGGGAGCGCTCTGGTCTGGGTCAAAGAGCTGCAGCCAAGGCAGCACGCCTCTCGAGGTGGCACACGGATAACTTCATCGCAACACCCCTTGACATTCATGCTTCATTGTAGAGACAAATATATAGCCATTGCTGTGAAACCTAAAAGTGTGGTTTTGTTTGCGACTGCCAAAATTGTTGCACAAGTTTGCCTGTTTTGTTTAAATATGCCGCTCGAACTGAAGGCATCTCAGAGTTCCTTGGAAAGTGCCATTCCTTAATGCACATTTTTATTGAGCCCATTGCACAACTTGGTGCTTCTGATTGAAGTTCCCTTCGTATACGGATCTACCTTGTCCTTACTTACAAAAACTCGAATAAAAAAAATTTTAAATAATGCTTCCCCATTTTATAGACAGCAGAGTTTTTATAAACACCGATATATGATTACCGTCCCTGCCAGTTTCATTGTCAAATAATGTGCAGTCATGTAATCACTATACCCTCAAAGCAGTCAAGCTTGGTGTGACACGTTGTGCCATCTAGCTCCAAATATTTGCAACACTGAGAAGGCCCTCTCGCGAGCCTGTTCGCTCGTGGGGCGGTTCACGCATCAATTTGAAAGTGTTGATCCGTGCGATTTTGGTCTTTTGTTCTTAACATTGCTATCAGATGTCGCAGAAGAGCAAACACCAAAGCTGTAAACACTGTTGCGTATCGGACTGTCGCAACCCCGGAAGCTTAGCAGGCGTGAAGCTCCGCAGGTTTCCGTCGAAGCCGTAAAAAATACACCGCCGACGGATTTGAATAAATGTTGTTAAACGCGTAAAATAAGCATTCCATTCGCTTTGCCTGACTTGAGATTGATTCCTAAATGCGCTATTCGACTCGATATTTGGAATGAATGCGCTCGAAGCTCGGCCTTGTCTTTGGATTCGATGCGATGGCTCTAGAGTCGGATCAGTCCTTTGGCATTCTCACCGCTCTCTGCTCCGCGGACAATCGAATGACGTTTTGTGGACGTTTGAGCGTAGTTGCCGAAAACCGAAGTGAGCATTTTCCCCTCTTCACCAATTGCAGATCGGACTGTTCGTGCATTTAGCATGATTGTGTAGCTGCCCAAGATGGTTGCTCTATTTCAACCTGTGCCTATGCGGTTTTAACTTCGTCCCCGCTATGAGAAAACAGTCGACTCCAGAAATAATTAAAAAAGTACTTATTCTACGAGAAAAGGTCATCCATGCAGCGTTTATTTCTGTTCTATGTAAAAGTGAACAGCATACTCAATCCACGAGGACGAGCATCAGCTTGCGACGAGCAACTGCGTACGACACCGGCCAAATTACAGCCGGCTTGCACGAAAAACACATGATCGTCTTCAACACTGCGACGGGGGGACTGGAAACAAGCTGATCACCAAATTAAGGTCAGCTATTCATGCGGGAAGAGTTCACTCAGAAAAAAAGGGTGGGTAAGGGTAAGAGGGAGAAGGGGGAGACGCTTCTTTTAGTTCCGCTTTTACAGAGGGAAGCTTGACGGAGTCTAAGCTTTTGTTATCCTGAGGTGCGCGCAAACAATGCAAAAAACGGTGATGGAAGTGCTGTGCCATTTGCGCCTTGAGCGAAAGTCTGCGCCAAACTGCCATTTTGGCTAAGAATTGTGCTACACCTGTGCCAAGATGGGCAAAAAAAAATTGATATATTTTTATTGGTTTACTTTATTATTCAAAGAAGTAAAAAGAAAGAAACAGAAATATGTATTTCACAGCGTCTCTACTCACTGTATACTGTGTTTCATCCAAGGCCAGAGCATAGTCGAAGGCTCGAACATAAACAACACGAACACAGTAAAAGCGCAAGTCATGGGACATTCACTGCATTTGATTGGTTTAATCGATGAAAGAGCACGTACAGGAAGATGGTTGAATGCCACGATGTCGTGCTTTGACCTCGTTTGGTTAATCGCATTGGCTCGTAGCGTCGGCTGCACTTTAAATTAAGGTGAAACGAAGTGTTAAGATTGCTCGACCACCGCGTTGGCCGGTTGATGCGCTAACGGTTTGATCACCGACATCCTCTAATATTTCAGAAGATGTCGGCGATGTCAGGAGCCAAAAGTCGCGACAAAACATTGCAAAATATACAGTGAGATGGCGGCTACTGCGATGAGACAGAGCCAAACTCCTGTACTCCTGGTGAGATAGTTGATTATGATGTCTGCCGTATGTCTTCATGTCGCCCCTTGCCAGCCCACGCGCGTCAAGCTTCACTGCCTTGCATCGGAGTCAATGCAGTAGATGCTGGCATGGATGAGCGTCTGGTTTAGCACAATCTACATGTAAATTATGCCCAGTACTATTGCAGGTTCACATTCTTTGATCTCAATTATATGATCCTGTTTTCAAAGGCTGCGTCGAGAAAGAAAAAAAATTATGCGGTGCTTTCTTTGAATAAATGTAAGCGCAAGAGTAGGTTTTCATAATGATTAAGGGTGGCTGTTACTTTTTTTTTTCAGTTTATAATATTCAAGTTTCGAGTTTGGTAACGATCAAATTTGGGAGGCGCATTTTTACTGATAGATGTGTTAGCGATTATGTTGGTTTTTGGTGGAATTTTACAGAAACAATAGATACAGGCTAAATAAACTACCGGGTGTAAAAGTAGGAGCGGAGGGAGGCTTTATCCTAACTCAAGTGCAATTCATTTCTCGTCAATTTGATTAGTACCCATTGTAAATGGAACCTACTCTGAACAGAGCCTTATTTCTAAAAAGAAAGCTCTATGTACCTTTTGTGCCCCATTGGTTCTTATTACAAAAGGTAATAAGTAATATGCTCCAGTATCAGACGAACGCTCGGTCATTATCAAATATAAGCTCATTTAACGATGCAATACATTTTTTTTTATTTTCAAGTGATATGCTAACAGACGTTAGCATCTGCTCTAAAAGCGTCAGTGGCTGCTCCAAACGAATACGTTGCCTGCTACAGAACCTGCTCCAAAGGGTCAAATGCCGCTTCCATCACTGAAAAAAGAAAGAAAACAGCCCTGTCTACTTGCTTTCACTTATATTTGGCCGTAATATCGGGACGTTCAATTTTGTTCTGCTAACTCTCGTTTTGGGTTGTCTCTACCCATGGAGGAAGGCACCTACTAAAACTCATGATAGAACGACACAACCACACACGCATGCACATTTATATATTTAACGTTTGATAGATTCTTAAAACAGTCGGCAGTGTAGCGCACAACAACACAGCAGTCGCAGTTGGTAATAAAGTAATCTGGCAAGAGTAGGCCGGTGTAGGGTGCCTCAATGACCTTCTGTTTAGAGTGATGCCACCCTTTGTAGTACCCGATGCCGACAGCACGCGCTCACGGGGAAAATACAAAGAAATCGACGAAAACAAAATGTTGCCATAGCACAGTCAGCGCCACAGACGCGTGCAGGGACACGCTCTTTCACGCACTTCTGAACAAAAAATAAATGTAAAAGTGGGAACAAAATGGCCAGATGTCTCCACCCTAAGCAAAGCGCACATGAAGGCACCCTAGGCCGGCGGTGCTGCCGATTTTCGTCGTCTCAGTGTTGCCCGATGTGGCCACGGTGGCGCTGATGATCAACCGACAGTGGCGCTCTCTGGAACACTGCCCAGAGCCTATTGTGCGAAGCAACTGAAAGGGATACTGAAAATTTAAATATACCTTTCACATTCGGAAATATGCTAAACATGGTCAACATTGTCTGCTAATGACTGTGAAACAATTGTATCTTAAATGGATGGCTCTACTTTTTGTTCTAAATGGCCAATTCTGGCAAGCACTCCAAGAGCAGCCATTGGAGAGTGCAACGAGTCTTGGGAAGCCTGGTTCCTCTGGCACATTCGTGAGATCAATTGTCCTGCATGTGCAAGACTACGGTGAGGCTGGCATGGTTATGAGCTTTGCCACTTGGTGGCATCAATGCATTTACTGTTGGGCAACTTGAGCAGAGGCCACGTGGCTCACCTGTTCCCAAAACCACTGACCACCTCATCCTCATCTTGGTCTCAACCCCTCTCCCCCTCTTCCTTCGTGTACTCCAGCTGCTGGAGTTGAATTGGTGCAAAAGAGAAGGAAAATCCAGCTTGGCCAAGTTAGACAGGCAGCATGAGCGCGCGCATAGCTTGGCACCATAATTACCGAACAGCGTTGGTTTTATGGGACAATCGACATAACGACGTTCCAGAAAGCTTTGGAAACATCCACCCGGTGCAATTTGCTAATCGTTTGATTTGTTTCAACTGGAGCATTGACACCATTTTTAACATAATATTGGCATCTCCGTGGTGCCAATACACAGTCGACATTTAAAAAATAGAGGGATGCTATATAAGACCCCAGTTTAGCAGTCATAGTGCACGCACCAAAGTGCTCATCCTAATGCTGCAATATCTTGAAGGCAGGCCAACCTTTCCCCAGGTTAAACATTCAACATCTTAGTTTGGAAGGCATGTGGCATCAATGCTAGGAAGCTCATCTTAAAAAAAAAAAGAAAATAGTTGAAAAGTAAAAAAATATTTTGGTACAGGAATCTTGGCTGCTAAATGCAACCAAGATCAACAATGACACTGAAACGGCATGTTTTACTATTAAAATTATGCGTACAAACTTTATTTATACATTCCATTTGCTCCGCAGCGACGTTCGTGCCCAACAGCGGCACTGCCGAGTGTGGTAAGAGTGTTGCTAGTTGAGCACAGTCTCGTGCATCCGGGTCCCCCCCGAGGAGTGGTGGGGCGAGACCGAGGAGTGGTAGGGTTGGATCTGGCCAGATCCCGTCCCGAGCCAGACCAGACCTTGTCTCCGTACAGGGAACCAGACCCAACGCGGGGCCCGATCCCCACGGGGGCCCCGATCGCGCGCAAGGCCAGGTTCCGTATGGAGCTGCGTCCCTCGCAGGGGCCCTAGGAGTTTGGTCCCTTCAGGGACTTTGCGAGGAGTGCTGCCAGTGCCTGGTCCCTGGACCCACCCGCACGCTGCAGTTCCTGTGCAGCCATGTCCCGGGGAAAGCCCATGGCCTCCAGCTCCGAGAGCTCCTTGGACCACTGGGGACCTGCACGGGCACACACATTGCGTCAAGCAGTTCCACTGCCCAGAGTCGACGAGCCCCCGGCAAAACGGAGAGAGCCCAAAAGAGGGACACTTGGCGCAGGGATCTTGGACGCCACCATTGTGTCCTCAATTTGTTCTCAGATTCGGATAGCTGGTGCAAGTCTCCCTATAGTGAGTTGGACACAGCAACACAAAAAAGAGGATGTTTACGATATTGGCAGAGAATCCACAATCGTCATATGGCAAACATTTGAAACAGCCAGGAAACTGGAGGTAATCGTGGCGGCACGTTGCTCGGCGTCGTCCCTTTTGGGATTTCCTCTTTGAAAGGTTGATTGCAGTACTGTTGGTAAATACTACTGTAATAATTATCCTTACTGACCCTGGAGAGCCACGACACCACAGAAAGGTAACGAGCCATACCATGAAGGCTGACAGTGCTGCGTCTAGTGATGGTGACTATGTAATAACATAGTCAAACTTGTTTATATCGAACTCGCAAAAAAAAGTCTACCTGTTCGATATAGCGGGTAATTCGATATAAAAGTTTTAGTGACTGACTCAAAAATCCCCTTTCTGCTGACATATTACACAATGAAATAATCTTGCATCTTCTGCTGCTGCTGCTTCATTTCATCCGCGATAACGAAATTTTACTACGCTACCGACGGACTCCAAAATGCTGAGGCCGCTGCCTTCTATATTCACGCATTAGCGCCGAACTATGCCGAGAGCACGGAGCACGTCCGAGCAGGAGCACCTCCTGCACAGCGCAGTGTTGCTCTGAAAGTTGGCTTTCCCCCAAGGCAGGCGGGCGGCTGCGTTGGGGGAAAGCCAGCTAGCAGAGCAAGCTGCCTTTGCCCCAACGGAGCACACTCTCCCCACTCCCTTCGCAAGTTTTTTTCTTTTCGTGTGTGTATTTTTTTCCTGGCGTTCGACGCGGCCGCCTAAAAAAAATAGAAAAAAAAACAAAAAAAACGACAACACCAGCGTGCTCTGCAAGCTGGTTTTCCCTCAATGCGGCCGCGCACGTTGGGGGAAAGCCAGCTTGCAGAGCAAAACGGCGCTCTTGGCAGTTTGATATATCGGTAGCGGCTGCTATTTTGTTCGATGTAACCGTAGTTTTTGCTATATATTATCACTAACATTACTGTTCAAAAACATTGTCCCATATAAGGGATAATTCGATGTAAACGGGTTCGATATAGTCGGTTTGACTTGTAGGTGTTTCGGTAGAGCATTTAAAAAATCCTAAAAAATATAACGGTTGAAAAAAAAAAAAAAAAAAAATTTCACAAGAAGAAACTGCCAGCCATGGGGATTGGCCAAAAATACTACCTATATAATTGACTAAAACTTGCGAATTAACTTATGAATTATTGAAAATAAACATGGTTGTAATTAGAAACTTGCTAAGCATAACCAAAAGGCTCGAGATACACCTAAGCCCTTCCTACGAGTTGTGAATGCGAAAGCATGAATGTTGTTCTTGCGCGCGCTCTCGAAGTGATCGCGCTGCGCTGACATTGGCCGTGTTATCGCTCTGGAGGCCTCGCCGCCAGCCGATTCCTTTTACTGGCGCGATGGCGGTGCGGGCCCGCAGCAGCATGAGGTGGCGATCCTTAAAACCGACGCGCGGCGGCCAATAGGAGCCTCGTTTCTTGAAGTCATGACGCACACCAGCCAATGGGAGCCTATCCATCAGAATTTGGCTTCACTTTTGGAGAGGTGAATTTATCAGTCGTGTTGCATGGCTTTTTGCGTGGCCTCAAAGCTGGGAGGCTTCACATCGCGGCTTCACTTCGCTCCATTGGGAGAGGGAAATTTAGCTGCCGTTTGATGCGGCTTCAAAGCTAATAACGTCGGCTTGCTCCATGGGAGAGTTAATGCTTTCGCATTAAAAACCACTAAACCATATTTTTTTTATTTGTACAGCTTTTCAAGAGGGGCATGGCCTTCAGAAACCCTGCTCAAGTCGGACGCATTTCTAGGTTTCAGTTTTCTACGGAGCTCATCCTTGCACTAGCGGCCCTTCTACAGTGCCCAGCTACCGCCTCACCTCTCCCATAAAAAGAATTGAATAGCGATACGCTGTGCGCTCCAGAAAAATGGGTTATATCACACTGCAGCCTGGCATAACCTTTTAGGGGCGAAGCTCCTTAGGGTCTACCCATGTCCGTATGTCTGCCCAATGTCTGGCGTCGGGTGCTCGTGCTCCCGTGCTCGTGTAGGAAAAAAACAAAAACAAAACCGCATCTCCACGTAGTGAATAATGTTGATTGGGGCGAAGCTCTGGTGGTGCTTGTCTGCGTAGACGGTGAGTTGCAGCATGCCGAGCCTTTCGTTCGTTTTCATCCATGTCAGAAAGAGAATGTGTGGTATGGAACGAGGTTATATACGCATTTGAGCATTTGACCGCAGCGTGACATGGATGAAAACGAACGAAAGGCTCAGCATGCTGCGGTTCAGCGTCTACGCAGACAAGCACCACCAAAGCTTCGCCCCAATCAACATCATTCACCACGTGAAGATGCGGTTGTTTTTTACTTTCCAGCCTCCGACGAACCAGGTAAAGGAAAGGAGTGATGAAGGTTGTCTGAATATTTCCAAACTTTACACATACACTGGAGTTACTTCACGTAATTGCTGCACAAATTTAAAACGTGGCACAAGCTTATGGATGCCCTTGCAAAATGTTACTGTTCGGGCTTTCAGCATCACGCGTATGAGACGATCGATTGCCACAGACTTTATGGTGCCTTACGATTTTACGAGGGAGCCGGTCTGCCTGGCTCCGCGCTCGCAGGGAGATCCTTGGAATTATGGTGCATCCATAGTGACTCATCGGCTTGCAACTACAACCGTGGCCCCCCTCCCAAAATGTATGCGGACCTCCTTAAATAGGACTTTAGGTTGGCATCTCTCTCATTGCTGCCTCTTGGCTTCACTAATGATGTCTCCCATATGGGACGAAACGTCCGATTAAATTATTTCTGTTACGTCAAGTCGGTGTAATTTGTACCATCAGGAATGGGATCAAAGATAAACCAAATAGTACTCCACAAAAGGAATTTTAGAATATGACTTAATACACACAATTGTATGTTTTGATAAATTTCTGAGTGTTGCAATTAAACTGGAACTCATAATTCAATTAAAAAAAAAAAAGCTTCTGTCTTAATTCTGGAAGTATGATAACCCTGCACTGCATTCTGCTGGCATCTGCTCTTGTCAATAGGAGATTCTTATGTTTTCATTGCTGGCAGCTTTGCTCAGCTTTGATGGCAGTCTGGCCTTGTGGCATCGAGTAGGATTGTGTAAAGAGTTAGGCACATTAGAGCCACGCTCCAAACATCAAGCAATGCTTAAATGACCCAGGCCGGGAAGAATAATCGTCCTCTCAAACGTTGTAACACTGACCACCCCGAGATGCCCCAAGAGGAAGTGGCCGAGCAGGCAGACACCACGATTATATATCCAATCTGCCATAGAAGCAGCATGTCAGCTGGGGTGGCTACTACACTATCTGCAATACACTAGTAGCCAGTTTCTAACTTGCAATCGACTTCCCATGCTTCCGTGCTTTGTTTCAATGCGGCCCATGGCTATGAGCAATGCCCCCACCCCCTGATTTTACGGTCTGCTCACATGCGCTGCAACTTATAAGTAGGCTAATTGATTACAGTTACAGTTGTTTAAAAAGGCACTGACAACCTTAGCCGATTCATAATGGTGTTAGAAGACTACCCAATTGGTATGTCACATATATTTTTAATAAGGTAAAAAAACGCAACTGCTCGAAACCGAAACTGGACTGGGGAGGAAGAATAAATATAGAGGAGAAGAGCGTTGCCAGAAGTCATGTGGCTGTGCAACATTTTTTTTTTTGTTAATCAGCGATTTGCAGCTTTTTAGAAAGCCACAAAAAATGGGTGTCATATTTCTTTTTCTTATTGAGTGTGCTTTCGATAACCCCAACTTTGATTATATTTGGTGGTTGTGTCTAAACCATAAAAAAAAACGGCACATGACCACAGAGAAGAGAGTGAGCGCAATTCAAAGCGGCCAGTTCTCGATCGGTAGTTTTCGGGCGAAAAGGAAACAAATTTTGAGCCGCAAACTGTGTTTGGGTAGTTGGGCTCTCACGTGTCATGTACAAATAAAAACCTCAGCAAACATAAATACCCTGTCAGTGTCCCTTTAAGCAGGTATATATTTTTGGTTAGTCATTTTGCAGCTCTAGATGAAGGCACCTTTCCAAGGGAGGGGCTTGGGGGTCTTAGCAGCCTTCAGAAATTAGTGGTTAGTGCGAGGTAATTCTAGGAAAGGACAGCACCCAAAGGATTTTTTTTTTATGATCCAACAAACTGCAACTGTTGACAGAGTTAAAAAAAAAAAAAAAAGAGGAATGGAAAGGTTGCGGTAGGAGCATGCTCAAGTGTGGCATAGTGCAACGTCTGCGTGGATGTATTACACTGCCGGACCCTGTTAGTTATGAGTATGACAGATAAAACATGGCCACTCGGCAGGGTCGGTGCAACGTAGCAGGAGGTACTTTCAAAAACACCTCAAGTTGTGAGGGCACAATCCCAATCAGTGCTTCCCAATGCACAGCAGATTTGCAGCATCTCGAGCAGTGCCCACTAGGCAGCGATTACCAGTAGGTGACTGTCACCATCCATGCATCAGCTTAAAAGGTACCGCTATATTTGTTCGGAAAACAAGCTGCTCTTTATACGGAGTCCACTGCGTCTTTCTGGAGCAGCATGCAGTAGAAACAAGTGTTAAATTTGCAAAAGGAGATTGGCAGATGACGAAGTGCAGATCGCATTTGAGACTCAATAAACAGTGCAGCGAGTTACCATACATACCATTAGCAAGCTCACAATCCAAGCACGGATTACAACTTTGGTTTCAAAGTCAAACAAGTCGCATGGAAGATGAGACAATGTGGAAAGAAGTTTGCCATGAACGTGTCTCCATCAAAGGGGCGACTTGGCAACTGCAATACAATGAAAACTCAAGGTCTTCAATGTGCATAAGGCATGAATGCACACACCAATACACCATCTGTCCATATCGAAACCAGAAAAGACTATGATTGTTATATTCTGCGGCGCAAGCCACACATTCTCCGAGCTGCAGTGTGCTTTGTCATTCGCTCGTCTCCCTTTGCAGATTGCAACTACTCTTTACGTGCCATGGACAGGAAAGAAGATAAGCGGGCCTTGCGCATGAAATAGGTTGCCTCATTTACAAGTATGTGCCGAAGTAAAAGCGGGGGGACAGAGGCAATGTGTCTTACAAGAGCATGCATGCATGCAGGCAGACAGGCAGACAGAAAGAGAGAAGCAGGCAAGATGCAGGCGGGGTTTAATGGGGCAGGCTAGCCGAAGAATCCCCGGGCAGCACCTGGCTGCAAGGAGGAGGACAGGGCCCTGGCCAGCTCTTCCTGCTCCTGCAGTGTTGAGCAGCTCTGGGAGGCCAGCAGCTGCTGCAGGCGGGCACAGTCCGGCAGCTCTCCCTCGCCCAGAAACGGGGTCTCCGTGCCCGTCGTGCCAATCACCAACAGGTTGCGCTTCAGGTCGATCAGGCACTGCACGCGCCGCCCGTCGGTACGCCCAATCAGGTTGTTGGCGTGAGGAAGCTCGCACAATCTCAATGGTGCCGCTCGAGATCAGACGCGTCTGCAAGGACGCTGAGGAACGTTTACCTGGTGCCTCTTGAGCATGTCCAGACCGAGCAGCATGTCCATGGGCTGCTCCTCCAGCACAGAGAAGGAAGAGGTCAGGAATACCCCCTCAATCTCTATCTGCACTGCAGGAGAAGGACAAAGGGTTCGCACAGGGAAACTACTCTTAGTAAATGCCTGGCATCGCTGGCGCCCATCGAGATGTTCCTGGAACACAATAGATGTAAATGTTCACCGGGACGTGTCCTCTGAGATTGCCGGAGAGCAAAACCGTGCACACTGGCAATCTCCGAGGCCATGACTAGGGTTCCCACTCATTCGAGGGCCGATATTTCACGAGTGGTTCCGCATAGTCTCACATTAGTGAACACCATCTCTTTATCTTTTCTGTGCACAACTTTCTATCTTTTCTGTGCACCAAAAGCAATGATGCACTGGCTGCAGAGTAGAATCTTTCTAGAGTAAAATCAGTGTCTTCAAGTGCCTGCATCAGTAAATGCATTGCCAGGACCTGCAGACAAGCAGGCGGGATGATCCTCATTTTGATAAGTATTCTCTTCGTCTGGCATACAAATAAAGAGTCCTCACTTATGATAAGCTAGCACCAGAATTTAACACCTTTGATCGAAATTATGTTGCAATATTCTAATTTAAGAATTAGCTGCCAAGTTTTTTTTGTCGCCGAAAATAAATTCTCAAGAATCCCAGTGTCGATACTAATGCAGAATCAATACTTGGACGAGTGTATTGCCAAAGTCCCGTGAACACCGCAGTCATCGGCAATGCGCCACGTGACATCACCTGGGCGGACGCCCACCACTCACCCAGGTGGATGCGCCCAATGATCTTTTGGGTGCCGACCCCCTTGGCCACCCCAGCCCAGCGGGGGTCCACGAGGCGCATGATGGCACAACGCTCTGCACAGGCCTGGCTCATGATGGTCGTCTGGGCACCTGGGATGCAGGTAGGCAGGTGCACACATCACAGCTCTACCGTCGCCAACTGGAAATGTCTGCTTCATCACAGTTTGGCACCCAGAGTGCAGCTTAGTCCAGTGTGCTTGGCGCGTCAAAGCGTGCCCGAAACGGCAACAGAGTTCATCGAGGGAGTTGCCAGGTAATAAATACTATGGGTCACCCCAATCCTGGCAGTTGATCATAAAACCGGCAGTGAAAGACGAGCAGGCACAGGCAACCCAGCCCACGGCCAACAGAACTAATGTCAACTGGTCGCCTGCATAAGCTACAGCAAAGATAAGCACCTACCCCATCCACCCCCGATTCTGGGCGACTACCAAAATCACAATAAAGCCCGAAGTTGTCGAGGGGACAAAACAAGATGTGGTAGGACCGTCTGTCGGAGACACACTCCAGCACTATGGTAAAACAAATAAAAAAATTTAACCGCATCTCCACGTGGTGAATGATGTTCATTGGGGCGAAGCTCTGGTGGTGCTTGTCTGCTTAGACCAGGGGTGCACAACATACGGCCCGCAAGCGCAAGAGAAAAGCGCTCGCGGGCCGCATGCAGCCCGCGAGCGCTTTTCTAGCGGCTTGCGGCCCCGCTCAGCACAGAAATTCGCTTACTATGCCATTCTATCCATTGAGCGCCCGCTCCGCTTGGCGAGCAGCTGTGAAACCCTCTGACCTACTTCTCTGTCTTCGGCGAAGTAACTACGATTGCTCAATTCAAATTTTCCCTCTTCACTAATCCCGCTGAGAACAATAAAACAGCATGTGCAACTCTCCCTGTCCATGGTGCGCATCTGTCTCAACATGTCTGTCCACGGAACCCGAAGACTTGTTGCTTTCTCTCAACAGATCCCTTCCCTCTTTCACCGCGGATGCTATCAACCCTCTCTCTTTTTGTTGGGATAGGTAGGGGTCGCATCATCGGAGTGGAGGGCTGTGATCCGACGATGAAACTGGAGCTTATCGACCTCCAGTGTCCACCGGCGCTGAAGACTATTCATCTCGAATTTCAGCTGCATGAGTTTTACAAAAGCCTGGACAAGAACAAGTACGGAAACCTGGTGGACCACGCCTAGAAATTGTCGTCACATTTCGGGAGCACGTATGTCTGTGAGCAAACCTTTTCACTGATGACTATCAACAAGAACCGCCCTCAATCTTCCCTGACGGACATGACATTGCGAGATGTGCTGATGACGGCCACGAGTGAGATGACACATATCGGAAGCCTGACCGCAGCCAAGATGTGCAACACGTCGCTCTAGGTGCGGCCCGCACAGTTTTTGACAAAATCAATTTTGGCCCGCCTAAATTTTTAGTTGTGTACCTCTGGCGTAGACGCTGAGCCGCAGCATGCCGAGCCTTCGTTCGTTTTCATCCATGCCAGAAAGAGAATGTGTGGTATGGAACGTGGTTATATACGCATTTGAGCATTTGACCGCAGCGCCCTCTCGTCTATAAACGTTGAGCCAATGCATGCAAAGTTTAACGCGACTATATACGCATTTGACCGCAGCGCCCTCTCCTGTATAGACGTTGAGCGGCGGCATGCAACGTTTTATCCATGACATCCCCAGCTCTTGAGATACTACCACATCTCAGAGCCCCCTACTCGTCTCGCAATCGTGGCCGAGTGGTTAAGGCGATGGACTAGAAATCCACTGGGGTCTCCTTGCACAGGTTCAAATCCTGTCAACTGCGCAACCGTTTTTTTTTTTTTCATCATTTTTTTTTGCCTTACACGAGCACCTGAGCACATTAGCTCACGAGCAAGAGCACCAGCAAGATCGATGTGAGGGCAAATGCCGGACAAACAAGGCTAGACCCTAAGGAGCTTCGCCCCTAAAAAGAGGAACTCGACGTCATGTGCTAGGCCCAAGGACGAGTCCTTGCCTGAGTCGATGAAGGCCTTGACGGGGTGGCCATTGACGCGGCAGTTGATGTACAGCATCACCACCTGGCCAAAGCTCTCTGGGTGGTACTCCATGGCTGCCTCCATGTTTGAGTCAATGTTCTGCTGCCTGCATGAATCCAGCAGTACGCTCAGCACCAAGCCACCTTCCACACTAACATCTGTTGTCTGTCTGTCTGGTCTCTCTCTCAACAGTCCTTTATTGTAAAGAGAAGGGAGCGAATGCTAGCAGAGCTGGCAAAGCAGATATCAGAAAGCAATGCAATTGCTATACAAGAAAAACTACATTTCAGAAAGAGTCATACTCATCAAATGAATCTAAGATACTCAATGTTTACAGGTGGTTGGTGCAGTGATTGAGCATTCCATGGTGCAACGGCAATGATGGTCAGATTGCTCCACACTAGGTTACCTATCGTGCCTACTCAGATTCCGAATGCTCAGATGTTGGTATATAATTTACACTAAAATAATATGAGAACTTGTAAAGAAAGGGCACTGTTTATAAAATCTTCAAGCATGCAATCAAATTGAACGAGGGGAATGTCCTTCCAGCAAAACACCATGCCAGACGTGTTTGTGGCATCCGGAAAGCCCAAGAAAAGAAATACAGTAGACTCCCGTTAAGGCGAATTCGCTTAAGCAGAATTTTCGGATATGCCAAACAAAGTAAGAACATTTGGCTGGTTTCCTATAGACGCAATGCAAAAAAAAAATAGTTTAACATGAACCGCTTTGCGCGCGCATTCTGGTGAACTCAAACTTCCATAGGTCCCCTTCGCGATGGCACTGCACCAACGGCGACGTCTCACATTGCGCTGCGGCGGTGTTCGGGAAGGGGGGAGGAGGAGGGCACTGGAGTGGCGAGGGATACGGGTGGTCGGGCCGTGCAGGAGCGGCAGACAGAAACATGCAGGCACCGCGTGCACGAGAGCATACCTGAACACGAATTACAGTGTAAACTAAACTAAACTCCCCAGTCTGTTTCACTTGACGAGTCTACGTACGCAACGGCAACGAAGACTCGCCTCCTGGCTCGGCAGTTTGCCCGCTCCACTGGTCTGTTCTTCATTGACATCAGCTCTATGCTCAGCCATTGACGCTGGACTGAACCAAAATGGAAAAACGGACGTGCAAGTTTCTCCCGCTGGCAAGGGAGGTGGAAATACTCGAGGAGGTGAAAGCCACAAAGCTGTTGAAGACAGCAATTGCACGCAAGTTTGGCAAGCCAAAAGTATGTTATCAGGCATAGTAAAAGATGGAAAGAAGATATTAGACGCCTACAATGATAATGACTTCGCACCAAAGTGAAAGAGAATGTGCACAGCCGCACATGAAAACCGGCAAGCAGTTCTCATCGCGTGCATTCGGCAAGCACGGGGCGACAACTTGCCCGTGAATGGAACCGTCTTGCGCGCGAAGGCAGAGGCAGAGGAAATTCCACAGCGCTTGAACATAAATTTTCACGTAGCGATGGCTGGCTTAATGGCTTTCGAAAGCGACACGGACTGGTGTTTTGCCCTATCGTCGAGAGGCCGCGGCCGTTGATAAAGCGGCTTGTGACGACTGGAGGCTAACGAAGATGACGCACTTGCTAGAAGAGTACAAGGTGATATCTACAATGTTGACGAAACTGCGCTGTACTACCAGCTTCTTCCAGAGAAAACGCTGTCGTATGCCGGCGACGTGTGCACCGGAGGCAAGCACAGCAAGCTGCAAATTACCGTGCTTGTTGGTGCTAATATGAGCGGGACTGACAAGCTCTGACTTGTAGTAATCGGCAAGGCCGTCTCCATGCTGCTTCCAGAGCGTGAAAACTTTGCCGGTGAGCTATAGGCCAACTCCAAGTTTTGGACTACCAAAGCACTCTTTGAGCAGTGGCTGCGCGAGGCGGATTGCCGCTTTGTTAAATAAAAGAGGAAGGTCCTCTTCCTTGTCGATAACTGTCCCGGGCATGGGAAGGTCAGCGGACTTTCGGCTATCCAGCTCGAGTTCTTGCCCCAAAACACAGCTCCAAAACTGCAGCCCATGAACCAAGGGGTAATCAGTTCTCTGATAGGGCACTATCGACAATCGCTGCTTCAACGAATGCTTCTGTGCATGAAAAATGGCAAAGAGTACTCAGTGAATCTCTTGAGTGCCCTCCATCTTCTGTCTCATGCCTGGGATCAGGTCACTGAAGCTACAATTGCAAACTGCTTCCGCCATGCTGGATTTATAAAGCAGAGCTGCTCACTAGAAGCCCCATGTGAGGTGAGGACTTGTAGGAAGACACTGAACCAGAGGACGCCTCTCTAGCTTCTTCATTGAACTGTAGCGGCGTTTCGTTGGACATAGCGGCATACATTGCTATGGATGACTCTAAGGCTACTTGCAGAGCAGATAATATCAAAACTTTGACTGGGGAAGTGATTGAGCCGCCAGAAAACGCGATGATGACGAAGACGACAGTCAAGACGTTGCTCCGGAAGCACCATTAGCATACCTGCCAACCTTCGAATTCAAAAACACTCCCGCGGCCGCGGGAGGGGGGGTTAGCGAAGCGATGTGCAGCTTAAGGTCAGCCTTGCCATTGTGCGAAACGCTTATATCACACGTGCACGTGTTACAGAATCCAAACTTCTCGCCCTTTTTATACGGCACGAAGCACGGGAATTTCGACGTGTAGGGCTTCATGAACACCTGAAAGTACCTCTTTCAGTGATGTGATTGGCCTAAGCCATTTTGGAGCACCTTTTGGAGCAGCCAGAACAGTGTTTTGGAGCAGCAAATGTGGCCTTTGGAGCAACCAAAACAGTATTTTAAAGCAGCAAAAGTGGCTTTTGGAGCAGCAAAAGTGGCTTTTGGAGCAGATATTCTTAGAAAAATAAAAATATTTGTTTTAAGTGCTGTACAAACAAAGGGCACTTTGTGTTGTGTTGTGTTCTGATGTGACATGTTGTGACAGAACTCGCTGTTTGAGTTTTTACTGCTGAGAGATCCCACAAGTGTACAGTGCTGTTAGCACTGCCGAGGCAATTCCGAAAAACCGCTTGCCACCATTTTACTGATTCCCGTCGTGCCAGATTTTCGTCAAAAGTAAGCAAACGCAAAAACATGGATTGCAAGCATCCCGGCTGGTGCCTCTGTCATGCAATCATGTTCCATGCACGTGAGGGCAACTGAGGCAGGCTTGCAGTTGCACGTGCTTCGTCGCGCGAGTGGAGACAACGGCTGCTCGATCTAAACCGAAGCCACGCCACTCCGCTCTGTTGCCAAATGATTCCCAATATTCAGTAAAACCTCGTTATAACAAAATGGGATATAACTAGGGTTTGGAGTTTTCGGTTTAAACCGATAAAAACCGATAAAAGTACGCCGAATCCATTTTCAGAAATTCGGTTTTAACCGAAAAAGGTCAGTTTTTAGGTTCGGCACTTCCGATTTAAACCAATAAAAATGTCAATTCCATTTTTTAAAATTCAGTTTTAACCGGAAAAGGTCACATTGACCTTCATTCGTACCGCAGAGCCGTGGCGAAAAAGTGGAACGACAGTGTCTATCGAAACGAGTCCGAATGTATGGGATACACGGATGCCATCACGACGTTTTGGTTTAATGTACGCATCATAAATAGAGACGTGATGTGCGAAATGCCCCATGACTCCGCCATGGATGCAGGTATTTCCTGAGGGGAGGGGGGGGGGGGGGGGTCAGGTGTTGGTCAGCGTAGCATATGTTTAGGAACCCCCCTCCCCCCCCTCTTCTTCGTTTTACGCCCTAAATTTTACACATGCAGAAATCAAGAGGGGGGTCAGGACATCCGGACCCCCCTCCAAATCCGCCCCTGTGTACGAACATGTTTTCAAACTTGTTGTAAGGAAGACTGACTTGATGCAAGCTCTGCATGTGGTGGTGTGCTTCAAAACGTCGCACCGTGTCTCTTTTGGTGGTCACAATTAATTGATTAATCGGCCGATCTTGGCTCAGGCAGCGCTCCATCTCATCAGCCTGCCCGTGTCCAGTGTTAGCGTTCTGAGAGCATTTTCGAAGCTCAGGGTCATATTAACAGTAAATAAAGAGTGCGAATCCACAAGAACATGCGAAAGTACGTCTGTGTACTATAATAAGATCACGTAATCCGGATGTGCAGAAGGTAAAGTTCCATGTATTTTGGGCATAGGCTTCATATATACCTTGTCTGTACTTCTGCTGTTTTTTTTTTTGTTTCTTTTACAGTTGCAAACATTTGCCAAATAATTTGTCAATTTCTTTACAATGCATCTGTGCCGCTATTCTTTGAGTGATCACAAATATCAGAGCTACAAGGAGGATCATATCCGGTGTACGTTGGTGTTTATTTTATATTCACCGAAAAAAGCCGATAAAATTTTGTGGAAATAAATATACGCCGAAAAAAACCGAAAATATTATTTTAAAATAAACACCGAAAAAAGTACGCCGAATTTTGAAAAAATAGAAACCGAAAACGCGGAATCCTAGATATAACAAACTAATGGATATAACAAAGCAATCATAATTCCCCTTGCTTGCAAATAGGGAGGAAATGAACATTGGCTATAACAAACTAATGGTTATAACGAAATAATTATGATCGCTCCTTCAACTTCGTTATAACGAGGTTTTACTGTTGTATGTAAAATGTAACTGTCGAGCATACGAGAAAAAAACAGTCCAGCGGCGTGCGCTTGCCAGGCCGGCAAACAAGGTACAAGCTAAACGCACAAAAAAAGGACCTGAGCACATTGATGCAAGACGTCGTGAGCCAGGGTCAAAAAGTTCTTGGAGCGCTTTGCACAACGACCGAACTTGAGACAAACAAGCGCGTTGCGCGGGTTCAGCGTGCAGACATTGCCTTCTTCGCTTTAGCTCACTTCTCTTCACCAACTTTCTTTCGCGGCAGATATTTCACGGACCGGGATAGCTCTCGAAAGAAAGCCTACCGAGAGAAACCTAGTTAACAATACTTCGACACAACAGTCTGAGTTAAAGAGGGATTTGTTTAGTAACGTATGATTAAAACAAGAAAAGGAATGTCGATGAACATGCGGCAGTATTTAGTTTCAGTTTAGAAAGCGCCATATCTGCAGCGATGTGGGGGACTGCAAGACCAAACGTCGCGCGACCACAGTGACTAAAAGGCAGGGACCAAATATAGTTTTCCCACGGCCGTTGCTTTCAGGAGCGAGTGCTTCAGCTCAGAAAGTAACTCCTGCCGCGCAAAAACATTGTATCGTTTCACAGCACGACAGCACGGCTGGTACCTGGCATGCTAGCGTCAGAGCATCCACACACACCCGCGTCTATCGTTGAAAATGTTTAAAAAAAGACGCGAGACGGGACACGACGAGAATGCGAGACGGCAGGAAAACCATGCAAGATTGGATGGGCAATTGATGCAGGGTACTTTGTGTCAGGCGGCCGCTTGCGCCAGATAACCCACGCATGCTCAATTACGGTACTCAGTTTAGTTCGGTTTTGAACGGCGACCAAAATTGGTTTTTTGGCGCAGGTTTGGTGCAGATTACCCATATTTTTGCAAAATATAGCAGGATGTAGCAGGGTTAGCCCCTTGGTGCAGTTTGGCACAATTGGCGCAGCAATCATATCACTGCTCTTTTGAGGTTTGGAGTTCGCCGTTGCGCCGCAAAGCTATTGCGACCAGGGGAATGCTACGATTACATGTGCAACAAACACAGAAGCTGCGCTTCTCGCCTCGAAACTGGCCAAAACCTGCGGAAAGAGAGACGCCCAACCACGTCTGAACACGCCGAACCAACGTGCGCCGCCGAACACATGAACAAAGGCTTTGGGCTTTGGATTGGTTTGGATACGTGGCCACTGGATAGATGGATAGTAAAAACCATGACGCTGCCGTGGACGGTACCTATCCCTCTCTTGTGGCAGTGCAAAATACCACCAGCAACAATTATACAAAAAAAGAAATTGTTAAAAAATTGTTTTATATATGTAATTGTTTTTTTTCATAAAATTTGGAACAAGATTCGTAAAATCGTAAAATTAGTCCCAATTTGTACATTTTACGAAAAATTCAGAAGAGTTGGCAGGTATGCATTAGTGACATTTGATGCAGCAGATGCTGCTGTAAGTGTGCTACTGCAGTTCTTACTGAACAGGAAGGTTCTGAAGGCTTTCTCAGGAACATTGGCCAGATGTCGTGTTTCATCGCTGGACACCGATTTGCGCAGAGGAGGAGGCAGTCAAAAATCACCGAATGGGTCAGTACCCCCCCCTAGTGTTGTGTTTAACATTTTTTTTTTTCTTCTTTTGGCATGGTGAGCCAAATAAATGTCCCTTTTTAAGTATCTCTTCATTTTAGGCCTTTACATTCTGTGTTTATTGGTCGACAGCAATTTAGACATGCCCAGCATCATAATTAGGGCACTTCTGTTAAAACGAACATCTGATAAGTCTAAAAAAATTTTAGAATCCCTAGTGTTCGTCTTAAAGGGAGTCTACTGTACAACGTTCTTGGCCAAGTCCTGAGCAGAGGCAAAGAGCAAACAGCACAGTGAGTGCGTGGCAGATGATTTACAAGTTTGATGCGAATGGCCGGTCAGATCCAGCACAACAGAATGTTTCAAAACCCCTTCCCAGGTAAGCAGGCAGCTTCCCCAACCCGAGAAATGGTCTGGTAATATGGAGCTTGTCCGTCCCCCTTGGCTGATAAAGCTGGTGGTACCTGATCTCTTCAGCGATGAGGCGCTGCGCCTCTGGGTCAAAGGGGTCTGCGTTCATGATGCGGATGCGGTGCCGGTCCCGGTCGGCCTTCTCCTTCTGCTGCTCGTTGAGCACCCTCGTGAATGTGTCTGCAAAAAACAACTGAGCTGCATACACCGTTTGTTTGCAGAGCTTTGAGATCAATGCAGGGCAATCTTCTCCATAAGGACACAACCCATCTTAAGGTTCATGAAACGGAAACTGGTGGTAGAGAACCTGAATATGATGCAGCAATATCCAGTGGCCATTGAACATCATGTTTTCTTTTTTTCCTTTTTGCTTGCTCTGAGGCTCACAGCCTCTTAGTGCTCAACGTCCGGCAAGCCCTACCAATAGGATCACCTGTCGTCAAGGGATAACCTTTCCTGCTCACGTTTGAAGGGCCTTGAACACAGAAGTTCGGGTGAGGGAAAAAAACAGTACCCTAGATGAGCAGGAAAGCGATCCTCATCAGGGCAGTTAATGCCAAAACCATTGTATATAAACAGATGATTCCTCTTTCACGCTTTATTCTGAGCACAACTGGGCCAAAGCAAAATAAAATTTAATGATCCCTTTCACATTCAGAAGTCTCTTAGAGGAAAAAAGGTAAGGCCTTCAAGGATACCACGCTGACTTCAGTCCTAACCTCTTCCTCAGTTACTTTTCTCTCTCTGCTTTCCCGAACCTTTCCACAAGCAGTTCCAAGATGCGGCTTGTACGGAGCCTTAAAGCAACGACGGGCCGAGAGGTTGCAGGCGGCGCCGCCCTTTAGTTATTACTTCCATGACACTGATGGCAGATGACGGCAAAACTAGAGACCCCAGGAATTCCGACACTATGCAAATGTCTGGAGACTGCAGCGGCAGAAATGGGCAACCGAGCGGAGACCGTTTACCCAGGTCTCCCGTGAGCAAGGCGTCGGCCAGCTGGGGGTTGTTGTGCTTGAGGAGGGCCAGCTGCTCAGGGCTCTTGAGAATCATGTCCCGGATGAAGGCCGGGTCCTCTTCCCCCTGGGTGGCCGCTCCTCCGCCCAGGCTCAGCTCAGTGCCTGCCAGGGCATGCTAAGGTTAGAGTCACTAAATGTTTCCAGAGTACCGCATTCGATAGCTTCCACTGCGACTGTCCTATTTTAGCTTTTACCAACCATTTTGGTGCTGAAACATCTTTGGTGGAAGGGGTTTCAGGGATGCCAACCCCATCTCTCAAGTGGACAGGCCACAAATTACCACCGAAGTTAGGAAGTGCCCAGGTCGGGACGCGCTACCTGAAATCACTGGTAAGACACAGTTGTATAAAAAGATTATTGACTGAGCCGAAAAACTGTGTAAACTAAAATTTTACGGAAAGATCACACTCCTGTCATTCTAAACTAATCTTTGATAAAAGTTCCCAAGAAAAAATTCTTTCTCAATTTGTTTTTATGCAAAAATATGCTTTCCAAATGCTCATGGTGACCACAGTAAAAAAAAAGAAGAAAAGATTGAGCCACCATTTGGGTGCTATCGAGCCTGGGAGTTTTAGTGCTCTGGAAACATTCAGTGACTCTAGCAGGGGTCAGTCCAGCCATGTTACGGTGCCTGGAACGCATCTGACTGGCGTGTTTACCGCGTCCAAAAAAAGCGGTCCCTCGATTAACGCTTGTTAATGTCGTAGAAGTGTCACGTCGTTGCCATCCGCAAGCCCGGCAGTGTCGCAGCAGCGGCGGTAGATGTGACAGACACCCATTCTGCTGCAGGTCGCTCTCTAGCTCGACCGTCTATCGAAGGTTCGGAAGCCGGGAGTGGACACGCCGCGACTAAGACGACACTCGCGTTCGCTCATGCCTTTTGCGGGTACTTCTAGTGCCAGCCGCCGGAACTGCGATGTCCCGCAACATGACACTCCAGCTTTTGCGATGTCATTCGTTGCCTTGACCGCTTTCGATGCACGGGTGGGACAGGATGGTAAACACACCGGTTGGCACACCAGGATGTCCCCAACACGGCGACAAAAATCATAGCAGGGATAAGCGGCTGTCGTATTGTTTCCTGGCGGGCGCAGTTGCTTCTAACTTTAGCTACTCGTACTTCGTCGACCGGCGAACTGCAGGGTGTGGGGCATGCTATGGCAAAACGGATGGCTGTCGTAACTACATTCGCGGCAGCTCTGTGACGAGTCGAAACCTTACTGCTACAGGAAAGAAATGAAGGGGACAGCCTGTTAGAGGTTTTTTCAAGGCACCGCAAGTCAAAAAGGCAGTGTCCCTCCCGAAGCTGCAAGCACTCCTCAAGAACCACCGCCACCATGGCCTTCAGCAGGGATTGTGCCAGCACACTTTTTTGGTCCTATTTTTTGCCCTGGCATTTCACTGGGTACCTGCGACCGGGAATGTCGAAAGAAGGACCCCCCCTCCCGTCAAGTGAAATGCCATGCAATGCATCATCTGCAGTTCACACCAACATCTAACTAACCCGGCACTGTGACTGCAGCTTATAACCTGATCAGTCCTCAGACTGTACAGTAACAGCTGGAACCACTGCGAAAGAGGAGTGATAAATTTTAAAGGGGGGGGGGGGGGGGGGGTACAACCATTAGCAGTTCGCTGAGGCATTAGGTATGGAAAGGTTGCGAACAGAACGATAAGGATATCACCTTCCGCGTCAGAAATAGGCATTCGCTCAAAGATAACGTCGATAATTCGGCAGTTCTCTCTGCACGCGGCCTAAGAAGCAACAAATCTTTAGTAGAAATTCCTGACATGTCTGGGTATTCGCTCAGAGCGACATAGCAGAAATTGGCACATAGTGGCACTCACGTACCTTTGCCGCCACTTATTTATCACTTTGTCATTTCCTACGCTTGGCTAAATAAGGACGTTAGATAACCTTCTTGGCATTAGGTTACCATCGCCCGAAGCCGAGTTCGTATATCGGCTTTCAGGGGAAGTTTATGAAAACGCGTCATCACAACAATGACGCAGCGGATTGTAGACTACAAATCAACGACAGCGAAGTCACCTTTTATTCTCCCCACGAGCTGCTTTACTACCTTTCGTGGGAATCTGCGCTCAGTCCCAACACTGCCAGATATCGTTCGACGTGTTTTGGTGAGGAAAATGAGAGTGCGCCATCGGCTGGGGCGCGGAACTGGCCGGCATCGCCGAGGGGCACCGCCCCCGCAGCTCGGCCCTTCACGCCGCGGGACCCCTCACCCGAACTGCTGGAGGCCTGGCTCGGCTGCGGCGGAACCAGGTGCTGAATGAGCAGCACGTCCCCGTCCTTGATGGAGTGCGCCGACAACGAGCGCTTGTCGTCCAGCAAGGGCCGTCCCTCGTGCATCACCACCATCTCCCGGGCCGGAATGGACGACTCGTACTCGCAGAGTGCCTTGAGGTTCTCCAGCTCCATCTCGGCGCCGACGTCGAGCATGTACAGCTCGCCGGACAGCGTCGTCACCGTCAACTTCATGCCGCCGCCGAGAAAAGAACTGACGCAGACCCAAAACAATAATGCTATAATAATGCCGGAGCCACACACGCACACACGCTGTTGTTTACGCTCGCCGTGCGGCTGCCAGTAGCGCGCAGAGGCACAAAGCAGCTGGGCAGCTGGCGATTCCGCGAACCACCGTTGTTGAACTTATGTCGAACCCACGTGGAACCTGGTGGAACCACATCACTCTGGAACCCCCCACTTCTCCGCTCCTACTTTTATTTTAATGTACCCCCTTCTTTTCCCAATTTTCTTAATCTACTCTTTTCTTTTCTCCTGCATTTCTTGATTTTGTTTAGGGGCACCTGGGCCAATGCAGGGTGTTTTCAAGAAAGGGAACTTGCGTTAAAGCGCTAGGGTTTCGTTTTTTTTTTTTTTTCTTAGCACTGGGCCTACTGGAGGCGAAAAGGTCAGTTAGTTAGCTAATTTCTAAAACTGTTTAATTAACTTTATATATTTGTGTTTTTGGTGGTGGAAACTGTAACTCAAAGTGACGCAATGGGTGAATTAGTTATACTAGTTTTGGTATAACTAATTAACCCACCTCATTACTTAGTGGCCACCATGACTATCGACATAATCCTGGCGCTAAAGAGCCTAAAAGTAAAAAAAAAAAGTTTTAAATTACACTTTTGGAAGTGCTTCCTCCGACGGGCGTCGGAGGAGTGGGACCTGTGTGCAAATCGTTCCTCCGACGCCGGAAGTGACGTAGTCGCGTCGGAGGAAAGACGGCTGTGTGGAAATCGTTCCTTCGACGCCGGAAGTAACGTATCATCCCCGGCCCCGGATGTTGCCTTTGTTATGACATGTGGCCGACCATGTGCGTCTGCCGCTGTAGTCTTCTGTGGTCGGGTCTTGGCCGCGCTGCTGTCGGCTGCGGTCACGCAAGCTATTTTGACTGATTTTTCGCACTCTTTGAAGCGTTTTGTTTAGCATTGTCTTGTTCTTTTTAGCAATACATTTTTCCGTATCTAGTGCTACTCTTTGTATTTTAGCTTTGATCGAACCCCCAGCGTGCCTCGAGTTTTGGTAGCCGGCGATTCGATGGTGAAGTACTTGCCATTGAATAGTCGGTTGGCTGTTGAGGTTGCGCCGTTTAGTGGTATTAGAATCGAGCACTTGTTTTCCCAGGTGTCTGAGAAGCTACCCGATTTTGATGTTGTCATCCTACACGTTGACACTAATAATTCCCATATTAGTGCCAGCGTGTACATCGACAAATATCGTCGTCTAGCTGCCCAGATCTGTGAACGCAATCCAATGATGCAGATCGCCTTTTCTGCCGTTCTTCCGAGACGGGAGAATAGGTTCTGCTCATTGGAATGGCAGCGTAGTCACGCTGCAGAGATCGAGGCTTCGAATGACCGTTACCGAGAGGTGAACTCGCTGCTGCGAGAGTTGTGTCGCAGGGAAGGGTTCACGTTCCTTGACGGGCTAGCTGACGAGTGGCACCAGTGGATCCACCGCGACGGCGTCCACCCAAACCGGATCGGCAACGAGGTATGCACACGTGCGTTATGTCGCTGCACTATAAAGAGCGCGAATATAAGGCGGCTACGATTGCAAGGCTCACCGTAAAAAGGGGAACTGAAAATTGACCTGCGCACGTGGCGAGCTAAATTACTGGTTGGATTCAACTGGTTGACAGAACGGTGCCAACTCCAGCAACGAAACACGGCACAACTTGGAAGGTTGACCAGTCTTTATTGTCAAAAACCGAGAATGAAAATAAATAGGTTCGGTGACGTTCACGTTTCCGGATTGAAGGAAGCACAGCGTAGCTATAAGGACCGCTTCAGTTGCCTCGTTAGCTAATTGCGACGATTGAATCGCCCTTTCAGAGCGAGTATTTGTGCGAGGTGAAAGATTAGCCGCTGGCGTCTGTCAGCACCCGTGACGACGTCCCTAGCTTCTCTCCATCGCGTGAAGAAAGGAGCTCACCCGTGTTTCCGCGTTGCGCAGGTGAAGTCCTGATAGGATGCGGTTGCGCTCCCACCTTACAATCAAACAATTCCAATTGCTTGTGTCACAACAGCTGCCAGTTCGGGTAGACTTTCCGCCATTTTTACCATTGTGCTCTCCGCGGCTGTTTTCTCTTCCGTCTGGTTTCTCCCTGGCTGCCCTCCGGTCGTTGAACTGCATCTTTCTGCCCTCGAAGTTCACCGTTGGGTCGCAAGAAGCGCAGATATGGTTTTGACATTTTCATAACGACACGTTTATCAATACACCAACTTTGGCGATGGTTTCCCTTCTCTACCGACCGCTGGATGGACGGATGGACGAATCCGGCTGAGCCCTTTGGATCGGGCGGTAGCTTACGCCACCTAGCCATTCTGTTTTACCATTTAAGCTTAGAATATTTAAAGGTGAAAGCTATATTCACTCCGCACTGCAAAGAAAGTGAGGCTATAAACACCCTTGCCATCAGTTAACAAAACACCCTTGCCATCAGTTAACAAGATAATACCTAGTTTTCTCTCGCCTTCTGCCACCATTCACTTAATATTTGCTTGGTAATCTCTACTGTCTTGAAATCCACTGTTCCTTCGCTGTTTCTAAAACCCAATGACTTTATTAAATCTATGTTCTCTTCATATCAAGTATCAAGTGCTCAGCCGTCTCGTCCTCCTCTCCACAAGCAGTGCACACTGTATCCATTTCCTGGTACTTCGCTCTGTGTGTTCTGGTTTGCAGTACACCCGTCCTCGCCTCAAACAACAATGAGCTTTCCCTAGAATGGTCATAAATGCTTTCTTTGGCAATAACTGTTTTGTTTAATTTATAGTTTTCCAGAGCCGTCTTTGTCTGCATTCTCTCTAGCCACCAATCTCTTTCTGTGGCCTTAACTGACACCTGCTCTTCCTAAGTCCACTATAGCCTTAAAAACTGTCCTCCTAACTCCCTAGTGCACTGTCTCCAGTTTGTATCTATACTCCTCATGTATAAATAGCTGAAAACCTTTTGTGCCCATTGCCACCCATCCATTTGCCTCAACCAATCCTCAAATTCTATCTTGCTCACCGCTTCCTTGCTCTCAAATGACGCCCATCCCATGTCTCCTTGTACTAGCTCCCTGGTTTGGTGTTTTGCAATGTGTCCCCAAAGCCAGCCTACCTACTCTGCACTGTTTTATATCTAGTCTCGCATGCACTTCGGATTTCACTCATAGCACTGCATTTCCAAAAGTCAAGCCAGGCACCATGACCCCTTTCCAAATCTCTCTCACCACCTCATACCTGTTGTAATTTCAAAGTGCTCTATTTTTCATTACAGCTGCATTTCTGTTGCCCTTACCTATTATATACTTTTCATGCTCACTGAGATATTCTGCACCATCACATATCCATACTCCTAGGTACTTGTATTTACTAGCTTTCTCAACTGTAATATTCTGTACCTTCAGCCTCTCAACTTCATCATCGTTAAAAATCATGATTGGTGATTTTTCACTGCGTCACATGTGCCATCTGTCGACAACGCGCAAAACTAATCCGCATGCGTGTCACAACGGCCTGCTGGGTCCGATTTAAAAAAAAAGGGAGTAGGTCTTTGCTTCAATGTTTAATACATTTTTATACATGTACATAAATGTTGATTTAAGTAAATATTTTTTATGCCACTAATTATATTGCAATTTATAAAAGGATATGTACATTAAAATTTGACATATTTTTTTAAATACATAAATGTATACCTAGTAATTAAAGGTTTATCCATTTCTGTAAATCTATATATTTAAGTTTTTTTTCCTTCACTAGCAAAGATCAATACACCCCCATCTTGTCGAAATGGACACGGCATGTGAACCCTAACAGGGAATGGGAAAACAATTGAAACTTCCCCTGGGAATCCCTCCAACCAGTTAACTCCTTAAATGGTCCCAGTTACCGCTACCCGTTCCCCATCTGGGCATAGTCAAGCCAGTTGACCCCTCAGCTGATCCCAGTTGCACTCCTATTGATAACAGCCAATTCCAACTTGGGACCAGTTAGTTCCAGTTGTAACCAGTCGAGATGCCAACCGGTCCCAGTTAGACGTTTTGGCATAGGTGCCTTGTATGTAAAGCTAAAGGCGCAGCACCTTTTCTGTGAAATCTTCAAGGCAACATCTTTAACAATTTGAACAAGTGAGGTGACTGCAGCTAACAATCAGCTTTGGTGCTAATGTCAAGTACCGTGTGCAGGTCCTCGCTGGGTTCATGGGCCAGCAAGTACGGAGCATGCTGGAGAAGATGGCCAGGGCCAAGATCCAGCAGGACCACAAGGAGGCAATGCCAGGGACCCGCTCGTGGGACGGCTGGACCATCAAGGGTGCCCTATTGACTGCGCCATGTTGTCTCTTCAGAATTCTCCGACTTTTCCAGCAAAGTTTTGTTAATCTGACGACATAGTCTTTCTAAGAGGCTGGGGAAATTATAGCAAAAAGTTTGTGGGCCTCACATCTGGTAACAAGAAGGCTCCAAAAACAAGGCCCCTTGAAAACTGGGCAAGTTGCTACTTGTGTAAATTGGCTCTGAAGAAACCAACAACTAGGCGCTGCACAGTCCGATGATTCTTTCCGAATCTGAAGTGCTTCGAGGGAATCGGAATTTTGTGTTATAATGTGAATAAACTGTTCTGCATTACAAATCGAGTTTGATGTTGTTTACTTACATTTGGTGGGGTGCCAATTTGTCTTATACCTTAGTAGTTACATCAACACACTGCATTTGATATCAATCCTGCCCCAACAATAGCTAGCGCACATGGGCCCCTTTTTTCCTTTCTGATCACTCCACAAATAATGCCCGGTGTTTCTCTGCGTGCACCAGAGCAACGTAAGAAAGCTAACTGCGAGAGCACTGGCTTTTCTCCGCAGCGTGGAGAAGGTTACCAAAAAAGAGCTGGTGCTTTTCACATGCACCGGTGCGATGTGGGAAAACTTACAGCGAGAGCACGAGTGCTTCTCCGCGTGTACTGGTGCAACAAGGAAAAGCTTAACACGAGAGTATTGTCGCAAAGTATTAAGCTTGATACTGGCATTGTATTGAGAACACTACAGTTTGCAGAGACGTGGTTCATTACTCCGACAAGCTGGAAGTGTGCTGTGGAGGCATTTGTTTACAGCATTTAAAAAAAAAAATTGTTTTACTGTCGAAGGATGTATGGCCATATCAGTAGATTATACAAAAACTTTCCAACACAAAGAATGGAAAGAAACTACAGTGGACTGCTTC